ATCTACCAACATGTGTCTGCAAGGCAGCAATGGCTCCAGCCCGCTCAAATGTGGCCTGACGACGGAGAAAAGGAAACTTGCTGGCATCCACCAACAGCTGAACGGCAGATTGCTGGAGTCGCAAGTCTTTTCCACTCCACTGTTGTTGTTCCAACAATATTTTGGCGGCATAGTCAATCATTTTGGACTTGACCAATGTGGGAAACCACTCCTGTGAGCTTGCCACTGGGACTGCATGATTCAAAATGCGGATTGCCAAGTGTGCCATGGTATTGTTGGAAGGGAAGCGTCGACCAGTGACAATAGCATGTTCTACCAAATGGGGAATATCTTTTCCGGCATTCATGACGCGACAATAGCCATCCATGACCCGAAGCGTCTGCAATTGTTGTTCCAGGTTGGTATCATCAATTCTCTTGCGAATACAAGACATGACACCCAAGGCGACCATTGCCTGGCAGGTCGGTTCGGGGCATTCGTAGAGTGCATGAGCCAGTTCATTGAGGATATCGGCTAGCATCATGTCACACTTGCCATCGTGGCGGATGAAAAAGAGAATTTCTGGAATCTGACTGGGCAAGTCACTCCGGTAGAACTCGTACATGGGTCCCAACTTGTCCACAAATTCGTTTCGATGGATTTCTTGGGGGCAGTTTTGCTGCTCCGCCAGTGTCTCATTCAATAATAGTGCTGATGAAGAGCGATCAAAGCTACTTGGCTCTGCCAATGATTCATCCATGTGCTGTAGTTCTGCCAATGTTTTGTCGAGACTTTGACCCCTTTCATCATTGCCGTCATCTTGATTATCGACGTGCTGCTCAAAGAGGGTTTCATCCAATAGCTGTTTGGATCGACTGAAGGCGACGAGGCTTTCGCCTTCCAGTTGCTTTGGGGAGCTATTGATAGTTCCTGGACTTGATGATTGTTCTATACTATAGGCGCCACCAAGAAGACTGCCTTGATCCACCAGAGTTTCATCCAAGAGGTTGTCGTGAGTTTGTTGTCGCTTCAAGCTTTCATCAAATGTTCGTTCTTCGTCTTCTTCTGTCACCTCACTGAGCGTGTGGAGACCTGGAAGCGCCTCCTCTACATCCTGTGATCCAAAGTCCAAGTATTGTGACAATTTGCTGCTGTTGCTCGCCGATTTGCTAGTAGTAGAATGGCGAGGTGACGGCCGCATCATGATGGTGCCTTCTTGGTTCGGCCAAGGCCAAAGTTGGTTGTGTCTGGTGCAAAAATAAATGAGCGCGATTTCAGAGAATTTGAATTGAAGCCGGTAAAGCAGGTAAGACAAGGTTCGCGCGAATTGGTGCGCACCTCTTCCCTCCAAGGTCACCACCGGTGGCCCATTTTCAAAAACAAAAAAATGAATAAACTTTCAAAACAGGGCATCATAATCAATCGCAATGCTGGGCGAAATGTAGTCTACTTAATCCACCACTACATGCATCATGGATGATGTCATCCAATCTCCAGTCCAGAGAGGATTCATGAGTGAGGAATGTGTACTTGATATGATACTGTGTCAAAGTGTACCAATAGGAGTTCTTTGGAAGCATCATGAGATGGAGACGGTAGATTGCAACCAGCCATCCAAGGTGTTGTGCCCACAATAGCTACAGTGTCCTTTTGCTGTCCGGATATGCCAACTGTCTCTCCGTTTCGAATCAGAGAAACAGCCAACGATGAGGTGGAGCTGGCTATTCTAGCTCTATTGTACCGCGGGCTTGGACTGCGGTGGCTGCGCAAGTACTCCGGAGTCCGGAGTAGCGAATGCAAGTGTCCAAACATACACGTAGCTCCGGACATCATGGTGCCACTGGAAAGACAAGGCCCCAACTGCCACTTACTTGCCACTGATCCATTTCGGTTTCTAACTTCCAACTGCTTCTGAGAACTCAAGTCTAGTACTAGAGTATCTCATTATTTCATTATTTTGTGGAATAAGGCCAAAGAACTTTTTCTGTGACGACTTTTATAGTTTCGATCCCATACTGAGTAGCTGATTACTCGAGTGGTAGCTAAGATACTGTGCATACATGTAGACTACTTCGTAGAGCTGTCCTGCTTACATGAACTCTTACAGTGTCATGTCAACCTCCCTCCGATCCGACTGGTGAGATGTGGGTCGCAACTGGTCAGGAGGGCCTCCGGTGACTACCTGATGACGTCACGGCTTAACCCAAAAGTTGGTGAGTCGCGAGGAGTCGCGAGAAGTCGCGAATAGTCGTTTTGCACAGTCGCGCGACTCCACGCGGATGCCACAACGACTATTCGCGACTTCTCGCGACTCCACGCGACTCCTCGCGACTGCTCTTTGTTTTAGCTGGTTTAAGCTAGACAAAGTATCGCGACTCCACGCGACTCCACGCGACTCCACGCGACTGTTAACGCGACTGTGCGCATCTGCACGCGACTGAGCAGTCGCGCGACTGCATGCGACTTTAATGTGGAAGCAGGCCAGTCGTGTTATTTGGCATCGGATCGCCAAAAGTCCACACACCGGAGGCCCTCCAGATCGTTCTACATAAACTAGTACAGTACCTGGAGTACTGTACGTCATTGTGTTTGCTCGATACATCGTACCGCTACCGGTGTACCGGTACCGGTAGCCTGTTGAACTTCGCAAATTTGCGAATAAAAGAATAAAAGAGAATTCCAGCTGTACTGCACATGCGTAAGCCACACGCCATTTTAATGTCCCTCTGGTAATCGAAAGCTTGAATAGAAAAGCTTGATTGATGACTCTTACGAATATGCTTAATGCTATCAGACCCTTGTGATGCGGTCAAAAAGGTTCCAGTGCCGCCAGTGAGATAAAAGACGGTGGCAACCATGATATGATCGCGTGCGTATTTTCACGCGAGTGGGGTTCGCTGCAACCTGCAACCTGCGATGAATGAGCACAGCTATGAGCACGCAGCTTTCGCACGCATAAAAAGTTCCACTCGAACTCGAAAGCTTCATAGACACCTCTTCATCAGCGCTTTGTTGTTGTTGCTACAGTACTGTACCTACTTCTTCTTGTTCTTCTTGAACAAACAACAACACTACTACCATTCCTCTTCCTCATCATCACTACGGCACCATGAAGGAGATCTGCGAAGCTCTGGACAAGGGCGGCGTGGACGGCTTGCGGCAGCTACTGGACACCAAACCCGAGTTGGCAACGACGCCCGATCGATTGGGCGATCTTCCACTACATGTAGCATGCTCCTATCGTTACGAGACGGTGGAAGCCCTGCACAGTTTGCCGGTCCTTACATTACTGGTGGAACGTCACCCTGCAGCGCTACAGACGACAAATGGCCATGGCATGTTACCGTTGCATTTGAGTTGTTGGTTTGCGGCGGAACCTCAAATTCGAGCCATTGCATCGTGGTACCCCGCCGGGTTGGCCGCCGCCGATGACAATGGCTATAAGCCAATCACCTTTGTGATTGCCAAATTGGTCATGGAAGGACGACCGTGGAGTGACTACGAGTCGTTATTGACGTGCCTACTGGGCATGTGTCCGGAGAGTCTGTGGAATGTCGATCATCAAGGCGTCCTGGCACTGCAGTCGGCGTGTTTTGACAATGATGGGAGTGACGCCAGACCCATTCCGACGGGACGACAATTGTTGCAATTGTACTGTCAATTGACTTGCTCAACAGGAGGTCTGCACAAGATTATTGATGTGGAACAACAACGCGCGCCACTCCTAGTGGCCATTGCCTCGCAGACGAGAATGGAAGTGGCGCAAATGATTTTCGAACAAGATCCGACGACTATTCGATTGACCGACAAGGACGGACGATTGCCACTGCATCATATCATGACCAACCAATTTCAAAGTCGACAGTTGCGCATGCTCAAGGAAAAGCTCACGTGGCTCTTGCAAGTCGATCCCAGTGCCGTCTTTCACCATGACCACTACGGCAAGACACCCCTCCATTGTCTCCTCGAAAATCAAAGCCTCGTCGTCAACGAACAAGACGAACCCGAAGTCGCCACCACATCCTTGCTCTTGCCGTCGGCAAACAACAACAATAACAACAATGCCGACTTTTTGTATTCCCCCGATTCCACCGCCTTGCTCAAATTGTTGCTCACGCCGCGCAATGCCACGTCCCAATCCGATCGCAACGAATGGATCCTGTTTGCCGTAGAGGCAGTCTTACACGCCGTAAGAACAGTACCGACCAATCCCTGTGCCATGCCCGATCTCGAACATGGAAATTTACCGCTTCATTTGGCCGTACAGAATCATCGACACGAACGCAGTGCGCCCGGGCTGGTACAAGGACTCTTGCAGCATTATCCCGGAGCCATTCTACATGCCAATCACAAGGGACAGACCGCACTGCAATTGTTACTGGGATCGCAGCAAGCTTCATCCAGCAACAACGAAAACAACAACAACAGCAACTGTTGTTCGCTCGATACCATCTTCACACTCGTCAATCACAATCCCACGAGTGTTCTGTAATAGATCTCGATTCTACTTTATGCATGCATAAAATTCGATTTTTTTTCAATCCATCAGTAAATGTTAGAACCATCATCGTGCTATACATCACCAAAACGATCGTCAAGACGCATCGCACAAATCTTCCAGTGGAACAGGCATCCTCCCAACGAACCAGACTTTGACGACCCCACGTGCTGGGGTCCCCAGCCAGCTTCTCACGAGAGCAAGTTGCGAGGCATTAATCTCCACCTTGCATTAGGACGTTGTTGGGAGAACACTCTTGGAATCTCGAGGGTCTTTATCAACAACTACGATTGTACTGGATAAATAGATCGTAGTCGTCAAATAAATAAATAAAAACGCATCAACGCGGTTCCTGGGAGGTTACCGCTACCATGATCGTCGTGGTCTTTCCGACCGGATCATCTTGGACACATCAGGCATCACTTTTATTGGGAAATGGGAAATCTCCTTCGCAATGGGGAGGGAATTCTCTTCCTGGCTGGCAGTATGTTGCACGATTTCTTGGAGGTTTGGCTTCCGCTCGAAGGACGCTTATTAGGCAGTACTAGTGTAGCGTCCCGATTTTTATTGAGCAAGTCTCTAGTTACTAGTTATTGGCAAGCTACCATCAACTTGCCTGCATTGGGTTTGCTTCCAAACACCGGTATGCGACGTTGTGCACCAGTACGGTACCAGACAGTGGTACCCAGACACAACTCGTCGAAACTGTTTTTACACGCAAGCAACCATCATGACAGGAGTCTTGGCCTTGTAGCCCTTCTAGGTGTCCCTTCCCGTCTTGTTGTTTGGTAGCTACTCGTCGACGCCAGCAAACAAACAAATCGCTCACGGTTCTACCAAGCTGAGGTTTCATCATACGTATGGGAAACCCAAAGCACGTGCAACACTGACTGACACCCTTGAATGGTTCCCACCGAAACACCTTCAAGTCCACGAGCATACACGCGAACAACAACTCCTAGCAGCCATCACGGACCTCAACACTATCTTAACGTCCGCCCCAAATCATGCATCCCACGCAACCACCGCTCCATGCTCTTGTACATTACACCAAACTTTGCTTTGCTGTTCATCTTGGCAACAAGCTTGCTCTTCCAGTTTCCAGAGTCTTCGCAGATAGCACCGCAGTGACAGCCTTCATGGGGAGATCGGTATCAATGAGCTCCAGTCAGTGAGTACGTGAGTACGGCGCATGAGGTTGACACATTGTCCCATTCTTCCACAATCTTTTCGACGGTACGATGGCCCCAAGACCGCGATCCTTGTCCCGGGTGACCTGATCCACAGTTGCCTCAAGGTGGTGGACATGATAAACGTGCGAAAAATGGATCAAGATACCACATGCGTGTTCGATGGGGACGTCAATGACACGTTCGAGCGATGAAAGCTTTCACCATTTTTTTGCGTCTTGGCTATCTAAAGTTGGCAGCTGCTTGGTTCTATCGATGTTGGAATTGTGGAAACACAGTCAACTCCTCTCCCCATCCGTCAGATCAATTGAAATCGAAGGATAGATTCAATCGAATGGTTGTTCATCATGTTATGGGACCCTGAACCTTCAAAGTCGTCCCCGTGCGTGCGGTATAAGGAGCTGGGGCACAACCGTACTAGTGCACACATGCGAGCTGGCTGGGAAGGTTGGAGCCATATCAACTCGCTCCAGGGAAATACTATTGCCTCCAGCTGATTGACTGAACCCAACCAACCAAACACCTCAAGTGCCTTGGCCTACGGTACCGTACCGTACGGTACCACATCACCGTTGGAGACTATTGGACTTGCTTCCGGCTCTTTAAGGACGTGCAGCTTGCTTCTATGATGATGCCTGCATCGTGAACCTTCACAACGAAAGCTGTGACGAGGTTCGAGCGAAAGACAGAGGGCTACCAAGAAGCCATTCGGTTGATGGTAGCCAGATTGCCAGTATCCCCAGGCTGAAGGTCATGATGAAGATACTAGTATTGATTGAACGAATCGAATCATTCTCTCATTCAATCGAACAATCCAGCTGTTCCAGAGTGTCCTCAAGATGTTGTATCTTTTGTAAGTGCTTTGTGATATGACAGGAAAAGCCTTCAACCCAGTGTTCTCGCGCATTCATTAATTCCGCAAGGCAATTGCAAATAAATCCCAGCTTTGGCTTTATTATTACCGGCAGGCCTTTCCGTGCCACTCCAGATCCGTGAAATCAAGGTTCGCATCAATCTCATTTTTTTGACAGATTTCTTCCTTCTTGTAGCAAAAGAAAAGATCCGCAAGTACATACATGTACGCCTGCAAAAGGATCCTGCTCCTACGCAACCAAACCCTGTGGTTCCGCCGCCCCATTACATTCATACATATATCCAATCCAAACCATGGCTGCTGCTACCAAGACACCCGATTCCAGGCCTGGGTTGCCTCCCAAGCAACAATCCAAGAACATGTCGGCAACGCAGATTCTGAAGCAGCGTCCCAGCCGCCTCTCCATGGAAGGCTACATTTACAACGCCGACAAGGTGTTGGAGATTGCCTTGGACCCGACCACTCGTGAGATCCCGACGGATTTGGTGGAAAGATGCAAGGGAGTGGCCATTCTCAGTATTTTCCATATTGGAGCATTAATGACGATGCACTATGGCACTGGCGTCGTCATGGCCAAGAATCCTCCAGGGGCGGAGACCAAGTGGAGTGCTCCTTCGGCGTGCTTGGTCAATGGATACAGCATGGGCGCTCTCTTGGGAGGTAAAGCCGACAGCACCCTCGTTTTCATCATGAATGACGAGACTATGAAGGATTTTGTCCATCGTCCTCAAACACGAATGGGTCTGGATGCCGCCCTAGCCATTGGTAAGATGGGCGGAGACAAAACCGTCGGCATTGACGGCAAGGGCACCATCTCCTTTGCCTACACCAGTGGAGCCTTTGCGGGCTTGAGTCTTCAGATGGGAACCTTGGTTCATCAAGCCAAACAAAACGAAGTCTTTTACAACAAGGAAAAGGTCGAAGCCAAGGATATTGTGCTTTCCAACACGGCCGTACAAGTCCCCTCCGATTGTCAAGTGGGTGACATGTACAAGAAACTGGACCTCCTCGAACAGGGCATGACGTGGGTGCCAACCCCAGAGGATATGGACCGATCGTCGCGCTTCCTCGAAGGAGCCCAGTCGTCTTCGCAGAGATTCACCAAGTCTCAACTGGCTGGGGCTGCCTAAAACCAAAGCTGCCAGAGGCCCGTTCCTTGTCTCTTCTTTTTGGATTCGATAGCATTTGCTATTGGTGATGTATCCCATTCCCCGATGGGAATGAATCCATTATTTGTGTTTGTGGTTTGCTTTGCATGGTGGATTTGCGCAAACGGTCTGGAACGTGTTGTTCGCGGAATATCCTTTGAAGGAACGCACCGTAGTTTATAAGTTCTGATTAGGTTGTTCAATCTATCTGTAACAACTGACTATCTTCCCAACTTTCGTAGTACTAGTACCCTTCCAGTGGCTCACACGTTGGAACTGGAAATGAGCGTCACTATGTGCCTCTTCAAATTGCACGGACGAGGCCAATGTTCCATTCACTAATCGGCTGGCTAGCTTGGTTGATCCATTGAAGCTTAAGACACCCAAGCCAACCCGTTCTGGTCCAGCATTTGCAGCCCCCGAAGATACATAATACGGAAGCAGCAACCAAGCCGGTACCGACATTGACATCATCGCACACTGGCGGTGCGGGACGAAAGAGATTTTCTCCTCGTTTAATACGAACATTCTTCTATTGCTGCACCGTAATTTATCTGCCAAAATCCTTTGACTAGTTCCCTCATGGGAGTGTGCTGCTGTCCGAGGCCTGTCACCAAAAATCCCCACACGTGCCAACGCTGGCGTTCCACTGTCACATGCAACAAAACAAAAACGACCCTTTTCTTATTCACATGGCCACATACGATGGCGCATGACAGTAGCTGAAGTTGTTCCCTTCCCGATAGAGCAAGGTAGCCCGACTTACTGCTCGTCGTCCCGTGGCAATTAGCTCTTCCAGATCCTTCAGCAGGATCGGATTCAAGTTGAAGCCACTGTGCCTGATGCCCGCAATGTTGGTATCCAGCCCCGTCGTATCAATCACATCCACATCCAACCAGGCACGATCCTGGACTTGTTCTTCGTCATCACCATCGGTGCAAACAATAACAGGGGCGCGCTCCTTGAACAGGAGTGCATCATTGACGTTGTCTTTATCAATGTCGGATGGGAAGTACAATGACTCGATACTCAAACCAATCACTTGCTGCAGAAACCGGTGCTTTCCTTGGTATACCTCCCGTTCGGAATGGCTTGCGCAATCACGACTCGGTCTGGGCTGCAGAACCTCGGGCTGATCGTAACCGAAGTAGACGCGTAACCCATTAAAGAGTTGACTCACCAACAGGGCTTTGTCCTGCCGGTCCCCGATGATGGTAATGGTGCTGCAAAGGCGCCGCACAGATCGAAAGGCTCGATTCACAAAGGCTTCCAAGGGAAAATCGGGGTTCAGCATTGTGACGGTCCGGCAAATCATCTTTTGTTCGCCATTGGGGGCCGCACCGGTACCCGAGTGACTACGCGAGGACAAATCTTCTTCATCCATAAAGTCTGGGTCGAGTTGGAAACACAACGAAAGGTCACTTGGCGAACCGTCTTCTTTATCAGCAAAGCCCCCCAAGAGTGTTTGCACTCCCATGGAACTAGAATTGTTCCGATTTTGCGACGAAGATGGAAGAGCGACGGACAAACGTTTGTAAGACAATCCATCGCCATAACAATATAGCACGAAGGGCAACAATGACACAACAACAACAAGCAATGTCCCACTCACTGGCTCATGAAATGCACATTCCGGATTCCCGCCGACTGAAGTCCCTGTACCAACGCCAACAGATTTTCGTAATTCGGTTCCGTGGCTGCTTGTTGGGACGCCAGATGGTACGAGAATCGTTGTCCACAGGGCCAGCCAAAAATGATGGGGTACACCCGAGAATCGAGACGCGTCATGGCAATGAACTGTCCCAATGCTTCCAATGCGTTCTTGAGTGGCACCTTGTACCCAGGAAAGAAAATGAGGGCATCCTTGTGAGGAGCTGGAATCCAATCTTGTATCCGCAGAGACGCATTGACCAACCGAAAGGGTTCCAATCGTCGGTGTTGTTCGGTCAAGTGTTCACTGGCACCTCCCATGCTCAATTCTATATCGTGCGACGCAAAGGCAAATGCCGACGAGGAACTGTATGCGCTGGACATCCCCGAGCTATTGGAAATGGCTCGAAACGGCGGGGTGCTGGGTGGGGGTGGATCGAATGCAGCAGATTGCTCGGGTATTTCCTCCTCCCGACTGTGCGCACTGGAAAATTCAAACAGTTCGTTGGAGAATGTTTCCACGACAGCGTTGTTGTTGCTGAAAACCGCGCTGTTGTCTTCCACTCTGCTGCTGCTGTTGTTGTTGTCGTTTTTGTTGTTGTTATTGTTGCTGAAACCTGCACTCTCTTCCCCCCGGAGGTTCTGAGAGTCTTCTTCGACGACCGTGGCAAGCTCGACTGGTTTTTCCGATTCGTCACCGCTCTCGGATTCATTGTCGCAAACAATAATTTTTTCGGGTCGAAACGATTGTCGCGAAGCTCGTGGCATGAAATTGAGCGATCGTCGGGGTGTCAATCGCGGTCGGTTGTTGGGTTGTTGTGCCTGTTCTTCCGTCTCTCCGTCGTCAGTTTCCTTGTCGACCATGACCACCACTTTATCGGTTCCGGCGTGAAATGATTCTCCCGTGGGACCATAGACATGCCCTCGTACTTGCACACCCCGTGGATCACTCGATTTAATTTGCACAATTTGATGCACTCGTTCCTCTTCATCGTCGACATGTGTCAACTGTCGACACAATTTCCCCACGGAATGTTGTTCTTGATCCAACCAATGGGGTCCCGACAAGTGCGTCGCCAATGGCAATTCATTGTAGAACGATCCCGAAATACTGCATTCGACACTGGTCAATCCAATCCGCGGTGGCTTGTCGTTGGAAGGCCAAAATTTCGTAGTCGTGTATTCATCATCACTGGCCATGATATATCCTACCCGTACTGCCTTGAAGGCATCCCCGGTTCCATAATGACGCGATGCAAATGGCGCAATGGGGAATCCATTGATCCACGTTCCCGTAAGGACTTCCCCCGAATAGGCATCATCGAGCCATCTACCAAATCCATGTGGCAACCCGGTTGCATTGGTTTCTCCATCGTATTTGCAAGTGAATCGTTTCCCCCAGCTCCCCACATACGTCATGGTCCAATCCGAAACGACCTTGATGCGCCAGAAAATCCCAGCTCGTGATTTTCGTCGAAACCAACTGCTCATGACAACCTTGGGGTATATTTTGTAGAGTGTGAGGAAGACTACCAGTACGGTCATTTCCGAAACGAGCAATAGAATGGCCACGACGGAATTGACGAGACTGGTCGTGTCATCATTTCCCACAACGAATTGTACAATCATGGCACAGAGTGGCAAATAAATGACCATCCAATAGATCAACGTGATCCATTTGGATTCTCGAAAGACAGACGTCACAAATGTCACGACAATGACATAGATCATCATGATGAGAATGTCTTGTAAATTCAATTGAATAATGGGTGCCGTGGATGTATCATTCTCTGTGGAATTTGTTGTGGAAGCTGCCATGGGTGCCGAACTGTAACTGACGACTCCCACGGCCAGTACAAAGTAGGCCATCAAGACAAAGACATCGAGGCGACTTCGTTTGGTTTTGGTTCCCGTCAATGCTCGATTGAGTTTTCGTAATTTCATCGTCATGAACACTTGTTCTTGTTCGGGTGTCAAATCGCGTGGTTTGCGGACAATCCACCGCCATCGTTTCTTTTTCTTTTTCTTATTAGATTTGTTGCTGTGATTGCTGCGGTTGGACGATGTAATGCTGTTGTTGCCAGTGTTGTTGTTGTTGTTGGTGGTGGTTCTGTTTTGCTGGTCCGTTCCGGCTTGATAGGCATTCGTAGGTCTTGCAGCAGCAGCAGCGCTTGGTCGATAGCGCACATCGGGTTGTGGATTGATGGCAAACGATTGACTGCTCGCCCGGGATGTATCAGAGTCCTCCTTGTCTGTCATCTTTTCGATTGCTCTTCCCGAGTGCTGTAAGGTGAGTGTGATGTGATCTCAGCAGACCCCTTTAAATTTATTGTCGTGCCGTAAGGTGAGTGTAATTCAGTGTCGAGAGACGAACGCCACTGGTTGCCCAAAATTGAGACAATTGGTGACCTTTCTCTGTCTATCTATCTTGGATTTGCAACAGGAGTCGACTCTTTGTTGGAGTTTGTAGAATCGAATCGTGCGGTGAATTGTCTAGGTCTTGCTAGCTTCCTAGAAAGCTAGCTAGGTAGCGGGCTAGTCGTAGAGGCTGGTTGTCGTTCTGTCTGCTCGGTTCAACAGCGTGTTCTCTTCTCCCAACAACCAAGAGTTCTGACAACCCTTCAAGGAGGAGCTCTACGGTATGTGCGCAACCACAAACACAGCAAACCTTGGCTTCCCCAAAACTTGGTGGCCTTCTTTCTCTCCCCGCCAAAGCCTTCTTTAAGCTGTGGGAACCGGTACACGACGAGGACAAACAATGCAATGATGGATGGCCGCCAATACTGGAACCACTATGATAGCAAGCTAGCTAGCTAGTCAGTCTTGGCTCTTGTCTCGCGCAAATAAATGTTCTTGCTGCAGTTCAGAGACGAACAAGCAGGCTGCTGTGATCTTGGACATATCCAGTAAAGTCAAAAGGCTTCTCTATCTACTAACTCGACACGTCGGTACAGTACAGTAATCAATCGTAACACAGCAAACACAGGCACAAGGAAGTGGCCGCCAGAAACTGGCTCATCGCCACGGTTTGTGTCGCTTGGAGCCACTCTGCGTCTTTTATGAAACCACATGTACTACTAGTACGGTACCTTTACCGCTACCACGTGTACGGACGCGCAAACCCAAAAGCCAAAATCTACAACAAATCTTCCAACCAACAACCAACACCTTAGCTAGTCTAGCTAGTCTAGCTACTAGCTAGTAGCCTACCCTTTTGATCTGACATATTCTGTCTGTGTTGCTCTTATTGTTAGCATCATGCCTTGCATAATGCCGCCCCAGATTCCAAAGACAGGGTCTAATTGGCTCTGGTCATCAAGCAAGAAAAAACCAAACAGACAACACTAGACTACAAGGACTTTTCTTCTTCACCTTGGAATTCATTCATTCATTCATTCTTCATTCATTCTCTCCGTCCACCCAAAGATCAGCAATGTATCTGTCCACTATCTGGCATGGGTCGCTAGCTAGCTACTATCTTTTGTGGGACATGCATGTCACAACAAACAAACAAGTCGAGTCAGTCATCAATCAGCTATGAGCAAAATAGGCTGGGACAAGGTTCCAAAGCCATTCGTCAAGACAGCAATGTGGCTCTACTAGCTAGCTAGCTAGCTAGATACTACGAAGCAAGGCCAACAACTAGCAGCACCGGCATATAATATTACCCTGTACTATCACATCCTCCACTGTGGCTGGCTTAGCTATGCAGCAGCCTTCTGGAACAGGCAGCTCACTACCGTACTAAATTGACAGTTTGGCTTTACGTGCGACACTTTGCTGCAGACTCCACTCGACTCATTGCCTTGTATGGTATGGGACTGTTGCCGTGATGATGCAATGCATCATGGTGGGCCCACAGGAGCAGTGGCAGCCTGCGAATGGGATCAACAAAATAAATTTGCTCTGCGGCTGCTGGCTGCTCAGCCAAGCTGAACAAGCAAACTTGCTCCCATGCTGCTAAAAATGGACATATATATTTGCTAGTTTGGACTGTCTGAAAATGGAGGATGAGGAGATTATCAATCCCACAGCAAATCAACAACCACAATGCAAATGCACGACTGCAACCAGAGGGATGAATTTAGAATAATACACGTAATATTAATATTTTTCGAATCCGTTGCCAATGACCGTTACATTCATGCTCGGTACCCCGAAAGTGATTATGAAGGGCCCAGGGGAGAAGGAGGAGGTTAAGCTATCTGGACAAAGGCATCTAGTGCACATGTTTTGGAGTTGTGGTACCCTAAAAGTGATTAGTTGAAGGGGCTCCAGAGGGGAGAAGGAAGGAAGCTATTGGACAAAGGCATTAGTTGCACATGTTTGAGTTGTGGTACCCATAAAAGTGATATTGAAGGGGCTCCAGAGGGAGAAAGAGAGGGTAAGCTAGTCTGGACAAAGGATCTAGTGCACATGTTTGAGTGGTACCCAAAAGTATTAGTTGAAGGGGCTCAAGGGGAGAAGGAGGAGTTTAAGTAGTCTGGACAAAGGATTAGTTGAACATGTTTTGAGTTGTGGTACCCGTAAAAGTGATTAGTCAAATGCACTCCAGAGGGATTATGTACAAGTACAACATGTATGTGGGTACGGTACGTACTTTCGGAGTAACTTAAAACAAGGGTTGGAAGCAAAACTTGTTATCTTAAAGAGGGTGTGCGCGGTTTGAATCGCGTCCACCGCGCGATCGATACACATCGACTCGTGACGTCAGTCTGGTCATGTAGGATTCGTACCACACGGACGTACGGAGCGTGTGGTATGTGTGTCGTAGCGTGTAGGATTTGTACCACACGGTACAGAGGTAGATAGTACTGTATTTTTTAGTAAACATGACTAATCGATCGCAGATAGGGTGGCCATACGGTTTCCACTCTTTGAGCTATCTTTTGACGTTTGTTTGCTCAAACCAACCTTCACAGCAACACCATGGCTCGTTTCGGCAGACAGAAACAACGCTTAGCAGAGGCGGCCAATGGCAGGTCAAGATGGACAGAACGCCCCCTAAGTTCGCCACATCCTTTTGTCACTGTGGCATTGTTGGTGGTTGCGTTATTTCAACAGTCTCAGTTTCTAGGCCAGATTGCTCTTGCGAAGACAATCAATGGAGGCGGCCAAAAGGCAGTTGAATCATCTTCAAAAACAACAGTTGCAGGTGGTGGTTTTGAAGATGATTCAACTGTGACACCACCTGCAACTGCTTCTGCTGCAACTACGGATCCGGAGATTGCTCTTGCGAAACCAACAACCGGAGGCAGTCTAAAGGAAGTCGAATCATCTTCAAAACCACCCCCTTCTACTGCAACACAACCTGAAACTATAACAGCACCAGCAACTGCTTCTACTGCCACATCCAAGAATTGGTGGGAAAAGCCACAACCGCTTCTGTTGGACTGGCCTGATTTGCCGGTACGAAATGACATTCACCAATATCTAGAGCTCCTCAAATTGAAGCGAGGTGCCGAAGTTGGTGTTCAAAAAGGTCTATTGGCTCGAAAGACTTTGAAAACCTGGAAATCATGTGAAGAGTATGTGCTGATTGATCTCTGGGGAAAGTAAGTGGACAATGCCCTTGGAAGGAAATGCTTGTTGCCCTATTGCACTCACAGTGGAATCATCCTATGACCATTTTGCAGTGAAGCAGGATATATTGAGCCAGGTCCTGATACCAACGCCTACAAACAAGCACATCTGAGCAATGCCCGGCGAATTCTAAAGCCCTATGAGAATATCACCCATTTCTACGTCATGAGATCCACAGATGCTGCCAAAAAGTTGAAAAAGGGTTCCTTTGACTATGTTTATATTGATGCCAGACACGATTATTGTGCTGTAGCAGAAGATATTGAGCACTATTGGCCCACATTACGGCCAGGTGGGATCATGGCAGGACATGACTTTGTGGATGCACAATATGCGATCGATCGACTGGGGCCAGTGGAAGACTGGTCCAAGTGTGAGGATGGGAGTCATCAACCGAGGGCTGTGCGGGGGGCAGTGGAAGATTTTGCAAAGGAACACAACCTGAATATCAAAACAACACAAGAGGGCTTTCCAACGTGGTTGATTCAAAAACCCTACTGAGTTTAGAGAAACAATGTGTCATATATTCGATTCTGCTATTTCCAACACTGCGAGGCTTTTGTTGGGTACTCAAAGTCAATCCGCACGATTCTGTTGGGAGAACAGAGCCTCCAATCATGACATGAAACACTAAATGGCTGAATTTGAGAAACAGATAGGCACATATGGCTGCCAATCCCCTCCCCTTCAACCCTTGCACAATCCTCCCATCCCTACCAGCATCACTATAAGATGTAAGCGCTGTTAATTCAATAGCACGTCACATGGATCCTTCTCCAAGTGTTCTGTCATGAGTGTGTTGATTTCTACCTTGGTTTGTGAGCAACCAAACGAACCAACCCCGGGCCAACTTTCAGGTGATGACGCACTGGTTGACTGCTCAGCCATCGCCTTCCCTAAATGTAGCCTAACTAGCTAGTTAGCACGATATCTATCTGTGTTTTTATTCTGCGGCAACTTTGGGGTGTTGTCACCGCGTTACGATTTGAATTGTCCGTCCAGCAAAAACTTGGATAGCTAACTACACCGTACCAGCTGATCATCAGCTGTACAAGGCATCAAAGTCGTCATCCTCATCGCCGCCATCGGCTTCACTCGTACTCTGGTGCGAAGCATTTCCTTGTTCAAGTCCCCCTGCTGCCCAAGGATTGAACGTCTCTTCAACTTGCTGTGCATTGGTAGGCGTCGTGGTACTGTTGCTCGTTGCCTCTGCGGCATTAGTTTCTGGCACCGCTGGTGGAAGGACGGCTTGCACCAAAAGGCTTTCCTCGCTTTGTTCCAATGACTCTCCAGGCATCGCATTCAAACTGGCCTGATGCAGCTGCAGAAACGATCTGGAGCATGTCTCGAGCGATCTTAGATCCAAAGCATTGAGGGGAACGGCACCCCATGCCGTACTTTCCTCTTGGCTCGGTAGTTTGTGGTTGACCAAATCGTCCGCTGTCAGCAAAGTGAGCAACTCTTCGTAGGCTCGAACAAAGCTTTGAAAAAGGGGAGTCCCTTGTGCTTCCATCGTCCATCGACGGGCCTGCACCAGAATCCGTTTACGACACAGGACAAAATGGCGCTTGGTGACTTCCTCAAAGCCAAGTGGAGGATGGCGAAGATGAGCAATCATGGCATGACGAAGTGTGTGCAATCGAATCTTATTGTTGAACCGCTTTGACCCCTCTTCTCCCGCAGGAGTTCCTCGTTGGCCATCGTGGCCGAACCCATCACTGAAATAGGGCTCGGCATCTCCCAGTAACTGTGTCTGAATGGATGCCAGTACCTGTGCCAGAGAGGACGTGGATGGATTCCACCGTTGCGAGTCATCCCATGCTTGGTACGTCCCCAAGATGGAGATACAGACCTGTTCGTTACAGATAGATAGAACAGGAAGCAAGGTGAGCTCACATCCAGCAAAAGGTTTTCTGGCATTCTTCACAATCTTGAAGACTTACCTTTCCGTCATTGTACAAGTTACTGGATATACGAGTTTGTCCATTGCCTGTAAACGAGGACAGAGGAAGTGAGACCAGTTATCGCCCACTCCATCAATATCACCACCAGCTCAACGCACCTGTGGTTCGAAAGTTGAAGAGCGGGGGAGAGCCAGGGTAGTGCGTGGGGAATAGAATATCAAATTCGAACATCCCCAGGGCGAACGGCGTGTCAGTTGCACCTGTTATGATTGCTTTGGAAAGGTCCATTCGTTCTTCGGCGAAGCAGACAAAGACAGAAGTATTCGGATGTGGGGCTGGCAGAAGGCGCCGGCACTTTCGTGCTTCCTTGATCATAACCTTGCCGGATACGGTAGCCTCGACGCTTCTGCCGCGTACAATCGAGTCATACGAATGGGAAAACGAGCCATTATCGGCCTTGGAAAGGAACGATTCAGAGGACACAACCCATTCTCCCAAGAACTCATCGTAAGCGTCATCTTTCAGAGGTTCGCCCTCGCCCAGCAACTTGGCCTCGAGCTTATCCATAGAGGCATCTCCCCAAGTGGCAGCGACCACTGTGGTCGGCTTGTTTGCTAGGGCATGCTCCAAATCGTCCAAGAACGCTTGAATGTCTTTTGCATCCGCCAGGTCTTCAAGTTCCTCATGAGACATCCTGTCCTGCTTAGCAGTCTGGCGCCGACCGCGTCCCTTGTCTGGACCGGTGCCAACAATCTTGTACGAGCTCTTCCAGATTGACAAGTCTATGTGTCCGTCTCTTGCCAGAATGTAGGCGGCGTTGTCGACTTCGGTTCCCGACATTTCCCGCGGGGTGGCAATGAGGCGCTTGGCGACGTTTCGAAGCTTTCGGATGTTGCACAAGTCATTCTCCGCAACCACAGACAAGAACTTGGAAGTTCTTGCACCCCCCTTACTCACAGAAGCAGCCGCAAGATGCCATCGAGCCGCAAGCGCCAGCAGTTGATGTGTCACAATACTGACGTCCAAGCCGTACTCAAGGAGTGCAAATCTACGTGAGTACACAAAGTAGTGCAACACCTCCTTCAACTGATCTGGTGGGACATGATCAAGTCGATCTAGAACTCCAGCAGATCGCTCCTCGGCTGGTAATTGGCGCATCTCGAGCTCAGGATGAATCCCTCCATCTTCGTCTGTCAACCTGTCCATCAGGTTAACGAACATCGCGGCAAGATCTGGAGCCGCCAACTTGCCAATCTTCTCGGATTGCCCTGCGTCGCCCCCGAGGATGGCTGCTATCTTCGCCTCTTGGGTGAATTTGTACAGTATCATGAAGAGCCGCCGGCACTGATACGTGCTGAATGAGAGGAATTTGGCGTGATGGTCCACGGAAGCTTCATCTCTTCGAGAAAGAGGTGGAATTTCTCGCGCTCGGAGGAAGCGCTCCTCATGGGCAGCTCGGACATCTCGAATATCGAGGATAAACTGGCAGGCCTGGTCAAGTAGGAATCCAAGTGCCCCTGCAATGGAGGAGCTGAACTCGTTGATTGCAATGCCATCCAGATCTTGGACAATATACTTGCGAGATTCACCGTTGGGATGACACCAAAGTCGCAAAAGAAGATCAGCAACCTCGTTCTTTACTTGAAACTTCTCAAAGTGATGTTCTCGTTCCACATCCATTCCTTCCACAGCATCCATTGCCAAGTACGCCCGCATAAGAGTCGGGCCTAACTGCTCAGAGACAAACTTATTGGTAAAAACTGTCACGCCCAAATCTCTGGCGTCGAAGGAGTGGTAAATATCCAGGGTTCTGTCATCAATCAAATCCAGATCGAAATCTTCCTCTTCTTCTTCGTCGTCGCGTTCTGTGTTTCGGTTTCGGAAGTTTCGCATTGAGCGTCCTCGACGGTGTGGTTTTCCCTTCTCCCTGGCCCTGGCTCTTCGCACGCCCTCACGAATAAAGGCCCCGGCAATGCGGATGAGTTGACAGAGAACTGGCGGCGAAAACCTTTTTTTCGATGTATCCAGAGACGTCTTGGTGGTCCCAGCTTGTAATATTTGTGTCGCATACTTGACAGCAGATTCTCCCTGATGGGGAGAAAACAAATTGGGTGTATACACGGCCACGTCTGCAAAGAGAACGGCGACAAAGAGTCAGCCAATAGTGTTCCTCCTCCAAACCATGCCATGCAGCACGAAGAAACAGAAAGACTTACGCGCCAACCACTGTGACGGGAGTTTGACAAACCACTCTGGGATGCGCCCCAGTGCATCCTCATCGTCCACGGCGGTTGCTACCCACTGCAGTTGCATCAAGGAGAAGGATGTAATCAAAGCACTGGTGTCGGGGTCATCCACTACGGCACTCCAACCGTGTACGACACTGGAACACTTTTGGAACTGCTCCATGACATCTGCACGAAGTCCCCGCAATTGCTCCACGGATGGATGCTGAGACGCCAAATTCTGCAAGGCAGCAAAGACGTTGCGAAGCATCGACTGGAATTCTTCGCTTACCCGGAACCCCGGAAAGAGACTGATCCGTAGTAACGCCGCAGTCAAGAAGAAAAACTCGGTTGCTCCCGAGAAGCGTTCAGGCGCGCCATCCACCTTCGGGTTTTGTCTTGGTTGGTCAATCAAGGACCGCTCCACACGCGCAATGACAAGCCCCCACTTTTGGTTGCTACTACTATTGTCTTTGTCGTCTTCTTTTCTCAGATATCGACAGTCAAAAGCACTCGCCGAATTCATATCCAACATTCGAGTCGTCAAGTTTGTAGTACACATTTGTAAGAGCGAGGTGGTAATCCCCATCAAGAAGGGACGAGACGCACACAAAGCTTGAGCAGAATCGGGCGAGAGCAAATCGCTCTGGAGCATGTCGACCAGTGGTTCGTTGGCTTGGACGAGACATCGAATCCATTCCAAGAGGCTGTTGGACGAGTCCGTTTTGGATGCTGCCATGCGTTTCAGCACAAGGGCTCCCGCCGTCCGTGCCGCCTTCATGATGGAGCGGGAATGTTTCATGGTCCCGTGGAAGGACGCCAACGAGGCATCGTACCCTTTTCGTGAATACAGACAAACGGGATACTCTCTGCCAATGGAAACCATGGCAGCATGAAAAGCGGATGGGAGTAGAAGATTGTAGGGCGGACCACTTCGCGGAACATTACCGTTGAAACGAGGGACGGTAAAAGCTGCAAGATAAAAGAGGGATTTCATAAAACACTGTTCTTCCAATTGCTTGCCATCCGTTGCGACTTGGTCTTGTGTAGATGATGATTCCGAGAGTACCTTGGAAGTCTCCTGTGACGATACCAACATGAGTAGATTGACCAATGCAGTGATCTGCCCGTGGGTATCATCCCAATCCAGTGCCGTAGAATGTTCGGGTGTAGGCAATCGAAGGAGACATTCCTCGAGCAACAAGACTGCCAAGGGTTTGTCGTTGTTGTTGTCGTCGTTGTTGTCATAGGTTTGTATCAAGTGTGCCAGAAATGGTTTGGTCAATACTTTGGTACACGCGACGGGATTTTCCAAAATGGCAAATACTTCGTCCACGAGGTTTTCCTCCCCAGGCTTCTCCTTTTTTGCTTTGGTTTGATTGGTTCTTGTTGTTGTTGCTGTCGTGGTTCCTCCACCGTAGGATTCATCCGCAAAGAGTCCCAGGTCAACATCATCATCGACGAGACTATTGGAGCTACCTTGCTGTTCTTGTTGTTGTTGTTGGCGAGCCAGATGGTGGTTGCACATGTCGACTTTTAATTGTTGCGCGAGTTGTTGCAGGATCCACTTCTGAAAAATGAGTTCCAGTACAGTCGTGACCTGCTGTCGTAATTCGTCGTCACTGTTAGAATTAGAAGAAAGTCCCACTACGTGATCGGTCCACCATGATTTGCTCTTGTGATACCAGTCGGATGCCTTGTAGAGAGTTCCATCACGGAGCGTTGTGGGAACATACAAGGACGATTTGGTGGGTCCCGCATTGAGGCGTGCCCAGAGTGGTTCCAATGTCAAAGATGCCGATGGAGATGACACTGCCGTGGTAATGTCTTGCCAGGTATTGGAGGACAGACCGGAGAGGGCAATGGTAGGTTTATCACTGTTGTTGCTGCTGTTTGTTTTGGCATTTTTAGTGGATGAATCGGCGTCCTTGTCCAGTACAATGTTGCAGCTGGTGATGGAAGAGAGAGCAATCAAAAGTATGTCCGTTGGTGAATTGCTGCCATCGAGTAGTGAGTTTCTCTTTTTGGATGCCTTCTTTTTCTTGGCGTTGTTGGTTGTATTTGTGGTTTCACTTGTGGTGGTTGTAGATGAATTTGTAGATTTGGTCTTTGCTGTAGTGACATCAGCCTTGTCATGCTTTCCTGTTGGCGTAGTTTTGTCATTGTGTGCTGTTGATGTGGGTGCTGGTTTCTCTTTTTTCGTTTGTTCTTTGCTTTCATTTTTGATTTTGACTTGTGGCATGGTTTCTTTCTCCTTCGAGTGACAGTCAGATGAAGACGTTGGCCTTTTCATTTTCAAAACTTGAGTTGGAGTTGTTCCAGTATGTTTGGTGTTCTGTGTCTTTGGAAGCTGTTTCTGGGGAGTTTGTTCTTGCTTCTTGGGAATGACGTCTTGTGATTGTTTCTTGGGAGTTTGCTCTCTTTTCGTCGGAACTGCCTTCTTGGCTGCTAGCTTGTTGTTTGTCGTCTTTGGATCTTTTGGAGTTTGTTGTTCCAGTCGGCTCAATCTCTTTCGTCTCGCTTCTTCGGCTGCTTGGGCTGCTTCCTCGGGTGATAGTTGTTGTTGTTGTTGTTGATCTTGGTGTTGCTGCCACAACAAAAAGGCAATGGCCATGACCAACACTGTGATGGCCATTGTGGAAAACGAAAACGACCACGACGAGGACGAAGCTGAAGTTTCTCCATGAAACTTCAAGTCACCAACACCAGGAACCGTAGGAGCCGCACGTCGTTGTCTTTCTCCTCCTTCCGCATTGGCAACGCCTACTAGTACGACTTGCAGCACACCCAGCACCAACGGCAACCAAAGACCCATCTTCACTCCAAAATCCACGACTGGTGGATCTTTCGACCAGACAACGGTACTGTAGTTGTAGATTACTCGTACTGTAGTGCAGATCTCACGTTGCCTTTCCAAGTCGACTCGACTCGCTCCAGCACGCTGCGAATATCTTCAGAAAGCTCTGTCTATATTGGTCCACTGTACCGTACCTATCCAAATGCCACATCAATTGAGTCGAGTCAATGGCAACTCTTGTCTTTGTGGTCGTCGTTTTCGAAGAGAGCCGAAAAGCAAATTGGATCTTTTGTGAGCCAGCAAAGCGGTTAGTTTGTGCAAGAGTTTGTGCAAGAGTTTGTGCAAGACCCGCACCACTTCACAACCCATCCTCATTCATTTCCCGCTTTGGATGTTGGATCTTTTAGATCTGCTCTGATCTGCTCAGCTCAATCAAGCAATCTAGGCAGAGCCTCTATCGATAGTTGCTCCATTTCATAACTCATTGCAACATACAGTATGGCATCCACCAACGATCTCGAAATGTCAAGTCTCCTTGGTCATGCTACGATATTCAAGCAACTCTTGCAGCATTCCAAGCACAAAGGGACATTTCTTTGTTGCGACAGCCAATCCACAATAGATTTGTTGCAGGAAGTTCCGTCACCCACATCATTGGTGGGTCCCATCCTCTCCATGATGCATGTTGCCCCATTGGAGCATCTGGACGACAGGGCTAAAGGGTCCACAACAGCATTGACAGAAAATGCTGCAGCGGATTTGACATATCAGAAAGGAGCAACTGTGATGGCAACTGAGCTTATTAGAATAAGGTTGACTAAAATAGCCCCTCCTCAATACAACAACCTATCCTTTGCAACGAAAGTAGATTCCATTAATGGTGGATTTTTGGCACCCGATTTCCAGTTTCCCAATGACGTAGATCATGCATACCAACTAGGCCTTAGAGCAGCAAAAACTCTAGAGGCGAAACTTGACCAACAGTTTAAAAAGAGGACGACAAAATATGAGAATCTTGTAGCCAATAATAAGGCATGCGAACAAAAGTTGTCTAAGGTGTTACAGCCAATGAACTTGTTATGAAAAAGGCTCAAAGCTCCAAGCACCAGAGCACTGGAAATCTGAGTTCTATACGAGCTACCCTTTCAAATGCGACAAGGATCCATTATCTTTTAGTTGTGGAAGGTGGGCTTCTTTGAAAGTCTGCAACACTATGTTGGTTTGGGTGTGGCTTGGCCACCTGAAAGTCACAATTTCTATACAAAGCTAGCAGCCCAAACCCGGCTACTGGGACAACTATTCAATATTACTTTTGCGGAAACCCAAAACATTAAAACGATGAACAAGAAGCTTACCCAAGTAGAGAACCAGCGCAGGGCCATCCATTGTATGCTCGAATGTGCATGAGGTTTGTTGCTTGCTTGCTCCCAGCTCGAACATCTCAAGCAATCCTGGCTGGGAGCAAGCTTTGAAACAGGACAATTAGTTTAGATAGTAGTGGTAATTACTAGCAGTTGATGCACCATTTGTAGCTGTGGCATGATAGCTAGCTAGCTAGCTTGCTTACCAGGTAGCTACCGGTAGCAGTATTGGCAACCATCGTGCATCTCTTAATGGCAAGGTGTTTAGCTTTTTATATTTACTACAGATTCGAGAAGAACTGTCCGTGCGAAGCCGATTGCGCCACCTCTGAAGCCAATTGCGGCTGCTCTGTAGAAAGCTGGTAGCTTTCTACGTGAAAGGACCGAATCCGAACTGGTCCCAAACTTGTCCCACTCAACTCTATCCTTAAAGGGGAAAGGTTCTTTAAATAAGTAGAAGGTGAAATCTGCTTCCCGCTGGGCGCAATTCTCTTCCGACGTGCCGCAATTCCATTCCTGGGGTTGGGCAAAGACAGTTGTTCCCGAATCCGTAGTAATTACCGGTTTGGTACAAGGTGATTTCTTTGTTGCAGTGCGGCGAAACCATGTGTACCGGTAACCGTATGATTGAGAATACTCGTACATGTACTGTATTCTCAATCTCGGTTCGATTGATCATTCTAGCTATACTGTACGGTACCGGTACCTGTAGCAAGATCTATGCATAGTGTCGTTGGGGCAACCTCGAAAACAGAGGCCATGGTGATAGCAGTGTCGTGTGCCGTGCGCGGCTACAACATCCAAATTGTTTACATTATCTGCAATGTCGACAGTTGTTGCTGTTGCTCTCTCACATGCGACACATTAACGCCCTATCTTACTTTATTTTAATATGCATCCACTTCTACTAGGAGAAGAAAAGAAGGACGAGGTGGGTTTGGCTGACGAGCAAAGTGGCGGAAACGATAGAGAAGACGACGATAGCGACAACGATAGCGAGGAGTTGGTGGACCTTCCTCTGGAAATAACGCAACTCATTGGAGAAGATCGAGTATTCGAATCGGAAGAAGAACTCTTCGATACTCTTGAAAAAGTTGGCGTTGGTGATCTCCGCGTTGTGTTGGTGAATGGAAAGCCACACCTCGTCACACCGACGCATCAACATAACTCGTTTACCAGTCAATATGCGATCGAGTTCACGGACTTTTGCAACACAATGTGGGGTAAATGGGGATGCTGTAGTGGGACACACAAAATTCATCTTCTGCCAGGTGGTTCACACCTTTCATCACGTGACCTAGACTTGAGCTACTGGGGCAATCCTCGTTGCAGCAAAAAAAAGAGTGGCAGTTTAAAACCTACTGATGCTGGCTCAATCCCTGTTGTGGTACTAATTCAGTTTAGCTGGAAGAATAAGAAGAAGTACAAAACGGAAGCCATTGATGATATGATGAACAGAGGCTTGGAGCATGATCACGGTTCTCTATCGGCATCTCGTCCAACATTGGGATACTTGGTCAAGGTGCGATTCTCAAAAAAGCGAACGCTGGTTGGAGCGATCAAAGGTTCAAACACACAAGACATGGAAGGGCTCCAAATCTACCGATTACCTGCCTCATGGTACAACGGTTGCTGATGCCCATGATGTGAACAACCCTGATGCAGAGGTGAGGGACTTCTTTCCGGGAGGCCCAGAAAGCTTTATTGTCATTACACCGCAAGATTTAGGTATCACTGGTATTTCAGCTGTGTTCTGCCGTCAATACAGAATCAACGTCTCAGAGCTCTTTCAATCAATGCAGGAGTACCATAAAAAGCACCAAGGTATGGGTCTTGCGACGTAGCTATGAATCAAATCGCACCGGCCCAACAGTTACCTGTAGCATTGGAGCACAGTGACCATCCTATTGTTTTAGAGAGTTGGAATTGAATCGAATTGGTTTTCGAAGACAGAGTGGATCTTTTGTGAGCCAGCAAAGCCATTAGTTTGTGCAAGAGGAGCATCCACTTTACGGCGCGTCCTCACGCGACCTAATGCACCTGTTGGAATGCTTGATCTCTTTTATTAAAGACCTGCTCTGCTGCAGGGGTGCTCAATCAATCTACCAACCGATGCAACCGCTCTGCCTAGCTTAGCCCCCCCCCCCCATCGCTCCTTAACAGATCTATTTGGTATTTATTTGCTATCTAGCCATAGATAGCTAGCTAGTTGGCTCCATTTAAATAACTAATTGCAACATACAGTGTGACACGTACCAATGACCTGGAATGGCAAGTCTCCTTGTTCACATTACCAGATTCAAGCAACTCTTGCAGCATTCCAAGATATTTCTTTGTTGCGACAGCCAATCCACTGTAGAACTGTTGCAGGGAGTTCCGTCACAAACGTCATTGGCGGGTCCAAATTTTGTGCCCAGTCTTTCCATGCTGCATGTTGCCACAGGACCTCTGTGGAAACGTCATTCGTGGCAAATTACTTAAGAGACGATACACCGAGGCTTAGGAGACGATCGAAATGATTTAGGAGACGAAAGCAATCGTCTCCTGTATTTAGGAGACGATTCATTAGGAGACATTCCATTTAGGAGACGATCGTTTCGAAATAGGAGACGATCCGAAAGATTTAAGAGACGATACCATACAGTTTACATGGTGCACTTAGGAGACGATCCGTTGAGAATAGGAGACGATCCGTTGAAAATAGGAGACGATTTAAGAGGAGACGAAAGATTTAAGAGACGATCCGTTTCGTCTCCTATTTTTAGGAGACGAAATCCATTAAATAGGAGACGATCAAAAGGATTTAGGAGACGATCGGTAGCACGACTCAAGTTTCCACAGAGGTCCAGAGGATCTGGACAGGGCTAAAGAGTACACAACATCATTGACAGAAAACGTTTCCACAAATTATTGGGCCTCTCAGAAAGGAGAAACTGTAATGACAACAACCAAGCTTAGAATTTGATTGACTATTTTAAAATAGTCCCTCAACACAACAACCAATCCTTTGTAAATTCCCTTACTAGTGGATTTTTGGCAACATGTTTCCAGTTTCCCAATGATGTGGTTATGGAAGCTGATCATACTGGATTCATAGGGCCGTCAACCTCAGTCGGGGGCCGCCGATGCAAAAGTGCAAAGATTCCACTAGCCGGAAACATTGGCTTGCATGAAGATGAAATTGGACCGTCTGAAGAAGGAAGGATGTGGAGCATATCCTGTCATCCCAGGGTGGCAATGTCCTTTGGGGATTGTTCCACATTGGGAGGATGATGCTGCTATCCCATGGAACGCAATCGATAAGGCTCTCTAAGACAACAAGGAGGAATGGGCAAAATGCTGTGTATGGCCTATCAACTTGGTTGCAACTATGCTCATCGATATGGACCACCGAAATGCAGAGGAGAAGCTGGGCAATGTTTCCTTTTTGGTGAAAACTGGTGGGAATTGGGAGGCAGAGATGGGTAAGTGTGATCCGAGATGCAAGCTTTGTCATAGGCTTAAAAGCTACCTGAATGGAGATTATTCCTTGGTAAGAATGCTTCAACCAGAAAGTGATGTCATGGCAATGGAAGTGATAAGTTCTACAAGGATGAGGATGACAAAAAGGAATGGGAGGAGCAGGACAAAGAGTTATTATAAATATAAGGAGATCTGGATCCTGTGCATGTGTCTGGTCATTTCCATCCTGTGTGCAATTCCAACCATCTTCAGATGTGGTTTCTACCTTGGTGATTTCCAATTGTTGTGCTGCTTTGTCAAAGCGTCAGCTCGAACGATTGGATCTTTCTGCTCCGCACTGTTGTCGCCTTGCCCACTAAGACGCTGGCTCTCGTTTCAGCATCACGTAGTGTAGCCCCATGCTTGCAGCTTGTAGCATCACGGCCGTCAGCCGTGATCCTGGCTCTTTCCTGACATGATTGCAGTAAACACCGAGCATGTATCTGATGCCAAACCTGCAACTCCTGCTTTTGATAACATTCCTAACCAGCTCTTCGTGGAAATTCAGGATAAAGAGATCCCCCTCAATTCCAGCAACTTTGAAGATCTGGCTGGCGAAAGCCTCAGTAATTCTAGATAAATTGCTAGAAGAGGATCCTTTGACGTCATTGGCCAGCACAGCCATTGAAAAAGCTGGCTGTCAAAAATATATGCCAGTAAGGAATACGTCAATGAAAACATGGTGCTGTCGGCTTTCAGAAGGCACCAGAGACTGCAGAAAATATTGCATTTTTCACCCATTCTAGGTGTCTTGATCACCTGTCTCTTGGTAGGTGTCAGTGTTGCGGGTGTACTGGACTCATCATGTCTGCAGGATTCCAATTACAGGCATCGGCCGCATTGCTTCATGTGCTTGGTGGAGTTGCTGGATACTTTCTGACCAAACCATTCTATGGAGAAGATGTTTGTTGAAGAACATTTGCCGTTGAATTCGCAATGAAATCAAGTGCCTTTGGGTACCTATTGGCTACACTACACTTTTCCAAATTCACTGTACGGGTTCCAGCCGCTGTCAGTATTGTCTGGAAAACTTTCTTGATTGGATCCTCAATGGCAGTGGCAAGTCGATTCTTTCCACCAGAGGAGTGTGTAGTGCCGGACAAATAAACAAACAGCAGGATACTACACAATCTACGACAACGGACAGACCCATTTGTACTGGGGTATGCTCATGTCTACAAACCAACCATAAACAGGCATTCTTTGTAGAGCTGAATAAGAGAGAGTAAACTTGATTGTAAAAAGCTACCCCAGTTGTGGTACCAGTACCGCTACTTTCACGGGACTAAAAACGTTCTTGCTGCTTGCATTTTCACACATAAGTTTACCGTATGGTGCCTCTGAAAGGACTGCATGCAAAAGACCACCCCTCAATCCCTTTGCTTCTTCCTGGGGTCGCAGCACTCTCACAATCGAAACACATCATGCATCTCTAAGATTCAAGGCTATCAGCTATATCAAAACTTCTTAGTACTGGAGTAGAAGAGAAGAAATCTTCAGTGGTGGTATCAAGGCAGCCAGGTCCTTGGAGGTGACAGCGCTTTCCAGACTTAACTCGCACGCACAGAAGAGAGTGGATCCTCCTTTTGGATTCATCCCTCTTTTGTTATTTCCTTGTGTTTTGGTACCCATTTTCATGTTCGGATGCAGGCGGCACCGGGCAACTTCGTGACTTTGGCTAGGAAGTCAAAGAAAACTTGCTTGGTGGTCTCACTAGGAGCATGTGATAGATTACTACTAGTACAGTGTATGAGCTACGCACTAGCATAATAGATTAAGTAGAAACTATTGAATTGGCAACCGACTAGACCAGTAGTACGTAGCAACAAAGCTTGACAAGGTGGTCTCTTCAACTATTATTAGTAGTAGCTAGAGTGGCTAGCTAGCTAGATCCACTTTGTGTGCACAGTACATCATGTGGATTGTGGCATGCTTCCAATGGATGTGCTGTTTTCCCAGCTCCACAGTCCTGTTCTGCAAAACTCCCTCGCATAGCAACGCCATCTAGCTAGACTACCTAGGGTTAATGCAAAACTTTTACGTCCTGAGCCAGAAACTACATCTTGGAGAAACTTTTGCTGTAGTCATGGTGGTGCAAGCCGGAACCACGCATAGCAAGCAAGTCATGGAATTGTTAGAGTTGAGCTCAGAGCTGCAGTGTATTCGCGAGAGAGACTTTGGTGGCATCAAAAAGCCACTACCAAGCGAACCATCACACCCAATGGAGCAAATTCAAGGAACCTTCGACAGAACATCGCTCCACATGGCACACTGGTTGGAGGCATCTTTGAAGCCAGGGAAGAACTGTGATCGTCTCGTTCCATGCTGGAATTGATAGTCCTGGTTCATGGATGACTGCACAAGACTGTGCTTTGCCCTTGCACAATCTGATGTCTGCTGCACTGGCAGCCATGGAATTTGAGGGTCATCAGTCCAAGACTTGGGACCATACTCGGAGTAGCTAGGCATCGTCATGTGGTTGATGACTTCATAAGACAGTGCTTTGCTTGCACAAACTGATGTCTGCTCCGAGTAGCTAAGCATCTTGAACTGTGGCTGATGACATTTTCGCATGCACCATAGCTGTTGACATTATGATCAGATATTTGTTCCTTTCGAGCTTTGGAGGCAAGCTTCCATCTTTGAGAGGGCTAAGGGCTCATCAGCCTGAGTTCTTATTGAGGTCTTCAGCTGCTCGGATGCTCAGATTTTCTGTGGCACGTGACGTATTGGTCATTATTGTGCTGTTTCTTTTCTCTCCTTCAGCTCTCCTTCAGCTCTCCTTCAGCTCTCCTTCTAAGTCCTTTCATCTCAATGAGTAAACCTCACACACACACACATACATGTGCCATGGTGATAGTGCTTTGCTGCAGCTGCTGCCAGTGTTCCGATCTGAAGAGGGTAAATCGAGATTCTCCTTTTAGAAAAGAAATTTTGGTATTTCGTGTTTACTTTGCGGAAAGCCTGATTTTTGGTTTTGACCAGTACTGTTTTGGTAAATACTGGTATTTGCATATGGAATTTGGAAATTGATAGGGTTTAAATTACTGGTCATCACCGCTGACCACAAAGTCTGTTGCCAGGTCAGTAGAACACACTTCAACCTAAAGTTGAACCATGAGCCCACGTGAAGGTCTTCTTGCGCAAAAAGAAACCATGAGAGATCCATGAGATACGAGAACCCTCCCTTTGGAAGAAGGTGGACATCCTGAGCAAAATTATTGATAGGGAGGGAGACTTTACGCTCTTTACGGTACTATTCTTTCTATACATGAGGCACTGTAGCGAACTATTTTTTCCACACAAGGCACTGTGTAGCTGCACAGTAGCTATTCAAGCTTTCAGAGGGTGCCTTCTAGCACTTTTGGACCTTCCTCTTAAGTCCCTTCATCTTTCTTGGTAAACCTCGCACATACATGGTTATTTTGTGGAAACTGGCAACCAAGAATGCAACAAAATGACTATTCCGGTATCCAATCTACAAAATCATAGTTCATGTGGTAGGAAAGCTCCACTCGAGTTGGATTTTTTTTTTCTTCTCGATCAAGTCAACCCTTGTGCGGACATATGACTCAAAGTGGGGGACCTCAGCACTTTTGGACCTTTTCTGTTCAACTCCGAGTACCCTCAACCCTGCAGGGGTCCTCCAAGCACTTTTGGACCTTTTCTATTCTACTCCAAATACCCTCAAGTCCTGGATCTTTTCTGTTCTACTCCGAGCATGCAATTGTAACATTTTTTCCACATTAGACACTGTAAAGTGCACAGTGGAACTGGCAACCAAGAATGGTGAAACAAAAATGACCAAGTTTGTTTGTCCATTCTAGAGAAGTATAGTTCACCCAGATAGAGGCATGTGTTACATTGAAGCATTTTAAAATGTTGTCATTAGAAATAAATCCTTGTAGAATACTTGCCACATCTCAGCCAATATCTGCCTGCGTGGGTTCTTTCTCTCTTTATGTCCAAGTCCCGCGGAGGTCCCCAAAGCACTTTCAGCTTTCAGCTAGACCAGGTTAGTAAACTAGGACACACTTCAAGCTTCAACCACGAGCCCAAGTGAAGTCTCATAAATGTCTCAATCAAACCAAGGGAACTAACCCTGATGAAGAACAAGGTGGACATCCTGAGCATGAGAGGAGACTTTACTCATACAGCTGTACTATTTCTGCCACACAAATAACAGTATCTGTACAGTGGAAACTGGCAATCAAGAATGGACGGTGCAACAAATAACCAAGGCCAGTTGTCCATTCCACAGAAAGCATCGTCCACCTTGGTGGTTGGGCATCATGTATTGCTCAGTATCCCAGCATACAGGCATACAGGCAGCTTCGACTTTAATAAAAAATGCGTGTCTCAGTAAACCGCAGCCATGTTTTCTTCACTTTTGTGCTGCTTCTTTTCTGACCTATTCCAAGTTGCTTCCCACATTCTCAGCTAATCAATATCGCATAGAATCAAATGGGAACACACTGGACGTAGGATGCCGTACACATCCTACATCCAACTTGTTCAGGATCAAAGATCTTAGGGAATCTCCTGCGTACTAGCCACAGTACACAACATGATGGATAGAGTTCTGCAGCATGGTTGTTTCCTGTAGAAACCATGTAAACCTGGTACAAAACCTCAACTCTTGGTTTGGCCGAGTTGGATCTTTGATGGATTTTTGGCTTTTTAAATCAGTTTCATTTTTAGTCACAATTTCAATCGACGACAAACAATAAGCCTCAGCTTTGTTGTTTTTCTTGGAAATTATTCAAGCAAGTTAGCTTCCTTTCAAATGCACAATCACGCTTGTGCCTGAGTTGCTGAAAGCCTCCAAGTTACTCTCTTCCATCAAGTTCTCCAAGTTTATCCAAGCAAGTCCATCAAAATCTCCAAGTCCTTCCCATCAAGCAAGCTTTGTTCTTTCCTTTTGTCAAGTGTTCTGCCCTCATTGAGTCCATTGTCCAAGTTTGCCCATCAAGCCCCGACATGAAACTCAACTTCAGTGATTTCCGCAGCCAAGAGCTCTATTTTGCCTTGGCGGACTTTACCAAGATCAAGTTCCGGAAGTCCCAGGAGACCCTGAATATCCTTGGTGAATTCGTCAAAAAGCTGGATACTGATGCCACGGATGAAGATCTCCAATGTTTTACCGTGGATAATGGGATGATTTTCATTGATCACATGTTTGATGAAGGTGTCAAACGCAACGAGTGGAATGAGTTGGTCAGCATTGACAGAGAAACATTTTGATACAAGGCACAACTAGATTCCATGGTTCCTGGGAATTTCATCATTTCCTACCGTCAGGGTTCTGCTACAGTATTCCTATGCATTCTTCCAGAAGGTTCTTCGCCCCTTCCTATGATTATTTACAGTGGATTGTTTGATGGTTCCCTCAAGAAGCATTTCAACAAGGATGAACTTTTCAAGTTCCTCCGAAGCAAAGTCCACTTTGATTATGCCAATGAGAAAGATCTCATTCTGGCGCTGAAAGAAGAGATTGTTCGAGGACCTGTACGAGATGTTCGGGATTACATCACCAAGGAAAAGCTTCTCCCCCTTTCTCAAAGAAAACTCTTCCTAAATGCATTGTGGCTGCCAGCGGAATCTTCCAAATACACCAATGCCGGCTACAAAGCTTTAGATACAGTGGTGGAAGCAATCCAGATTCCTGACGATGTAGTGCGTGCTGCGCAGTTATGCAAGGTGGAACATCTCCAGAACCAGCTGAATGCAGAGATGGAAACAGAAGACCTCCCTTTGATGCAAGACTTTTTCTTTGATGCCAACAAGATGATACCACAATATTCTTGACACAAGGATGGCAACAATGTTTGGACTGTGCTTTGGATTGCATCTCCTCCTTCCATTAGAACTCACCACTGGAAGGCAGCTACACCTCAACAGTCCATGCTCATCTTAGAGTTCACTCGCAAGCTCTTTGAACCCAAGCAAGATGGAAAGAGGGTGGAGATAGTGGAGTCATACATATGTCTGTTCCAACGGATCACAAAGGAATTCTGCATTGATGACATGGAACAGGTTTATCCTGTACTCAAGGAATACCATGCATACTCTGATGCTGTTCAACGTGTCGAGCAGCAGCACGCATGGGGAACCCCCGTCCGAGTTTCCACGCCCTGCAGCATGGAAACTCTAACCCTGATGGGTTTTCGGAACTATGACCCTAATCATGGTTACCGAGAGGACCATCTCACAATTTGCAAAATTAATTCCCACGCTCCTCACCTACAATTCAAGTACATCTCTACATCTCGCCGGTTACAACCTGCGTTCCGGAAATGGATACCCCACATGATGATTCACCGCATCAGCTCCTCAATGCCTTTCAAACAAGATTACCCTTAAGGCAACAACGCCCGTCCAAGACCACATTTGGCAAGATCGACAGCGGCAACCATGAATCACAAAAGCCAGCGACCTAGCCAAGACCAGCCATTGAACTGCCGATCGCAAGAAGGTTGTCTCTCTCTCTCAGCTTACAATTCTTCATTCAGCCGACGCTGAAAGCAAGAACCTAGATTAGACTCCCTTCCGCCGTGTGGGATCTATCCGGGACTCCCCAGTCCCGAATGGTACCCCAGGGACTGGAGACGGTCGGCTCAGTAAATGGCCGAGTTTCTCCACTCACCTAATCTTCTACAATGTACTACTAGTTATGCCTAGCTGCTCTGGGCGAGCGCAGCTTGTCTGCGCTCGCATCAAGTACAACCAACAATGATGATATTATTGAGTTGGAGATTGACAACTTGCCTGTGTCTCATCCTTCTGCTGTGGAGTCTTTCAATGGTGATGATGAGTTGCAGCTGGTGGGAAGGACAGTATCCAATGGTGGTGCCTTCATGACCCAACTGACACATTCTGGTGGGGTGCATCAATCTGTGCAGCATATCCAGTTGTATCTTCATCGTCAACAAGAGCTGGATTGGCAACGTGAGAAATCGGCACAAGCACGTGATGAACAGGTTCACAAAGAGAAAGAACTCCAGGCCATTGCTGCTGCCAAGGAAAAGGAGTCGGACTGATGCTCAGATGAAACAACTGGAAATTAGCTATGATGTCATCCCTCAACACAACCCTCAACACAACAATTGAACCATTGGTGAAACAGCAGCAAGTTTTGACGGACACAATTGCAAAACAAGGCAAGGATGTCATTGCTGCAGTGGTATCCACTCGGGAAGTCCCTCTACCTGAAGAACACTTGGAAACTATGGATAATGATTTGGCTGCTAAATAAACTTCCGATGGGAGTTCCCCAAGTAGCAGTGATGACAGCAGTATCTTGAGCAATGGTGGCATCAAAGTTGATGTGGCTTTTGCCCCCAAGAAGGGTTCTGAGCCACCCTGTGTTGTCCCTGCCTCATGATTCAATGTTGTGGTTGTTGAGTCTGTTGGAAGTGATGATGAGCAGAGCGGATTTAGTGATATGCAGGAGTCCACAGTTGCTAGAGCCCCCACCCCCACTGACACTTCCAACAAGGATGAGAGCATTATTCCTGATGGCCACAAGAAGAAGAAGAAGACCAAGAAGACAATGTCCCAAAAACTCCATGGTGCATTTGGAAAGAAGATTGGCACTGAGAAGGAGGACACTGAGACTCCTGAACAACCTTTCCTACCAGTCCTAATGGAGGAGAAAATGGTAGTGCCACTCGTGCCCCTTCCACCCCCAAACCCAAGAAGAAAATTGGGTTCCGATCTCCTGGATCTTTGGCTTCCAGCCACCTCGTTTTTTTAAACCCTTCCTACGTAAGTTCCTTAAGTTCCTTCTGCTCAAGTTGCTTTTGCTGTGTGCTTGATCTAAACCTGTGTTTCTGTCTTTTGTATTTGCAAATTTGCCTTTGCAGGTGAGGGTGAAGAGGTTCTTGTTACCATCGGGAAAGCTGAGTTCGAGAAAAATGATCGGCCAGGTTTTATCCAGGTTCGAGACACTGTCAATGGAAAAGTGATTCCTTTTGAGCATCCACAGAAAGGAGCCCCCCTGGGAAGCCCTTTGTAACATTGGTTTGGATCACCCCAACTGTGCCAACAATGGCAGCAGCCCAAGCCTGCAGTGAACGATTGCTGCCAGGGCCAAGGACTACAATATGCTCTTGTCTATCTGCCAAGTTGTATGTGAATGCCATGTTACAAAACAAAACAAAAAGACAGCCGGAAGTTATTAATCTACAGCTAGTTCAGCAGATATTTGAAAATTTGAACATAAAGTACAACACAACAAACAGGCAAGGACAAGCTCAGTTTCCTGACTACGCCTCCAGCACTTCGTTGATTGTGTCCGCAAGTCCCTTGATCGTTGGGTGTTCTATGCCAAGGATTGGCTCCAAGATCTCAAAGGCCTTTTGGAGTTTGACCAAAGCCTCATCAAGATCACCAATCTCAAACAAGAGCGTTCCAATGCTTTGCAGGGTTTCCGCAGTCTGGGGATGATCTTCGCCGAGGACCAGTTCCCGAATTTCCAATGCATGTTGGTAGCTTTGAAGAGATTCTTCTACCATGTCACAGTCGTTCTGGATTGCCCCTAGCGTATGCCAAGTAGATGCCGTTGTTGGGTGGTAGTGGCCCAGTGCATTCTCGTAGACGGCCTTGGCTTTGCAGCACATCTCCAGTGCCGCCTCGAGGTCGTCTTCGATCCGTAGTAGGATGGATGTAATGTGCTCGTAGGTGACCCCAGTTTGTAAATCATCGGCACCCAGAGTTTCTTCCTGAATCATGGCCGCCGTTTGGTACTCTTGCAGGGCTCCCTGCAAATCGCCCTTGGTGGTGAGCACCATGCCAATGTGTGTGTGGGTGAGTGCCAACGCTGGGTGCCTTTCCTCGCCTCCCAGGACCGATTGTTGAATCGCCAATGCTTTTCGAAACTCCATCAATGCAGCGTCATTGTCTCCCTTGCTGTAAAAGACATTTCCCATGTCTTTGTACGAGTTGGCGGATGGCAAATTGTTGGAGCTTCCGTGGTGATTCTTGATGTGTATTGTCAAGGCTCGTTGATGATATTCCATGGCCTTGTCCAGCATGTCCATAATCTGGTACAGATTCCCCAGCTTGGTACATATTCCTGCCGTGCGATGCGACGACGATTTGGATCGTTCCATCAAGCCCAATAGTTTGTGGTAGGTTTCTCGCGCCACCTCGTAGCGGCCCATGTCAAAGCATACGTTGGCAATGTTCTGGTAGACGGTGGCCGTGGATTCGTGCTCCTCTCCATACATGAGTTCCGTCATGCCCAGGGCATCCTCCAGTAGCTCCAATGCTGTCTTGTATTCTCCAAAATGCCAAAAAATCAATCCCATTTTGTTGCACAATTGGAGCTGAAAAACCTCGAGCGCCACCTCTTGCCCACTGGGCAAAGCAAAGCTTGGCCGCTTTGACGCTGCTGCTTGTGGATTGTTTTCATCATTATTTGTGCCATTCAAACTGCTGATGCTACCATTGAGGTTACGATTGTCTGGATCACAGTGCTCCAGCACCTGTGCCTTGATGACGCCTCGAATCCAAGGACGAAAGATGGCCTGTAATCGCTGACGGATTCGATGTTGTCGAGTTGTTTTCGTCGTGATGGAAGAATCATCGCCATCCTCGGTAGTATTGTCTACCACCACTGCCAGATTTTCCAATGCCTGATAGAGCAACTCAATCGATGCGGATGGATCTACCCCCACCAACGCATCGGATACCGCTGCCGTTTGAGCCGGCGGCAAGACCAATGTCAATTTGCAACCCGTCGTTTCCTGCGCCACATGGATATCGGAGAGACACGACGGCTGTGTCCAAATCAACGGATGCGTCCAGGGTGTCAAAATGGCCAGGACATGGCCAATGGCTTGAATCCTCTTGGCTCGTTCTTGTTTTGATAGTTGTTGTTGCTGGGACGTATTATTAAAACATTGCATCCAGACATGGACTTGACTATCCTTGAGACCATGCGTGCGGCAGTAATCATCGAGCGTATTGATGACATCGGCAATGGTGGATTCGTCGGCATAGACCACCATGACGGATGCGGGTCCCTTGTCGTGTTTGGCCAAAGATTCATTTTCCGCCACCACCTGACGGACACGAGCCATGGTATCCCTGGTTGTCAATTGGTGGAGCGCTTGGAGCTCCTTCCAGAATCCTCGTTTGATCCAGGACACACTGACACCCATGCAAGTTGTTGTTGTTGACGCATCATCGTTGGTTGCACTTTTGTCTTCTACTGTTGTCGTGGTGGTGGTATCAGTATCATTATTTTCCAACTCAAAGTCGTCTTGTTCAAACCAATGCAGAGGAACATTACTAGTAGAGTGGTCGTCTTGTTTGGAACTGGAATTATCGTCCATTTTTTGTTCCCGCGCACCCTGCTGTTTGAACGTTAATGCTCGAGCCGTGGCCATGTCCTGTGCCATGGCGTGGGTTCTCGGATCGTCTTTTCCCAACAAGGACGTCAGTACTTGATGTGCTTGTTGTAGATAGGGCAAAGCTTGACCATATTGGCTGAGACTGACATGGACCGATGCCACTACTCGACAGACATCGACCAACGCCAACGAATTGATGAATTGCATTTCTGTTTGTTCCTCCTTGGTATTGTTGGTTGTTGTCGTAGTAGTAGTTTTTGGTGGATGATGATTGCATACCACACTAGTTAATAGAGAATGGGCATATTCGAATTGCCACAAAGCAGCATCGGTATTGGCATGATTGTGTGTGGTGGCCTGTTGCAGTTCCATCCCATGCATCATGGCCGAATTGGCAGCTTGTACCATGAGATCCAATGTTTCGTCCATTTCCCGTTGGAGTTTTGGAATGGCAGCATCTAGAGAAGTATTATCTTGGTGGTCGGAAGTATAAATCTCCTTGGCCAGAACAAAATGTTCCATGGCGGCCGTGTAGTGCCTCTGCGGTATCAATGCCCTGGCCATGAAACAGTGGAGTTCTGCCACGGAAGAGTGATTGGGGCCCAAAGTGGAGCTTTTCATGGTCAGGGCTTTTTGATACAGTGACAAAACTTTGTCCAGGTCATGCTGCTTCAGTGTCTTGTTGTTGTTCTCTTGTAGCAACTCGTGGGCTTGATCTACTAGTACCAAAGACTCGGAAGTGGTCGTCGTGTCTGGCGACCCATTGTCCGCTGAGGATGCCATGGTACTTGTGTCTTCTTAGAATAACCTTGCTAATGTACAACAATTTCTCGATTGCACCGGTATGTATGTGAACACCATAGACGAGCCCCTCTCCTCTACCGGTATGCTATGTTACGCTTCTAGCTAGCTAGAGCTATTGATGTTGATACGACCTCTCGCAAGCCAAGGAAACACACTGGAACACCTTTGGAAAAGATGCCGTTGAGAAAGAATTCGAGGTTGCTTTTGAGCGATGCTTGTTCCTCGTGGGGAACGAGAAACTCTTCTAAAACACACATGGTGTGTAATACAGCTCAGCTGGATTTCAAACTGTTCTCACTTCTTTCGCTGTTTCTCGATCGTCTCGATGTCTTCGACGGGCCCACGGAAAGATATCTCAAGACAAGCTCTGACTACAGTATAGCTTAGGTAATATATAAATAGTCCCAATCTGGATCAACCATGGTGACCCAGAAGCATCGACGACACGCAGCAGCAGAAGTTTCCAAGGAGCACTCTGCTCCTCCTTCAAACAGCAACAGGCACTTGTTGTCCGAGTCAGCCAGAAAACGGCAGAACCTTCCTTCCTTGATTCTCATGGGACTGGGTGTGACGGCCACTTTGCGTCTCTTTTTTCACGAACTCAAATGCGCCGAAGACTCCACGGCACTGCAGAATCTGGGCAATGCTCTGGCCGAAACGTTTGCACCACCACGAATAGTAGTACAACACCAACAACAATCATCATCATCCTGCCTGGCTCCCCTCCCGCCGATTCGGACCCGTGGTGACATGGTCAGACATTTGCAGCAGTGGAATTTTACCTCGGGGATTGAAATTGGGGTCCAACTAGGATTGTTTGCCGAATACAATCTCAAATCCTGGCCGGCATGTCAAACATACAAACTCATTGATCTGTGGCAACAACAGGTCAATTACAAGGATGCCGCCAATGTGGAAAACTCGGTGCACGAGTCATTTTTCCAGCAAACCAAGGAACGACTCCAGCCATTCGAGAAGATTACACAATACTACCGAATGTACTCCAATGAAGCTGCCAAGATCATTGCTGAGGAGGGACAACAGGTGGATTTTGTCTATGTCGATGCCAGGCATGATTACTGTGGTTGTAAAGAAGATATCGAACTGTACTGGCCGTTGATCAAACCAGGAGGGATATTGGCTGGACACGATTTCATGGAAAATTATGAAGTGGCACCACAGGACTGGTCCATTTGTATGGACGGATCCATTCATCCTGAAGCAGTCAAAGGTGCCGTCATGGAGTTTGCAAACAAACATAAACTGCCAGTGGGAGTGACATACAGAGAAACAATGTGGAACTCCTGGTGGATTCGCAAGCCACTTTGTTGATCCTAAACAGACTTTGCGGAACAGAACTCGTAATAATGTCTCATCAAACTAGCTGTCATACTACATACAACGTCAAGCTGTTGAAACCGCGAGAGAAGAAAAAACAAACAGCCACTATATGATGCAGCCAAGCGTTCGGAAGGTTGCAAGAAGAGCAAATCTAGTGGAATGTTAGGCAGAAACAAACGATGGAGCATGGCAATAGCTGAAGAGGTTGCCATCACGGTACAACAAGGATGATCGCTTCATCGCCCGATTGCCTGTTTTTATGAGTTCTTCCAAGTCATTCAACAAGATTGGATTGAACAGAAATCCATTGTGCCGGATATCAGCAATGTTGGTGTCTAGCCCAGTCGTATCAATCACATCCATATCCAACCATGCCTTATCCAATTCGGTCTCCTCGCGAACCAGTGTGAGCGGTGCTCTCTCCGAAAAGAGCAAGTAGGGTTTGTCGGCGGTGTTGGAACGGGTGCTGTAGAGTTTGGCAGTAGGAGCAGTTTTGGATGAAATTGGTTTCGATTCCTCCTCCTCCTCCTCCTCACTTTCTTCAGGGAAGTACAAGTCATCCACTGATTTTCCAATGGTACGGCAGTACGCCAGGTGTTCCTTGTTGTATGTGTTTGGGAGAAGAGCGTCTGGTTGCTCGTACCCATATCTGACACCAATGCCGTTGACGAATTCGCTCCAAAAAAGGGCTCCGTCGCCTCGATCACCCACCATTGTGATGGTTTGACATATTCGGCGCACAGAACGGAAGGCATGATGAACAAAGGGGCTCAAAGGAAAGTCGGGGTTGAGCATGGTGATTGTCTTGCAGATGAGCAGATTGTCATTACTCTGATTGCCCATTAGATTCTCCTCGTTGCAGTCAGGGGCCAACCGAAAGCATCTTGATACATCGCTTCGAGAACCGTCTGCTTCGTCACAGAACGAACCCAAAAGCGTCTGAACACCCATGGAATGCGACATGAAATGTATATTGCGAATGCCAGCGTTTTTCAACCCTTTCATGAGCTTTAGAAAGTTCAGGCGGTTCTGTTCTCTGTGAGATCCTCGGGAGGCTGGATGATAGGACAGCACAGTGCCAACGGGCCATGCAAAGAGGATTGGAGAGACATGAGCGTCTAGTTTGGTCATTGCAATGAACTGTCCCAAATTTTGGAGCGCCTCCTTCAGGGGACAGTTGAATCCGCCAACGTAAACAAGTGCATCTCTGTGTTCTGCCGGTTTCCATCCTTCCACCTTCAGAACCAGATTGGGTTGTTGCAATTTTGGCAAAGACCCTGCCTCGAGTCCAAGATTCACTTCTACCTCGTCGTCGAATTCTTCCGATTCATCCAGAGACGGCAGTGATGCCAGTGTTGCCAGTTGTGGACCTTCGGCAGACGCATGCTCTGATGGTTCTTCCTCGTCACGTGCGACGAGCTTCTCCGTGTGAAATCGATACGACATTGGCATGTAACGCATACCACCAGGGCGTGACAACTGCGTAATGACAGACATGCGCTTTTCGGGTCGGAGCTTTATCACGATATCATCGACCCGATGAAAGGTTTCACCGGATGTAACATGAACGTGTCCATTGATTTGCACTCCACGAGGATCCCCGGCATGGATTTGCAACACATTGACATCGGCACCCTCCCCCATGTGCACCAGATTCTTGACCAATTCCTGTACCGACGACGCTTCATCATAGAATCCCAAATCCATCAAGACACTGGAACACGGTAGTTCATTGTAAAACGATCCGCTCACCGAGCACTCGACTTGAGCAATTCCACATCGTGGTGGTTTTTCGTTGGTGGGCCAAAATTTGGAAGTGGAAAAGTCATCATCGGATGCCATGACAAAGGCAAGCCTTACGGCAGAAAAAACATCTCCTCTGCCGTAGTGACGAGAAACAAAGGGAGCAATGGGTACCCCATCCCTCCAATTGCCCGTCAAGACTTCTCCATCGTAGGAATCATCAAACCATTGTCCCAATCCATGAGGAAGTCCATTTTCGTTGGTTTCTCCGTGGTATTTGCATGTGGACTTGCCAAAGAAAACTTCCCGGTAAGTCATGGTCCAATCACCCAGCAACTTGATCCTCCAAAACTTGGCAGCCTTTCGTGGTTTCCGGAACCGTTCCGAATTGATCCATTTGGGGTAGGCATAGTAGATTGTAACAAATATGATCAGAGCCAGGACTTCAGCCACAATGAGAGCTACCCCAACCACTTGCCCATAGTTCCAGACATTGAGATTTCCACTCTGGACCCGTTCATCGTCAAAGAATAGAACCAGCACAAATGCCAGAAGAGGTAGATACACCAGCATCCAATAGAGCAGCCGGATAAATCTAGATTCCTTGAACATGGAGGTGACGGCGGTAGCCAAGAACAACCAAATTCCAATCACAATGACTTGATTCAATGTCAGCGTGACAAAAAAGGGGTTATCCTTTTCCTCGATTTGAGACGAGGTTCCCACCGAGTAGATAATGACCAAGAAAACGGCCAAGATCATGAATTCATAGTTGGTGTTGCGATGCTTGGTACCCGTCAAGGCTCGATTGGTCTTTCGCAATTGCATGTTCAAAAAGGTAGTTTCGTGGGCTTCTGTCAGCTCGGGAGGAATTCGGTAGTTCCATTTCCACCGTTTGGATTTGGTCTTTTTGGAGGCGGTCAATTTGCGGTTGCGCAAACCCTCGCTTTCCGACGATATCTCTTCCGATGAAAGAGCCATTGCTTCTGTCATTTATATTTCTTGTCCTTCCCTTGTTGGAGAAAGGTTGCTAGCTAGTTGGTTAGTTAGCCACAGTAGTAGTGCTGCGTTGTGGCTTCAATTTTTTGTCTTGCAATCTTTCTCAAGAAGGGAGACATTCCGAGTGTTGCTTGGGGGCTCGAACTGGTGCCTGCGAGGGGGTCATGCAGCTTCCACACGACTGTTAGTCGAATCAAACAGCTCTACGGATTTCTCCAATAGGTACCGGTACCAGTAGCAGATCCGCAAGGTGGACCTTTCGGACTGTATCAGGCACAGCGTAGGTACCGTAGGAGTTGCTATGTTTTGCCACTACATGAACCGAGTCGACTCTACACAGCGTATCAAATATAACGGGGGTTCAGAGTAGGTAGATTTAGTGTATCTGCCCGAACCGTATGCATGCAGACCTGTCTACCGGTACTGGTTTTGCTATTGACCCTTCGAAAACAACCCGCATCGTCGAGTCGACGCGGCGTTGCCAGATGTGCTTTCGGTATTGAATCCTTGCATTTTAAAAGGGCGGTATTGTCATTGTGGTTTTCGTTATTTCTCTTGTTATTACACGTTCGCTCAACGTAGGCTAAGCTTCTCTCTGCTAGCTTGCCATCAACTAAAAAAACTCATACCAGCAGGGACCCAAGAAAATGAGCGATCACTATTATGTTATGTTAATTGTCTTTCTGCGAAGGCATCTCTCGTCCAATGCTCAATAGCTTGCTTACATGCACCCAAACACTATGACCCCAGCCCCAGTCATTAACATCAATAGATCAACACGCGCACTGCTCATTCCTCCACTATCCGGGATGTTATCTTGAGTATTGTCCTCGACAATGGGCGAGTCCTTCTTTACATATTCCACAAAGATACTCTGCAGGGCCAACTCCGTTTGCAGAGTGGCACTACCGGCTTCTCCATCCAAGTCGACCCTCTCGGGCGCTTTCTGATCGGGATGATCGTACGTGACTTGATACAACATGACGCGATCCGTGGGATTCTGATCCACGCCGAGGCACGCCTCGTTGTTTCCTTGTGCGGCGGTCACTTGCGCTTCATAGTCCGTAAAATCAAAGTCCTGGGTCAAATTGAAACAATGAAAGGAATCTTCGCCCACCATCGATGTGCACTTTTGATTGGAATACAACTTGGGGCCTTGAGTGGGGGACGTCTCGCACGAATAAATGACTTGCCATATGTTGGGGTCGGTGACCACTTCACATTCCATGGGGGTAGCTCCTTGTTCCGCAAGACGCCAAGGGCTGAACCGATACCAATTGGCACAGGAAAAAGCCTTGCACGTCTTGTCGGAGCCACAAAACTCGTTGGCGGCACAGCCAGCTTCTCCACAGAGTTCTTCAAAGCGGACGCATGTGTTTGTGTCGGTATCGCAGTGTTGGGTAGCCTTGCAGCCGTCAGGGCAATCTCCTTGCGCTCGAACAGCACAAAGGGCGATGGTAACGACAGTAAAGGGGGTCAATGTTAACTTCATGGTAAAGGTCTCGTCGAAGATTGTACTGTAGTAGCAACAAAAGGCAGAAGCCAAGGCTGGAAAGATTCGATTCCCCTTGACGTGGAAGAGACATTCAGACATTCTTCAGATAGATCTTTGGAGCCAAGACTGTAATAAGCCAGCAGGACAGAATGACTGGTAGTCATGAGTGACTCAGTCTGCTCCCACCAGTGTAAGGTACAGTACTAGCTAGTACCACCGTACCACCGCGATTGGCAGTAACACCCATGATCCTTCGTCCCAAGCGTCTCGTGCCATCTCTGTCCCCATCGTCATCTTAGCTCTCTCTAATCCATAGTCACTTCCCATTTATCTCCATGGTGGATGTGCAGGTGGAGGAGGTGATGGGAGTGTTCGCGCCGCGTTGCCTCGTGCTGGTGCCCTTGCGGCTGCTGCCGCTCCTTTGCGCATAACCTCTTCGACAACATTGCCAGCTCCATCTCCTCCTTGGTTGGCTCTCTCAACGAAGTCCAATCGATTGTTATTCTTGATGAAACGAAGCTTGATCTTGCGGACTGGCGGCTCCCTCAAAGTTTCCATTGTCTTGAACAAAGGTCGTTCGGACCCTACTATCTCGTTGGCAGGAAGTACATGGTGGGAAGCCTCCTCATCCCAAACCGCAAACAAATAAGCGCGTCAAAGCCAATACTCGACACATCCTCGGATCGTTTGCGTATCTGTTTGCATGTTAGGAACGACAGTAAGCAACCACTGGTCAGTAACAAGCACACTAGACTGCAGCTCGATCATACTGGATGAGAGCTTCTCTTCGGCTTAGGGTAGCGGCACGGTGGACAAGTCGTACTCAGAGTAGCCTTAAAATAGAATTATATTTCTCATCTTGATGAGAGCTCCACTGGAAATATGACCGGCAACCGCGACGTCATCTACAGGAATGACATATATTGCTTACATCACAAAATGAACATCGAACACAACATGTATACGGGTGTGTCAACCCGGCACTCTTGAAACTTTCGATTCGATTCGAGGTATGGTAGTGGTGCTGGTCGACTCACTCAGGGCACCTCACTCTCAATATCATCATCATCTGCAAAGAGGGCAGTCATGAAATCCCATGCTGCATTCCACTCGCCCTGGACTTGCTGCCAGATAGCACCAAAGAACGACGACGTTGCACCAGCAGTGGAGGCACGGCCAACTTGAGCAACTTGAGGCAGCGGATTCACAATAGGAGAGAATGTGGGGTAATCCGTCCTCGAGTAGACGTTGACAGAACCCCCGACGAAAGTGGCATTTTGAAAGTTAAGGGGAGAGCCAACAACAATTCGATCTCCAGAATGGGAGATTTCTACATCCCATCCAAAGGCAAAAAATTCGGGGAAGCCGCCCAGTTCGTCTCTTCTGGTCCGGTTGAATTCCACTGATTGCCAATCAGTTCCGTCGAAATGATACATCTTTGCAAGGCCACCCGAAAGAGTCAGATTAGCGTCTATAGGAACCCGGTTTGCTAACCATGCACCAACAACCAATGTCAACCCATCGGCCGAAAGGGCAACGGAGCTTCCAAAAAAGTCACCTTGTGCAGTTCCATCAATGTCACTTGTGGTACATGCACCGAAAGCATCCATCAATAAGGCATCGTATCTGAAAGCGACCACTGGACAAAATTATGGCGACCTACCTTCCAATTTTAATCAGTGCCTCATCTTCACCAGGCATGCCTCTCCGATACACTCTCACATGGCCAGTAAGAGTGGTGGTGCTTCCACTGTTGAGAGGAGCACCAATGGCATAGATTGACCCATCGCCATTGGTTGCCACTGCGAACCCAAATTGGTCGGCAACTCCCTCTGCCTCCAACGGCCTGCTGATGAGAATATAGTACGAGGAACCAGTAACATCGGTCGTCAATTCGAATACAAACGCTTGCCCAATGTTAAAGGCAACACTAGAATCGTCACCAGGGGCCCCCACAATCAATCGCCGCCCATTGTTGGAGAGGGCCACAGAATTCCCAAAACTTTCTATGTCACTTGTTGCCGTCTCATTTCCGGTGCTATCTCGAAGATAATTGTCAGTCAGATTTTGAAATGGGGCATACTGGTTCGTCATATTGGGCCAGAAGTTGTACCCATAGACATACACTTCTCCGAGCCCATCATAGGCGTTTGAAGCTCCAATCACCAAGAAGACTCCATCGTCAGATATGGCAACACTATATCCAAGTTGATCGCCAGGAGATTCGCCAAGAAACACCTGGCGGTTACTCCAGTCATTGTTGGTGTCATCATATTCCCAGACGCCAACCATGCCAGCATCAACCCCGGCCTGGTCGTCCACTGCACAGGCCGTGACCAGAAAGCGCCCATTTGATGAAATCGCCACTGTGTTTATACCAGTGGAAGTTAGGTCCTGCGCACATTGAATAACACTGCCTTTCTGAACCCAATCACTTCCACTGAATTCGAAGACAACGTGGAACGTAGTGCTCCCAACAGCAATGATACTTCCGTCTCCGTTCATGTCGATTGAAAACCCAAGGCCTGATAATTGGGCAGGTCCATCGATTTGACTTCCAAGTTGAATGAAGCCGTTTCGGGCCAGGTGACGTTCCGCCTTCGCGCTTTTAAGGATATGCCGAAGGTGGGTGTCTCTGTGATGGTGGTGATTGGTTGTTGTGAAAGTTGTTGTGGTTGTCAGCCGGCTTGGTTTGTCATCATTGCTGATGTATTGCTTGTAGAACTCAAACAGGAAGATTGCCAACAGCAAGCTCCCAGATGAGAGCGCCAACGCCATGAAGCTCGGAGAAAGACGCATCTTTGTTGATGAGGGCTGCAAAAATTGTGCTTCCTTGGAAAACCTCCCTACTGCAAACCTCCTTATCCGGATAAATGCCCACAGGATACAGAGGACACAGATAATTGTGGATCCCATCTGGTAGGATTCGAGGGGGTTCAACTGCCGCGTTGCCATGTCATTGTAAGTCATGGAGCACCGCAAGCAGGGCTCCTCGTGAGTTGAGCGTTGGCTATTCAAGACTTTCATTACAAATTCGCTTGATTCATCACAAGTCAACAAAAATCAAAACATAATCTTATTTTGAACAAAACTAATCCTCATTTATCAACTGCACACATCTAGTGAAACAGTTGCAAAGGTTCATTATTTTAAAATATTCATCAATTCATCATTGTTATCTCAATTCAATTCCATTCAACAATTGACTCATAGTTCTGCACCATTCAAAAATTGCAGTACATTTTTAACACTTTTTTATCAAATTGGCCAAAAATGTTCGGTCTTTCCTGAGCAAGATCCAGACCCACATCGCTCCAAAATCGTTCCAACATACATCGAATCAGATTTTCAGGTAGGTATGGTAAATGTTGCTGTGTATGCATTATTTTTTTTATAAAACAGTAGACTATTCTAGTATTCTTAACCAATTGTTACCTGAACGCCCTTTTCATTTTTTAACAGGTCGGGCACGCGATCGATCAATCGATCTGCTACTAGTGGCTAGCTACCGGTAGCAAGCCAACAAAAAATCACTCTCGTCGAACGTCTCACAATTCCCAACTCGGCAAAACCAAAAAGGGAGAGAAAAAAGGAGGATCGCGATCGCGTTGTGCTCTCGACGACAATGGCAGCCATGTCCGTTGCATGAGACCAAAATACGATCAACGATCCTCCTAAACCATGACAATGAGCATCGGCCGCGGCTGGACTGGAGATTCGCGATCGTTCTTTTCGTTGGACACCTTTGCCAACGCTCAGAGCCATCGCGCTCTTCTCTGGATCCGACCGCTACCGATGGACTCGACTCGATTCAATTATTGGACCATCGCCATGACACCGTCACCATGAGCATCGGCCGCAGCCGGGGAAGAGGTTTGCGGTCGTTCTTTTTCGTTGGACACCTAACCAACGCTGAGAGCCACCATTGATCCATTCCCCCGCTACGGTATCGATGGACTGACTCCATTGATTCATCATCAGACATCCCCTGTCACCATGGCGTCATAATGAATGACCTGCAGTTCGTCGCCGCTGGAAGAAGTTGTCAGAGATCGTTCTTTTTGTTGGACGCCATTGTCAACGTTTTGAGCCATCTTTCATGGCAGTTGCTTCTGGGCAAGGTTGGGACACTTTGATGGATGGATGTACGGTACCGGTGCGCTGGATTGACGGCATGCGATCGTTCTCCACGTTGGCAGTCCATTGTCAACCTAGATTGACTCTCTTTGTTCGACGATCGCCCTCTGCGTTGGAACACCATTGCCAACGCTTGGAGTCGTCCTCGATCAATTTTGTCGGCCGCCAATCAGTCCAAGTCGTGTCGTGTCGTCATCAAGGGAGGAACATGGTGGAGTGGCTGTGCTTTGATGGCGGTAACTGTGCCATCTTGATCCAGCTGTCGCTCGATCATTTTGGAACAAGTTGCATCTATCGGCGCACAGCTCGCCTGTGTGGTGCACGGTGTCACAACCAGTCAGCGACGATCATGGTCTTTCTTTTTGCTCAACCACCGTCGTCTTTCGAACAATGGTTTCGACAGCCATCCCAGCAACCCACTGGAGTGAGTCACGACTCGCATGACGGTTAGCTATGCACTGGAAGTTTTCATGGCATCTCTCTCGATCCAGCCGTTTGCTCGATCCAGTGCGACGCCCTGCGCAGGCTTCGAGTGCATAGCTCGCTTTCTCCTTATCATGACGGACCTGACGGAGCGGCCACAGTGAGATAAACACGCCGGCCTCTCGATGACAATGGCAACTTTTGGCCATTGGCATCGCTGGAGTCAACGTGTTGTTTGTTTCCCTGTGACCGTGATACCTTTCCGGATGGCATGGACGCGATCTCTGGTTCTTGACCGACGCAGAGCCCAGCTATGGTGGTCAATGTCATCCGAAGATCTTGGGTCAGGAAGCATTTCTGTGATGATCCCACCAATGGTGCTTACCTTTCATACAGAGGAACATGTTCACCGGCTGCAGTCGACGACAGTGGCAATCCTTCGCCATTGCCGCCGCCTGCTATCTGGTGTTTGCGTTCCGCTTGTGTGAGGTTGGCACCATGTTTGAACTAAAGTTGGATTGTGTCTGCCGTCACTTTCCGGACACGAGGAGCGAGACTTGCTGGTGGCTCTCGGTGACTATGACATACCTTGGCCATTGCCGCTGCTGCAGCCGAGCCTGCCAGGCTTGTTCCTCTTTTGTTTCGGAAAGTGGCGCCATGTGTCAATAGAGTTTGATTGTTTGTCCAGACCGCCATTTTGCGAACATGAGAAGCGAGAAGAGGACGGCTGATGACAGTCTAAGATGGCGGCCAGTTGCTGGCAGGTTGCTACCAGATAATTCTTGGCGTACATTCTGTGTTTCCATGTTCGCCATTGGTTTTTCCGGGAGTTGTGCCCGCCACCAACTTGCCCATTATCTTTTGCTGTTTGGAGTCATCCCCTTCTCGTTCCTTTGGAATGAATCCATGTCCTTGGCCAGAGACATTGTCTCTCCTTGAAGTTCTAGACCCCAAGATGCCCCCCTGCCAGTCAAGACAGACAGACACCGTACTTGATTGGCCTGGGAAGCCTTCTGTTGGTTCTGCAACTTCACGGAAAGGGTTTGTAGCTCCAATTTCTTCACCGTCCAGCTGGGATCGTTTCAAAGCGACGTATCATACCGTAGCAGTGATAGACGCTGCTGGAACAATCTTCGATGATGGATTCTTCGCACTGCATGTCTATGCAGTGTGACGACTGATCCGTCGTACATCGGTTGTTCTAGCAGGGTTGTGCAGTGACGCGCTGTCAATTTTTTGACCTTAGCACTGTTGGCTTGGATCTCGTCACTCTTTCAGATGCTTCCGAACTCATCAAGATGAATACTTGATTGGTCTTGGGAGCCTTGAGGGATGACTTTGCCCAAGTCTCGCATGCCGTGAACTCTATGTTGGGATTCTTGCATTCACTGGTCCTACATTTCAAAGCGACATATCATAGCTGTGATGGATTGCCAAAGGGCAGCTGTACAACGACATCTAACATTTGTTGCAGCGACAAGTGGCCCAGTCCGAAACGTCAATGGGGCACAGTATCGTAAACCTTTGCCTCGTTTCCGAGATAGGACTCTCGTCGCTGCGGTGTACATGTACTCCCTGGAAGACAGGGTTTGTTGATGCAGTTTCTACACCGTCCAGCTGCCCAAGCTCCATGCTGAAATCCCCGTGGAGGAACGGTAGACTTGAACGATGGTGACCAAGCGAACAGACTACCACGAAGGAAGGATCGGGTCAATGCACACCATGTCGCGTCCTCTCGGCATGGTGTTGACTGGCCCTGGTTCGGCTTGCGTGGTTTCTGCTCATTTAAGAACTTCGTCCACACCAGCTTTTCTAAGAGTATAGGAAATGTTTGCTAATCTTTAGAAATGGCATTACAATATCGTGACCTGGCCCTCTTCATTTAGTGTAGCAGCATACATCTATATTATTATTCCTTTTCCGCTGTACGAGTATGCCACCAGAGCTGGAATCTTCGTGGGAGAAGTACGGCTCTGGCTCCATGTAGTTTCGCCAAACTTCTGGCGGCCTGTGAGGCTTGTTCCAAATGAGTTACCGATTGTTGCCTATTGTTACTGTTTTCGGCTGCTGCGGCTGCTTTGCTGGCCTGATAGAGTCGCAAGGACAGCCCTTGCAGCGTCACGGCTTTGGGTTTCTGGTTGGTAGACGATAATTCGTATAGTTCCACGCCCACTCCTGCCAGAGCTCTTTGCAAGGCATTGTCCTGGTGATGTTTGTTGTTGTTGAGCGATGTTGCGGCCAATTCCATGCGTTGCGACGCATCCAGTGCCGCATACGTTACGGCTTCCCAGTCTCCTTGTAGCCATGCCAGACCAATATCTTCGATGGAATCACTGGCTTCCTGCAGCAATCGACTTGTCTTTGCATTGAACAAGTCCGTAGAAGTGGTACTTGCCATCGAACTTTGTCTCATATTGTGCGCCATTTCCAGCCAACAGTGACCACCAGGTAGGGAATTTGTGGTAGTAGCCAACTCCCTTTTGCCAGTAGATCTGATTGGCGTGACAATTCGTATTGGTTCCACATAATCTTGATTGGTAAAGACCTTGCGATTTGTTTTACTGTTGCTAGTAGCACTGGCATCACTCGCAGTGGTGGTTGCGTTGCTGGGTCCTTCCAAAAAGGAAGAGGAGGATAACTTCACTGCATGGTAATTCTGTCTCGCGTGGCTTTTTAATTCTGAAAAATGAAATCCTTCCACTAACAGAGCGCTACTGCTGATGATGAGCGCCACCCAAAGGGAGAGAACGATAAAGGACTGTTTCGTCTTCGTCTTCATTTGTATCGGTAAGCTACAGGCTTCCTTCTCTGGACCGTTGCCATCAGTTGCTTGCCGGAAACAGTTTATGAGAAGCGAGAAAAAGGACAGAAGTTTATGATGGAAGGAAGAGGTGTCTTTGGCGAACACAAGATCTTTTGGGCTGATGGCGAACAGCTGTTTCGATCCCGCGGTATTCTCTACTCGTGAATGCAATAGCGGCGGTACGCAGGTTCCACGTGTAGAGCAGTCACCCACGTCCCCCATCGTGCATCTTCCTCTTTCCCGTCAACTTATTTCTTCTACAAAACCATGATGATGATGATGATGTTACTGCAGGTCCTGCTATTGGCGTTTCTTGCCTCCACAGCAAGAGCCTTTACCACCAGTAGTACTGCATGTAGTAGCAGCAATAGCCATGTTGCCTCCTCTTCATTGCGCATGTTTACAGGGATTGTAGAAGAAATGGGGACGGTTGTTTCACTGGAAGAACGAGATGACATGCCATTGTGGGATGGAACACAAGGAAAAGGAACCGAATTGGTTGTCAAGGGAGATGTGGTCATGAAGGATGCATATCTAGGGTAAGTTCTGCAAAGATGAAGCAGGAAACGTAAGGATGCAGCAGTTGATTCGATAGCAGGAATGTTCTCACTGGCACGGTACTCTATCCCTTTCAATGGCACTTTTTCTACAGCTGCAGCATTTGTGTGAGCGGTGTTTGCTTGACAGCCACAGAGCTAGATACAGACAAACAACAATTCAAGGTGGGATTGGCACCGGAAACGCTCAAGAGAACTTACCTTAGCGACCTGAAACCTGGACAACCTGTCAATCTCGAAAGAGCCAGTGAAATTGGAGGTGAGAATGCATGCATCCATACACTCGCTATGAGTGTTGATTGTTCAATGCGGATCAAGAGCAGAGATTACATCAGCTCCTGCAATACAATACACAGCTTCATTTAAAGCCTCACTGTTTGCTGTCGTTTCTGTTTTCATTGCTTATTTGTGCTGCAGGACGAAACTCTGGCCACTTTGTTCAGGGTCACGTGGATACCACTGGAACCATTCTGGAACGTACTCCGGATAACGACAGCCTCTGGTTCAAAATCAAAGTGGACGATCCAGAATTGATTCGATACATTGTCCCCAAGGGGTTCATTGCCATTGATGGTACGAGTTTGACCGTTGTGGATGTCAATACCGCGGAGCAGTGGTTCACGTTAATGCTGGTGGAATACACGCAAAAGAAAATCATCATCCCTGCCAAGGATATAGACGACAAGGTCAATATTGAGGTGGATGTGCTGGGAAAGTACTCGGAGACAGCCATGGCAGCATTGATTCCCCGAATTGAGGCATTGGAAGCCAGGGTTGAATCCTTGGAAAAACAACAACAACAACAAGCTAGCAAGGCATGATGATTTATTAACAAATTGTAGAGGACAGAGTATTAGAAGATTGGTGGAATGTCTCATTTCGCAATTGGTTTAGTTAGATCGCTAGATTGGAAATGATAGCTGTAGTAAGATTTGTGAAGAATAGGTACAGTATTAGGAACGCAACCGATCCCGAAGCGTGTTAAGATCCAATGGGTCAACGTTGTGAAGAATAGGCTTCACCGTGAGGAAGAATAGCTATTAGGAACGCAACCAATCCCTAAGGGTGTTGAGATCGAATGGATCAAAGGTGTGAAGAATAGGTTTGACTGTGTGTGGATCCCTGTTCGGGATTCGAATCGATTTATTGGCGCTTATTGAGAACAAACCATGGTGACGTTGTGTTGTGGTTGCGAGTACTGTACTGGTACACCCGATGCTCGATCAAACAAGTGCCTGCGTCTTCGCTTCTGGTGCCAGCTTTTTTGCGAAGAACGGGGGGTCACTATCCTGCTTCTCGCTCTCTTACTGTTGAACCAACTTTTTGCTCCGTGGTGGTGCAATGACAAGCGATGTTCAATGCGACCATTGAATGGTTGTTATAGCTTTTGATATGCCGCCGCTTCCGTCTTTTTCGTTTCTAGCCAGTGGTGTCCTGGTGTCCTTGAGCTCGTTCAGAATCTTTGCTATGCGACAGGTATGAACCGTTTGATGCTCAAAGCAGCTTCATTGGACCAAGACGTCAAGCCAAATCATGCTTACTATTGTAGATCAGCCTTGGATTCTTGCCATACACTTTGTCCTTTGTCGCATCAACGTCCAGCTGAAGCTGAAGCAGTCAGAGGCTATGGGAGTTGGAGGGTCCCATTCGGTACTCGAGAAAAGTACAGCCTTGTGATGGCCAGTAAGATAAAAAGCTACTAGTAAGAAATAATGTGAGACGCTGTCATCGAAGACCAGGGAGGTGCATGCTGATCATAATCAGAAAATGTCCGAAAGGAAACAGTCTGTTAATTCTGTAAAAGCATGCACGTGGCCAGAGCTGCAGGAAGTCAAAACCGCGCACCTCGTCAATTATTGCAAACGGAAGCATGAAGACACACAAAGCTCACACAGCTGCTCACAGCGTTCACACAGCTGTTCACACAATACCGCCAACCGAAAACCCATTGACATGGGTCGATCTTGGACCCTCTTTTGGTGCAATCATTATTTCGACTACCGTACGAAGCACCATGACAGCCGCATCTCCACTGTGGCTGCTGCTCCTCTGGGTCTGCTTCTACCATGGAATCTCGGCTGCATCCCCTCGTATGCATCCTGGAGCCGCCCGACGTCGAGCTCAACAGCAGCAACAGCAACAGCAACAATTAGATGCATACCCCAACAATCTGCCCAATTCCACGCAAGCATTGCGACGCGCCCTTTTGGTGAATTACGATCGTCGCAGTTTTCCCTTTGAAAGCGTGTGGCGGCAAGATCAGCAAGAAGAGCGATCCGGGTTACCCGTGGACGTTGGATTGAATTTCCATCGCGTACTCAAAGTGGACGTGACATCGTCCGTGGCCGACTTGATAGTCTGGGTCCGTCAGGAATGGACGGATCCTCGGTTGCGATGGAATCCCGCCGACTACAACAATTTGACGACACTCCATGTATGGGTGGGTGGGGATGGCAGTGGTGTCGGTGGCGAAACGAGTGAAATCTGGACACCGGATTTGCAACTGTGGAATTTGGAAGTGCCGTTGGAAGAGTCCTTGGCCAGCGCGTCGGCGCTGGTGAGTTCGAATGGACGCGTCTTTTGGAGTCGACCGGGACACGTGCGACCCGTCTGCAAATTTCGTGGACTGGACGACTTTCCCTTTGATACTCTGGAATGCACCTTGGAAATCGGATCCTGGGCGTACACGGGGCTCTACATTCGACCGCTCAAAATGGAGCAAGGATTCACCATTGGAGGATCGGAAACGGCTGGAGAATCCTATGCCGAATTTACACTCCGTGATGTGCACTGCGAGGCGTACACGTATCCACCGTTTCCTGGAGCCCCGGAAGAGGATTGGCCCGTCTTGCACTATCATTTGGCATTTTCGCGTTCCTGGCAACCGTACGCTCGTGGCTATCTCATTCTACAAGTGACACTTAATTTGGTCGCCTTTACGGCGTTTTGGTTGCCACCTCATATTGGGGAACGCATGGGACTCTCCATTACGGCCATGTTGGCCGCCGTGGCGTCGGAACTGGTCGTCGCCGCCAATGTTCCGGCGGCGGCCGAACTCACGTGGTTTGCCAAGTTTTCTTTGATCTCGCTGTTCTTTTCGGCGTTGGCATTGATGGTATCTGCCGCTGTCATTTATTTTCATTATCATACCGGGGATGATCTCGTACCGCGGTGGGTCCGATGGATCCAACAACGGGTATTACAATCACGCAACAACAACAACAACAACAACAAGGAGATGCGGTTTTCGTTGCCACCCGAACGTTATCATCATCAAAGTCAAGTCAAATTTGCACAATGCCAAGACGCATCCGCATCCTCCTTATCCGAAGCAAAAAGGGAAGAGCCAATCTGCTGCAAGTCGGACGAGGACGACGACGACGAAGGTTCTGTGGTTGTGGAATTTGTTGAAGTCGATGACGAAAGTCAAAACAAATTATTTGCATCCTCCTTACTATCCGAGGAAAAGAAGGAAGATAATCTACTAGTAGAGCCAATCTGCAAGTCGGACGACGACGAAGGTTCTGTGGTTGTGGAATTTGAAGCAGATGATGATGATATTGATGCAGATGATATTGATGACGGCGATGATGACGACAATGTAAACAACGACAACAGCAACAACAACCTTGAAACTATTGTGGGTGATGTCCACAACCGGCGTCAGAGGTATCGCAGCCGGCGGGATAGCACCATTAGTTTCCGAGCTTCGACGCGGACCAGAAAATCCATCAAAACCACAATGGGTCGCGATGCCGATGACTTTAAGAATTTGCACGAAATGAAAAACAACTGGAGATGGCAACAAGTGGCTCGTGCCATTGACGACGCGGCACGAGTACTTTTCCCCTTCGCTTATGCCATTGCCCTCTCGGTTGTATTGGCCAAGGCAGAGAGCTGGTAAGGGAGCATGCAACTGAAGATTGGCGACATGCAACAACTAACAGCTGATGGACATCCTGGTATGGTCTGCCTATACAATGGAGCATGATTTGGAAGCACACGGTATACAGTACTCCAAAACGTTGGATTGGACGGACACATCCATGTGGAACATCTGGCCGTGGCTTTTCTCGAAAATCTCAACGCCCTGAAAAGATCGCAAGGGGAGAACGCCAACTTGGGGGAGAACGCTATGAAAGGGGAGAACGCCAAGTTAGGGAGAACGCAACGCTAAACTATGATACGCACTTGCAAGGTCGCGAGGGGGGCAAGCAAGTACGATATGATAAGGAGGTTTTATCGAATCGGAAGTAGCGATTGTTATCCGTTTGGTTTCATCCCAGAAGGAAGACTGTCGTATCCATTGCAACAACAACACACAATTCCATCCATTGGGAGCTCATCAACTGGTCTTCCAGGTCAACAGAACTGAACCTGAATCTACTTACCTTATTGCAGTGGTGCCACACAATGACGAGAGAAGCTTCAGTGGACGACTGTCCACCAAAGTCTGGTGCGAGACCGCAAGCTGGAAGCAGTTCCAGAGTGCTACTGCCAGCGAGGGTCGTCTCCCAATTGGCGAACTTCCTTGCGGGTGCAGTCAGTGTAGCTGTCGTCATCTTGGCCATTCTCGAGGCGACCAAAAAGAACGTTGCAAATGAACTAGGCGAGAAACCCGACACGCCGATTGTTGTTGATACAGTTGAGGAACCCTATGCCGTCGTTGTGCCAACAGTGGCAATTCCAGACCATCTTGTGGAAGTGGCATCTATGCTCGCGCCCCACAAAAGCGAAGAATTTGCTCGGTCCGCCTTGGAAAACAGTGAGGTTGCTAGGACTCTTGTAGAGCAGGCAGAAAGTCTCGTTGATGCGGACACTTTTATTCAAGCCACTCGAGTCTACATGGGCGATCGTCTACTGCAAGAAAAGTACAAGGAATGGAACGACTTCTTGACAAAAAAGCAAGGACCAAAGATTCGAGATATGCAGGCCAGCATTTCGCGCGCTCTCTTCCTATTGCAACAGAGCCTAGATACCAACAAAGCAGACAAACTATGCAACATCATCAAGGAAGAAATCGCCCTTCGAGGAAGTACGATAGATCAGTTGGGTGACTGGCTTGGGTTGGAGAAAGGTGGAGCCTGGTTTCGAGGATTCAGGGAGAGATTCGTGAACACAACAAAACTGATGTTTCCACTCTTGTCAGAAGAGACTCTACTCGTTCGAACTGAAGAAGCCAAGGTTCTCAGAGAAGGCTCTGCCCATGTATACAGCGCCCTTTTGCTGTCCACTAAAGGCGAGAAAGAGAAAACTTGGTATCATAGCACGAACCTGAAAATCGACCAACTCTTTGAGGCCTTCAGCATGCTCAATACTGAACTAGCCGCGAAAGAAGGCGAAAAGCGGGCGGCTCAGCTTGACTTGACAACCCATGAGATGATAGTCAAAGTTTCCAACGACACTGCTGATTTTCGCAAGAAAAACTGTGCGGGACAACTCAAAGACTATGAACGCCGGAAGCAGCAGATCGAGGAGGCCATTGCTCAAGAACGCAACAAAGAATCCAGCAACAAGCAGAAACGGATTTTTTTGTTGGTTCGTGAGTGGGAGCATAATCCAGCTTTGATCCAAAGGCGCCTGCTGGTGGAATTCCCCATGGAGTTGGAGAAGTTGAATGAGAGCATCGAGGCTGCAACTTCTTGCGTTGAGAATGCCATGACCGATAAGCAGCTTCGCGAAGCGTTGGTGGAGAAGGTTGCAGCAGAGAAACGCGTTGAGGAGCTTGATGGTGAAATTCAAGTTCTCCGTAAAGGCAAGCCTGAACTACGAGACAAGAATGTGTCAAGCTTCTTCGAAAGCACAGGAGAGGTGAGAGTTCTGGAAACGCTCAAAAGTTACGGGACCGAAAAGCTTGTAGATCATGCCACAGAGCTACAAGAGCAGATTCAAAGCAGGCTTGGGGAGGGAAATTTCTCTAGTGTGACGGATTGGTCAACGGACCGGAAGCAAATGGCTTATCTTGTGCAAGCCATGGAGCGTCAGTTCAAGTTGGTAGGCCTCGGCCGAAGCGGAGAGCAGAGCGTGTCATCTGTGGAGGCTCTTCGATTGGAGCTCACTGAGTATCTCTGGAGAGTTTCGAGTGCAAGGTCCCTGTATGAAATTGAACGAGTTGTCAAGGGTATGAGAGCAACCATCTACAGAAATAGGTTCAACGAGCAGTTTCTCACTGAGATCAGCAGCACCCAGTTTGCGGAGAGGTTGGCCGGCAGAATCGTTTTCAATGCTGGCGATGAGATTGGGACGCAAGTGGAAACCGGTCGAACCGTTCCCGATGGCAACTACATCGAAGCAACGATTGCAGGATAGTTTTTATTTGTCCAGAGAAGTTGTTGGGTGCATTCACAAGTGCGAATGGCAGCTGTAATAGTCGAGTCATTACAAGTTCGGCAGAGTGAACCTTACACTAGAGTAGCTTTCAAATTGTGCGAACCGTTGTAGACGGGGATTTGGGTAGCAAGAACACGATTGTTTAGATATCATTAGTGCAATCCGCTTGAAACACAGCTTGCATTGCGTATCGCCGCCGAACACTCTCTTGCATTTGTAGAATTGTTTTTTCCATCGCAGTTTGTGGATCAGGTGTATTGTAAAATTGACTCAAGCGACCATCCGGGAAGATGCAACCAATATGGATGTTGGAACCAACTGACTTGGGCAACACAGCACGGCATGAGGAGATCAGCATGTTGAAGCAGAGGCCAGAGTGGAAGCAGTTCACTTGCTCCATTGTAAAAGGGTACAAACAGTACACTTCTGTGCAGATTTTCTTCGAAATCTTGAAGTCCATGTTGGAGGCCAAACTGAATCTATCACACTCGTACACATGTGTGATCCCAGTTCGAATACTGTGAAAGTCTGGGCCCATGGCATGCAAGATATAGTAGAGGCCTGCAACAAAACATTTCCAACCTTTCTCTGTTTTGAGTACCTGCAGATCAAAGCCTCTCATATCTGCAATCATGGCATATCCACCATTGCAGTGGTTGTAGGTGAAAGAAAGGAATAATTGGGGCATCAAAGATACAACGCTGCGCAAAGCCACTAGTGCATCTTCCAGTGTGTTTTGAATATTATATTCCTGCCGAAATCCCTTTAAGCATATGGCTCTGTCAACAGCAGCTCCCACATCAGCTTGATCGATAATTGCCAACTGGCAGTACTCAAAATCAGAGAGTTTGTCCAGATCAGGGCAGCTCTCGATGGCTGTCTTGATGGCACGAGCCCATTGGCGTTCTTGGTCGGTGAGTTCCATGGACGAATCAACCCGAGGAGGCTGTGGTGGAGGTTGCTGCTGGTTTTCTTCGTTCCCATCATCTTCGGCAACAGGAGCATCCTCGTTTTGGGGTGGCGGTTCTTCATTTGGGTGATTCCCCCCTTCAACATCTTGGTGTGCTCTTGGCACAGCCACTTGCTCTATCTCCGCCTCCACTACATTCATCCTTGCTTTCAATCTTCAAATAATGCAACCAACTCTTTGTAAAAGAACGGTCGAGAGATCTACTGGCAGCGCTCGAGGTACTCTCCTTCTTCACTGTGGTGGCTCCAATTTTGTTGAATTCTTTGCAGGTCGGGAGGAGGAGAGTTATTAGAGGCGAGTCCAGCCCAAAGTCGCTTGGACGCTTGGACACTTGCTTGGGAAGGCATCTGGAGTGATGACATGCACCACGTAGCCACCTAGTGCTTGAGTATTGAGTGCTAGCTAGTAGACTGCTAGCAAGTATTTAGTATTGTATTATACATACTACCTGTGGTAAAGGCTTCCGTGGAGAACTTCTCTACCGGCACTCTACTATTAATACATTAATACTAGCTAGTAGATCTAAGACTCCTAAATCACCCTGTCACTTTCAATTGCCCTTTTGATATAGATTTTAATAGTACTAGCCACAGAGCTTCTAGGAAGCCACCCGTTGTTCTTCTCTGTTCAGGAAAACACCAACATCCAATCTTCAAACTCAATAATAAGAAAGCTCTACCCAGGTGTCAGTATTCAAGCTTTCTTACCCAGCTGCTCTATTTTGCTACTCACTTTATTTCCAACAAAACAAGCCAATTTTCAGTAGAATAGAACACTTTCTTACTACATGTACACTGTAAGCTTCTAGATAAAACACGTTGGTGCTTATTACACCCAGTGCAGATAGATGGGCCTTTGGGTCCAACTTGTTCCGGACTCTTATTGGTTTAGATCAAGCGAAGATGGTGATCACTGTCCGGCAGGCAGAAAATGTTGCAGATTTAGGCACAAGTTAGGAGCATTTTCATGGTGTCAGGCTAGCTAGCTAGTAGTATTTCTTGTGCTCTGAGGTCTCAATACTGGGAGGTTTTCTTACAAGTGTGTGATATTTCAGTATCAAAAGATTCTTATCTGTTTCTACAAACGTTTCTTACCTTCAGGTTTGGAGTGTATCTTGTTTGCCCAAAGGCCCCAAACTTCCCATACACTTCTGCTCCCTGCTCCCAAAGCTCTGTCCCCCCCCTGCCAAGCACTTCTCTACGGTACCAGTAGTAACTGTTTTCGCTTATCCAATAGCTAGCTAGCTAAAACCAAAAACCCGCTGACATGTCACTTTCAATTGCCCTTGCGGTCTAAACCTTTGTTGGCAAACTGGATTGAAGATGCCTCGTACACCTTCAATGATAGGTTGCTGGTTTCACATCTAGCTAGCTATTTATAGCCCCTTGTAAACGCGGCCCAACAGACGGTGAGGTGCGTGAGGATGGAGGCCGTCGTGGCAAAAGGGACAGCCAGCATGGCGGGGTATACTTCCCAGAGCCCTCGTCCCGGCAACAAAAAACCTCCGTCGTCCACTCCAATGAGCTTTAGGGCAATTAAGCCCACGTGGAGAGCACTGGCGATGCCCAATCCCTTTCGCAAGCAGGCTTGGCAAGGAGAGTCCGTCTCTTGCGCCGGAACTTCATCGCTTGCCTGTCGTAAACTGTAGGCCATGACAGCACCCATCCACGTGAATGCTCCCGCCGCCCGAGATAATCGCTTTCCCAGAATCGTGGGAATCGTCAGGAGAGGATAGTCCGAGACGAGTGGCAACACTGTGAACCAGAGCAGCCCGATGGTTGCAGATGAATACAAGGCAGATGTTGTGTTGTTGTTGCTGTCGTTTGGTGCCATGGACCACAGTGCTTGATGGGTCCCTCGTACCATGTGATTGATACAAGAACTCAAGGAATTTGTAGTTCTGGTACCTTTGTCCAGGCTTTTCTTCCAAGCCGTGCCATGGAATACGGCAGCCAAAGCAAACACGAGACTGGCAGCAGTCTTGAGAGGCGTCGGATAGAGATCGTATCCACAGGCAAACGCAGGTGCCCAAGCGGTCGCAGCAAGTAGGTATGTGAATGTGACGGTCAACCCCAAGCAAAGCCGTCGTTGTGTATTCTCCTCAAAATTGCTCCGCCTTGACTCCGAATTGGCACTGCCACTACTAGCCGCCCATAAGGAACTTGCTAGGACGGGCAATGGAAAGGCGAATGCTTGCGACATGGTCAGTAGGTTGTGTTTCATGGAGCAATGACTGAACTTGGGATCTGGATGGAATCTCAGCGCCACAATGGCGAGACATATCCAAGCCACCATGGAACCAATACCACTGGTAAGGCAGAGTCGGTCGACAAGTGCTCTCGGTCGAGAAGTCGCTGTAGGCGTATCTTCTGAATTTGCACCGGCTTGACGACACACAGAAGTACTCCTCGCGACAAAGCCACGAATACCAGATTGATTTCCAAGAACAAAACGACTTCTTTTTCTTTTGGCCGTAGCAGACAGCTTTTGATGGATCCAACTATCATCACGAAGGCTGCGTGGGATGCTCGTCAGCGTCCAGGAAGACTTAGACGGCAGATTCCATGGAACCTGGAATGCGGCAGTCGGCGTAACAGCCAGAAGTAGGAAGCAACTAAGCCTTGTTTTGCTGCCTAGGGTAGCCGTGCGGCTTTGGCATGTATTGTTCGCCATGGTGCCAATGTTCAGATGATGGGTAGCAGGGCGGTGTGGTGGTGGTTGATGCGGTTTTGTATCACGAGTATCCGTGACGCAAGAATCTGCACCTCTAACCCTAACGCTACATGACCATATGTGGATTTTGCTGCCTCCACCATGACGACAAGCCAAAAAGCTTCCGTCATTCCCATTGTATCCCCTACTTCTCATTTCTCCCGGTACTGGTACCGGTACCCTCTAGAGCGCCACTGGATGGTTGGTTGGATTAGATTAGAGTCGAGTCTCTACCTATCTAATTTTAGGTAACAATGGCAGAAGAACATGCTGCCGTGAGTCGAGTCCTGTCGTCCGCCAAGAATCAGGAGGGCTGACACGGTCCATAAAGATGCGATTCCAAGAATGGGAGGCTTCCAAAAACACGACAACAAAAACAACAAGCCCGACAGAAGCACCTGTGGCCACAACATTTCCGGAATTAGAGGAACGTTTGCTGCAAGTGGAACACTGGTGGGTGGTTGGTGGCGCCACTGTCACTAGTAGCACTTGCCTTTTTGACTCGTCTGGAAGAAATGGAGGCCTTCTTAAAGAGTCTTGGTCTCAAAGGACTGGATCAAGCTTTCGCCAAAGCCAAAGTGATCAGCAAGGCACGCAATAATTTGGCGTCGGCTGCCACCTTTTGAAGGGAAGACCATTTCCGCACTCCACGATCAAATAAATGTCACAACGGGACATTTTGCCCGCCCTGGTAGCACGGCTGCAGCAGCTGGTCAAGCTTCATGATCAGCCATCCACCTACGCTCTTCGATTGACCAAAAATGAACAGGAAATGGTTCAACTCACTCCAGGCCGTCGTCAAATTAATCACTAGTGGAGGAAACCGCGACCAAGGCAGAAACTGGAACTGCCGACAACGCCAAAGTTATTGAACACAATATGCAACAGTTGGATTAGCGAATCAAGAAGACGTAGATAGAATGATGGCACTTTTCCATTTTCGGACAATGCCTGGAGGGGTCAAATTCCCTTGTGATTATGCTTTGAAGAACTGCTTCCTAATAAGGTTCACGAATCTTGAGACACTTTTGGCTCACTAGACTAGAAGTGCATCGTATGGCTAGCTATATTTATCCATTTTGACGTCTGGTTAGTGAAGCGCCTATGGGCATTCGAACTCTTTCTTTGGAAACTTTGAATAGCAGACAGTGAGCGATGCCTGCCATGGTCGAGAGTTCGGGTGGCAACTCAACTTGTAGGTACACAGTGTACCACCATACAGGTACGGTACGGTAGCGATTCTATGTCAGGGATGGGGAATCAGCCATGAGGCAGCACAATGTGGAACTGCGGCATCGTAGATGCATGCATAGTAAAAATTTATTTATTATAAACGAGTACTGTAATATTTGACGACTAAGCAAGTTCAGCCTCTTCATCATCCTCATCATCAAAAAGGTCGCCACTGCTAAGATCCCCCTCTTCCTCTTCGATAATGGCATCGCCGTCAAATGTTCGTGAATGTGCTGAATGTGCTGAATATGATTTCAAGAAATCTTTGCCACTGCCTTTGTTGCTTCGAAGAGAGCGAAGCGGTGTGGGAGGAGTTTCGGCTGTTGCACTATTGTTGGAATGAGCCGAATTAGCATCAAGGGATCTCATGCTTTCCGAAAGCCAGTTAATTCCTCCCCTTTGGAACTCTTGCAGAATCTCGGATGGACGCCGTCCATCAAGATCTGAATAGATGTCAGCCACTCGTTGATTCTTGGCCTTTTCAAAGACCCCGCCCGGTTTCATTTCCATGACGTGCTGTGCCAAGATGAGATTACTAACATCATGGGTAATCATGATCATTGTCTTGCCAACCAAGAATTCTTGCAAGAGATCCATCACCAGCGTTGTCGTGTCAGGGTCCAGTGCGCTGGTGCATTCATCCAGCAACACCAGGGGAGCATTGGTCAAGAGAAGTCGAGCAATCTGGAGACGTTGCCGTTGACCACCAGAGAAGTGACTTCCATTCCCAACGATTATTGTGTCGAGGCCCTTTGGCAATGTCATGATACGCTCCTTCATTTTGACCTTATCGAGTGCGTCATAGATTTGCTCGTCAGTAACTTTGTCTTCCAATCCATAGATCATGTTCTCACGCAAGGATCGGCTCAGGAAGACAGCATGTTGGGTGACTACTGCCACTTGTCGACGCCATTCGATGGAGGTAGGATCGACGGCCTTGCTATCAAAGTAAATCTCACCACTGAGAGGCTCGTGAAGTCCGGACAGTGCCTTCAAGAATGTACTCTTGCCGACACCAGTTTCACCCATGACGGCGTAGTGCGCTCCAATGTTGAGGGTTGTCGTCAAGTTTTGAACAATGGCGAACGTGTTTCCTTCCTTGTCCTTGTATCCAAAGGAAGCAGCGTCGAGACTTAGCTTGTCGACTCCATTCTTGGGATGGTTTAGGTGATCTGACAACTCTGATGACATGTCTTCCATGGCTTGACGGAGCAAATCGCGGCGACTGACTTGTTTCTTGCCAATTGTAGAAGCTCTTTCAACCCGAAAGCTATCATAACCGCCAACCTCCAAGTCAAGCTCTCCTCGAGTATCATCCTTACTCTCCGATTCGTCGGCCTCGAAACTGTTCTTCTTCTTGCCACCACCACAAATGGTCCAATCATCAAAGTCCCCGGGAAAGAGCTCCTCTTCAGTCATGCCCAAGACATGGCAGAACTCTTGCTTGGCACGGCCATACTCTTGTTCCATGGGTCCATGATTGGTGAATGACAAAAAGGCCCGCATCTGTTCATCGGTCACCACAATGATGAGCAAGAGCTGGAAGACACGTTCCATGGACAAGTCCCACATGAACACCACAAAAAAGAGTGATGGTGTAATCATGGTAAAGGTACCGACACGGATGGCGGCGGAGATGAACTTGGCCCATACCAAGTGGCGAATGTCCTCTCGATCCGCCTCCATGAGCTTTCGTAGTTTGGCTTGCTCCTCGAGTTCGTTGGCCTGCGTCAAGACGAGTTCTTTACAGAGGACGACATCCACAAGGAGGTTGTTGGCTTGTGTCATCTTTTCTTCTCGTTGAGAATCCCAGGGAGTACTGAGCTTGTTCCAGATCAAGAAGGAGACAACAAAGACAAGGATCATGCCGCCGAGGAGGGCCAGTGCAAGGTCCCATGCCAAAATGAAGTAGAGGACGAGGCAAGCACCCATGGTAACAATGTCATCAATCTTTTGGAACTTGGAGTTAAACCAGTACTTTGAAACCACATTGATCTTTGTGTAGAGCAGGTTGGTCGCTTCATCGATGGCGACGCTGTTGGGTTCGAGGACGAACTTTCGGAAGAGGAGGTCTTGGAGGCGTTTGACTTCACGGTAGGGGAGAAAGTTTTCGGTCAGAGCCTTGCCCAGAGGGAGGACGATGGAGATGACGGCAGTGATTCCGCCGACGACGGCAAAGGCTTCGTAAAAGGTGAGAGACCGCATGAGGAATGTGTCCATGACAGGATTGGAAGACTTGTCAAAGATTTCTGTTTGGATTTGCCCGAACAATTCATCGGGGAGTGCAGAACCTATAGCCGCACGCAAGACTTTCTCGGCCAGTGCAATCAAGGAAACCTTGAAGAAAGGGAACACAAAGCCTTTGATGAGACAAAGGAGGTAGACGACTTGCCCAAGGCGTTTGGACAAGATCGCATCTTCTTGGTGTCTCGATGGAGGCTGTGAGGAAGAGGAGGACACCGTCGAGGAGGAGGATTCGCGGTTGTCTTTTGTCATCTTTAGACCGTTTTGGTTTGCAAACTGTTGGGAATCAGTTTTCAGTACTGGATGGCAAAAACGAAGAAAAGGAGTTTCAGGACGAAGAGGTGGAGGTTGTTTGTGAGCACAAACCCACGGGAATATTCCAAGCAGCAGTCAGTATTGTGAAATTACTAGTATGTCCCATCAATGCTCCTCGACATTGTTTCTGTGCGCATGTGGGACAAAGTTGTGAAGTGCGAGTTGCACGACCCCCCAAAAAATCATGAATGCTGCAAAGCTGTAAATGCGAGCAAAAATACCGTAAATAATAGCAACGCTCGCGTCGTCAAAATAAATGACAAGGATTTAAAAAAAGGATTTTAATCTGTCTGGTACACCGGTACACAGTGGGGCGGGTACTGTAAGTAAGGGAAGTAGGAAACGCAACCGGTTAACCGCTAAAGGAAAACACCTAACTATTAAATACCGTACTGAAATACCAGCTACCGGGGGATTGAAATCTTGTCAGAGTCGGTCTAAAGAAACAAACTTTAATCCAAATTATCCCTTCCAGTGGTGTAAAAGGAAGCGATTATTTAACACCTGGTAGTGATGTCTTAACTCTCATGTCATTGTGGTGTCGGCAACGTTAACGAGCAATACTGGTCTACAAGGTCATACTAAGAATCGTACTGCTTTTGTATAGCAAAATGAAAAGACTTAGTAAACGTGGTTGAAATTGTTTAACTGGTTCTGAGATAATCCGACTCGACTCAAACTGCCTCCAAATCAGAAGAATTGGACGCGCGAAAAGGAGCGACGAGGCATCACCCCTCATGGGCCATGGGCCATCGGCCAGCCTACTCAGTAAAGGTGTAATGGCAATCATTACAACAATAAATTACAACGATTGATATGGGATAATTCAATCAAATTCAATAACCTTTTACCAACCACAAGAGCAATCACTGCCCTGCCAGTTTTACTTAGCTAAAGTGGCAGACAGCTAGAGGCACTAAGACTTAGTAAAGCTGGCCTGGCACCCAAAGCTCTTGTGGTTGGAAAGCTTTGGGGCTGGCCCATGGAAAACTCTTACTACTAGTTGTTGTACTTGATTTCAACGACACGGTACCGGTAGCTATTAGTAGAACATTCGATCTTTCGAGTATATGTACTCGAGTACCGTACGGTATTCAGTAGTGTTGGGTTCTTAAAAGAGTTTCACGCCATTTAAATAAAAATACCAAACAAAGACCGGACATTTTTTCAGTGGTCATGCGTCTTGATCCTGTACAGGCAGCTTCGTTTCTATTGATTCAAACGCGAGCCGAGCTTCTTCGTACATTTCTACACGAGCACTCGTAGAAGTGTACCAGAAAAGCTGGCACGCGTTTGAATCAGAAAAATCGAAGCTGCTCGTAGGCTCCTGAGCATTGGGGAAGAATCCCATAGTCCTCAAAAGCGTTCCATGGGACTGCCTCGAGATACATGTAGATTATGATTGATTCCGCGAAAAAAGAAAAAGGTAAAAATTAATTGTCTACACGTTTTACACCTTTTAACAGCTTTGAGGTTTTACTAAGTAATGTTAAAGCTTTTTTAACACGCCATTTGGTCGCCACCAAGATGGTGCCCTTTCTCGCTCTGTGCGTCAAATAGAAGCCAACCATGGCAACACAAACGGTATATAGGCTCTACAGAGAGGCAGCAACACATACACAAGTTTCTGAGTGGGTTGATATGGAGGATAGGGAAGCAAAAATGCAAGGGCGATGGCCGACCAATAATCTTGCACCAACCACCGACATTCAACACCACAATAGAGGAGAGACACTCAGTGAAGATGGAGCTGGCTCAGATCAGGTGTATCCACAGCACCCTCGAAAGAGTCCCAACCAGTGTTGTTGCTTTGGTTGCGGTTGCGGCGATTGCGACGACGAGAGACAGGACGAGAGACAGGAATGCGGACCTCTTCTTCTTCATCCGAGTCCAGTGCCCCGCGACGACGAGCACTGGAAGCTCCACGGCGACGAGAAGGAGCAATATGCTTGGGTGGAGGAGGAGGGACATCGTCGCTCGCCTCTTCTTCTTCCTCTTCCGTTGGATCCTCTTCTTCCGTCGAGGTTTGGAGCATGTCGCGAGAGGTATCGTTCTCTTCCTGAGCATCTTCTCCCTTGGTGGCTTCTCCATCAGATTCAGTGTTGAAAGCATTGGCATCAGCATCAACTGCATGGCGGACTCGGAAGGGGTTGGAGCCACCAGCAAAGTGGACGGAGACAATGCGATCTCCCTGATCAGAGCGCAGCACAAGCAGACTGCTACTGGAATGGATGATGGTAGCCTCAATATCGTCAAGATAATGGAAGCCTTGGGTTGGAATGAAACGATTAGGATTGACAAAGAGGACCGTGGCAATGTCATGTCCTTCATTGACAGCCTCTGCCACTTTGCCTTTGATACCGGCACCCATTTCGACAAGAGCATCAGCATGGACAGGAGCCGCCGCCTCTCCTGCCATAATAGTAAAGGATGCCTTGAAATATTCCGGTTGAGCTGCCATTTGAGATCAATATGCTCTGAAAGTGAGCGATATCTTAACTCGAATCGCACGACACTGCCATCCTTCCGATTCGATTCAACGTTCCCCTGTGGTTGGGCCATACACAACAACCCGCCAGGTCGGTCGCAGACGAGAGATCTGAGCCACCAATCGACACAATTTGCACTCATTATCATAGCAAGCCCATCCAAAGGATGGTTCCGAGAAGCAAGGCCAACCAAAACAATGTCGCGATTGTTATGTATTGGACAACTGGGAGAAGATGAGCGACTATATCCACTCTCTCTATCCAACCAAAAAATCTACAATCATCGAAAGCAACCGATCAAGATGGTGTGGCTGTTTACCGAAAGCAAGATACCGGTTCCTTACGGATATGGAGGCCCTCCTGGCTCTGGATACGTGACAATTCTTGCTATTGGTCCTGTGTCAACTCTGGATGAAACGATGAAGGCGACTGAAAAGAAGTTTCCTCTTGTGCTTTGGAGTTTGGAACGAGGGCATGAGTATGAGGTCAAAGCAACCGTGGTTCTTTTGGAGCGCTTTGAATGCTCGGCCAAGTTTCGCCTCAGATTGAGAGGATTCCTCCGTGTCAATGGCGTCGATGGCGCCGAGGAAGAATGGACCATTGTCTTCACTCATCGTGTTCGATGGGGAGATCCGGAACTGACAAACATGAAAAGCACCTCGTCCAAAAGTCGGCAAGTGGATCTTGCTTTTGACTACGGCGATGAAGGCTCTGAACCAAATGATTTTACTCATATCCAATTCCTCCTCCCAAAGACGGCCGAGAGTGACAAAGGAAAGGCATTGTTCAAGGCTTTGAATTGGGCCCGGTCAGTAGTGGCCGCCAAGATGGATTTGGATGATTTCAAGCAGACTATTTGAGGAGATAAATGCGGCAATATACCCTTGCATGCCAACAATCATCATGTGCTGCCACTACAGTGTACAAGTGCAATTATCCACGCAAATAAGCAGTGCTATAGATGATATCTTTACGTACCACCCTACATGGACTCCAAAGTTTCAATGATTTTGTCTGCTTCCTCCTGTCCGATACTTTGCAGCACTTGTTCAACGACTTTCTGCCTCCGATCAGGAGCAATCGTGAGGAGCCTCGTAGCAAGATATTCGTCTTCGGTTTCCATATAATGCTGAAGGCCGACATCTCTAGAAAAACATTCAATTTCACCGGAACGCAGTCGTTCAAGCTTTTCCTCGTCTTCATTGGTCCAGACGTCAACGGGAGCATCCAATGCCTCATATTTGTCTCTCCACAGCTGAAACAGAATGGGTTTGTTCTGATTTGTCTTGTCGTTGTAAGGAGCGGTTGGATTTGCGCCTTGCTTCCATTGAATCATGGTCGCCAATTCAGGTTTTTTCCATTGAGTGCAGTCTCAGCGATTATCTTTTCTGCTTCCACAGCAACACCGTCTCCTGCAGAACATTTTTCCTTTCTCTTCTCCATCTCATCGACCTCCTTGACAATATCCTTTCGAGCATAAGCAATCAAGGCATCATCAATTGTCATGGGAGCTCCACCATCCGTCACTTGAAACCATCCACCGGCTGTAGATATCGCCATGATTGCATCTTGGCGCTCACGAGTGTTTGGAATTGTTTTGGTTGAGTTTCGGCCTCTGGTTTGCGCTGCTGTCACTCGATTCACAGAGCGTTTCAGGGTGTCCGCAAGATCGAATCCAGCTTCTTCCAGCTCCGTAACAGCGTCTTCATTCTGCGTCTCAAGCTCCTGGAGGAGGGCTCCGTAGGGATCGACAACATCGTCAATATCACCTTCTTCCCCTTCCACAATTTCATGACGGATTTGAGTGGCATGCAAAGCTCTTCGCGTGCTTGGACAATATCCACATTTCTCCATTGCTTCGAAGATATGATCTTTGTCAAGAGCAGTCTTGAATGCATCCACTAACTCTACTGTGCTTCCATCCAACAGAGTGGCGGTACCTCCAAACACAATCAAAGCAACATCTGCCATCGACAGAGATGCCGACTCTCCCTCCGTACGAAATCGAGCCTTCCATAGCTTTTCTCTGTTTTGGTAAATGGTCTTTTTCAGGAAACCAAACACTTGATCACACTCTTGGCCGACCTCTGTCCCATTTGGCAACCCTGGGTACAAGTGCGCTCCTCGGGATCGCAGTAGTCGCAGCATTGGAGGATGCATCCGGCCAGGCCCAGAGTCAATCTTGATCAGCAAGGAAGACGCCTCGTTGTCAGCACAATCAGGATAGAGAGGAAGAACAACTCGCTCCATGAAAGCAAAGAGCATATCTTTGGTCATGCCACCCTTAGGGTTCATCGCAAACGGCACATTGTGTCGGCGAGGCTCACTGAATCCGTACGTTGCTTCCAACTGTGGCAAACACTTTGCCATGTCGACCTTGAGCTTGTAATTCGAGGGATTCTGGGCCTTGGTAGGAAAGAGCAACAGAGGTGGCAACACCTCGCCGGCGAAGTTGATTCCAAACATAATCGTCATCTTCGTTCCAGACTTTTCATTGGCAGTTCCAGAATCGGCAAGTCCTATCGTGGTGGCTGTTGGTATTCGCGATGCCCTCCCTCCAATTGTCGAATCGGCTCCGTCAAGAGCAATATTCATTTCATCAAACTGTAAGACACGAGAAAGTCGGTCGTCCTTCCAGACAATGTGCCCAACATCATCAGGATTCTCATCTTCATTGAGAGGACGAGCAAAACCAAGACGGACGGCTTCTTTCTCCCAATTCTTGTAATGCATCGATTGCGACTGGTAGGTGAGCCAGAGGACTCGAAGCGACTCTCTGTTGTCAGCTTTATTCAAGTCTTGGAGATGACAAATCGCATTTTCAATTCTGGCATAAAACTTGGAATCGTTCATGGGCTCCAAGCCATCGGCTGCACGCTTTGAGTTCAGTATTTCACCAACAGTGCTCTTGAGCTTCTCTCGTGTTAATCTCTCCTTGCAGTTTGCTTGTTCTATGGCACATGCTGTGAAAACAAGTGAGCAAAAAGCTTCAAAGATCACCACTGGAACTTCACCTTTGCGTCCAAGACGAGGCGGTGATTTTCCAACATTGCCAACGCGAACGGCTGTGGCAATCTCTCTGCCAGAAACGCAATCAATACCGGTGATATTGTTCATTGATCTTGCAACTGCGTCAGGAGTTTTGAAGATTGCAAGCGTATTCTCATTCTTCTGGACGGAATGGAAGATAACAGTCGCAGCTTTATACATCGACTTCCGAATGTTGTCAAGCTCACGTTGCGTCTGCCTCTCAACTTGAGCTGCTTGGGTAGTACGGCGAGGATCCTTTGTTGTTGTTAGATGAGAGATATCGCTCTTGATTGATGCCTGTCTATTCTTTCTGATCTCTCTCCAAGAGATATTTGTAGAGGAGTCAATCAAATTCTCATCTCCAAAGATATGGAATTCAGGGCTTCCAAAGAGAGGAGGCGTATTGAAAATTTCAATTTCTTTGGCGTTAATCATGAAGGTAGGCGGACCATCCGCGAGAGAGTCACCGCCGGCTGACAAAGGAGAAACAACAGCTTGGTTTCTGCCACCAATTCCGGTGTGAACGTTGATTTCAGCGACGGGGCGAGGCGGGCCCATCCGAGGACGAGGTGGGTTATTGGCAGGTTGTAGTGGCTGTGGAGGCGGGAGAGGTGGTGCTGCCTTCAGTCTTCGAGACACCCGAACGTAGGCTTTCCCGGGTCCTGTCTCTTTCTTCTGGAAACCAGCGACAAGCATTGCATACGAAACTGACGCTGGTTTTGAGGTATCAGGGCGAATCTGGATTCTCTGAGCAAGGTAGAAAGCTCGATTGCAGTTCTCATCGTAGGTATTGAGGTGTCGAAGACGGCCAAATCGCTGGAAGGCACCAGCCAACAATCGATCAAATCTTGCTTTCACTTCGGCAGACAAAGCTGTCGCCTCATCCATCCCAACGGAAATCAGAGCATCTCCTCTTTCAAACTGCACAACTCCCCATTCTGGGATGGTCCGCAGGACTTCCAAGGCTCGCTGGAGCAAAGCGTTGGTCTCCATCGTTCAAATCAACTTCAATGGCCGAGTTGATGGCCCCAGGAAACATCGACAGTGAATCCATCGGAACGGATACCACATGAAGCCAAAATTTCCTCCCTCTCTATCCGCTATGCTATCACAGAGATATCACATGCTGTGCTTGTGTCTGTTTCCCTTGAAAGCAGCACAATAGCCGACACTCTTGTCATTGTGGTGTTGGCAGCATTCGATTGCTGTTTTGAACTCTTGAAAATTTGGCTGTCACTTGAATGTTAAATCTGAGTATTCTGGGTGTTAAATACCAAAACGTGACGTGTTAAAAGTCAAACTATGAAAACGTTGTTTTAACTTTGTTCTTTAGCGAGGTTGTGTTAAAACCTGAGTCATTTCGGTGTTAAATCATAAAACATTTTCCATGTTAAAAGTCAACGGAAAAAGGTTTTTAACATTGCAAGAGTTAATGGAAATATTCCGGAATGTTAAGGAACTTAATCCTGCTGTTAAAAAGGCATTAACATTGGCTTAAAAGTTAAAAGGTCTTAAACGTGTACTGCATCGCGGAATGAGTCGTGCTATTATTGCAGAAACAAAAGTCACTGTTCTTCAGAAGACAGCGTCTTCGCGATTCGAAAAAGACTAATTTGACCTTTTCCGAATCGTTTTTGCTTCCTTTTCAGTGTATTTTTCCTCAAAGCCATTCTTTTACCGCGTGCTCAGCTGTTCCTGTTGGACTCAACACAATGTACAGTACTGTACTACCGGAATCTACGGGTACCGGTAGCATTAAATTTTACCCGTAGTACACGATCACCTCAGAGGCTCCTGGTACCGGTAACACTAACGCTACCGTACATCATTAGCCGCAGGACAGCCGACCATTGGATCTTTGCGCTTCCACGATGCATTCTGTCAAGCCACGAAGCACAAAGCTTCCGTTCAACCCTCTTTATTTCTCGGGCACCGCACCATCTAAAAATAGCCGTCGGAAGAGCGCCACTGGATGGTTGGTTTGATTAGAGTCTCTATGAATTTAACACGTTGCCGATGAGGCCGCAGGAGAAGTTATCTTCTCTAGCTAGCTAGCGATGGCTTGTTGCGCATGACCATTTCTCCCACGAAGCGCGCGCTCCTCCAAGCTGCAAAAGGTGGACGATGGTGACATGGCTGTGTTGGATTACGGTGACATGTATCCGACAGTGGCCTTTGAAATATTTATAATCTGGAAAGGTTTATCTCGTCAGCGGCAGTGCTCAACCCAAGAGTACCAGTGCTGTCAAGTAAAAAGAATCCCGCGGAACGTTTGTCCCGGTTGCAACAAGAGATTGACGAACTGGAACGGGATTTGGCTTCTGCCAATGCCGCAGAAGAAGCGGGAGGAGGAGCACCTGTCTTGATGGGAGTGACCGATTTGCCGCAACGCTTATAGACGCAAGCAGGAGTCCTGTCGTCCGCCAAGACTCGGGAGGAAATGACACGGTAAGAATGGGAGGCTCCCAATACACAACGATGACAGACAAGCCTGACAGAAGCGGTCGCCAGACCACCCGGGGCTGCAATGTCTCCGGATTTATTGGGACGTTTGCTGCGATCGGAAAAACTGGTGGGTAGCGCGACTGCCAATAGGAGCACTGCCCTTTTGACTCGTCTGGAAGAGATGGCTGGAGACCTGAGAGTGCTCAACTCTAGCTAGTAGGTTACCGTAGCTAGTAGGTTACCGGTACCGTAGCCATTCTTTGTGGAACTGCGGAAGATGCATGCATAGTAAATATATTCATTAGAAAAGAGTATGACATACTGTAGTATTTGATGATGACTAGGGAAGCCCGTCCTCATCCTCATCATCCAGCAGTTCGCAGTTGGTAAAATCCCCTTCCTCCTCTTCGATAATGGCATCGCCGTCAAATGTTCGTCCTGAATGTGCTTTCGAGAACTCTTTGCTACTGCCTTTGCTTCGAAGCGAGAAACGCGGAACGCGAGGGGTTTCGTCTGTTGCACTGTTGTTGGAATGATTTGAATCATCAATGGATCTCACGCTTTCTGCAATCCAGTTAATTCCTCCCTTTTGGAACTCTTGCAGAATCTCGGATGGACGTCGTCCTTCGAGATCGGCATAAATGTCAGCCACTCGTTGATTCTTGGCCTTTTCAAAGACCCCGCCGGGTTTCATTTCCATGACGTGCTGTGCCAAGATGAGATTACTAACGTCGTGGGTGATCATGATCATTGTCTTGCCAACCAAGAATTCTTGCAAGAGATCCATCACCAACGTGGTGGTGTCAGGGTCCAATGCGCTGGTGCATTCATCCAGCAACACCAGGGGAGCATTCGTCAAGAGAAGTCGAGCAATCTGGAGACGTTGCCGTTGACCGCCACTAAAATGGGCACCATTGCCGACAATGATGGTGTCAAGGCCGTTTGGCAATGTCATGATACGTTCCTTCATTTTGACCTTATCGAGTGCGTCATAGATTTGCTCGTCGGTAACCTTGTCTTCCAATCCATAGACCATGTTCTCACGCAAGGATCGGTTCAGGAAGACCGCATGTTGGGTGACTACGGCCACTTGTCGACGCCATTCGATGGAGGTAGGATCGACGGCCTTGCTATCAAAGTAAATCTCGCCACTGAGAGGCTCGTGAAGTCCCGACAATGCCTTCAAGAATGTACTCTTGCCGACACCAGTTTCACCCATGACGGCATAGTGCTCTCCCATGTTGAGGGTTGTGGTCAAGTTTTGAACAATGGCGAACGTGTTTCCTTCCTTGTCCTTGTAACCAAAGGAAGCAGCGTCGAGACTCAGCTTGTCCACTCCTTTCTTGGGATGGTTTAGGTGTTTTGACAACTCTGATGACATGTCTGCCATGATTTGACGGAGCGATTCGCGGCGACTGACTTGTTTCTTGCCGATTGTAGAAGCTTTTCCAACCCGAAAGCTATCGAAACCGCCAACCTCCAAGTCAAGCTCTCCTCGAGTATCATCCTTACTCTCCGATTCGTCGACCTCCTCGTTCTTCTTCTTTCCACCACCGCAAATGGTCCAGTCATCAAAGTCCGCGGGGAAGAGCTCTTCTTCTGTCATGCCCAAGACGTGGCAAAACTCTTGCTTGGCCCGGCCAAATTCTTCTTCCAGGGGTCCATGATCGGTGAATGACAAAAAGGCCCGCATCTGTTCATCGGTCACCACAATGATGAGCAAGAGCTGGAAGACTCGTTCCATGGACAAGTCCCATGTGTACACCACAAAAAAGAGCGATGGCGTAATCATGGTAAAGGTACCGACGCGGATGGCGGCCGAGATGAACTTGGCCCATGCCAAGTGGCGAATGTCCTCTCGATCCGCCTCCATGAGCTTTCGTAGTTTGGCTTGCTCCTCGAGTTCGTTGGCCTGCGTCAAGACGAGTTCTTTACAGAGGACGACATCCACAAGGAGGTTGTTGGCTTGTGCCATTTTTTCTTCTCGTTGAGAGTCCCAGGGAGTACTGAGCTTGTTCCAGATCAAGAAGGAGACAACAAAGACCACGATCATGCCGCCGAGGAGGGCCAGTGCAAGGTCCCATGCCAAAATGAAGTAGAGGACGAGGCAAGCACCCATGGTAACAATGTCATCGATCTTTCGGAACTTGGAGTTAGTCCAGTACTTTGAAACCACATTGATCTTTGTGTAGAGCAGGTCGGTGGCTTCATCGATGGCGACGCTGTTGGGTTCGAGGACGAACTTTCGGAAGAGGAGGTCTTGGAGGCGTTTGACTTCGCGGTAGGGGAGAAAGTTTTCGGTCAGAGCCTTGCCCAGAGGGAGGACGATGGAGATGACGGCAGTGATTCCGCCGACGACGGCAAAGGCTTCGTAGAAGGTGAGAGACCGCATGAGGAAAGTGTCCATGACAGGATTGGAAGACTTGGCAAAGATTTCTGTTTGGATTTGCCCGAACAATTCATCGGGGAGTGCAGAACCTATAGCCGCACGCAAGACTTTCTCGGCCAGTGCAATCAAGGAAACCTTGAAGAGCGGGAACGCAATGCCCTTGACGAGACAAAGGAGGTAAATGACTTGCCCAAGGCGTTTGGATAAGATTGCATCTTCTTGGTGTCTCGACAGAGGCTGTGAGGGAGAGGAGGAGGACACCGTCGAGGAGGAGGATTCGCGGTTGTCTTTCGTCATCTTGAGTGAGTCTTTTGGTTTTGGTTTTGGTCTGCAATTGGGGATCAGTAACTTGTGAAAATTATGTCCCATCAATGATCCTGGACCACAGTAGTCAAGACTCGACCAGTAAGCGAGGCTGAGTGGCTGTGCCAATGTGGAAGCAAAATACAAAATACATGTTCAAGCGCGTGCGCGAGTTGCACGAGCAACGAAAAACAGGGCTCAGCCCTCTCAGGACTCAATCATAGAAAGTGGTTCGCACTTGGTGATTGGTGATGTGGCTTCTTTGGATGTCGCCAGTACTAGCTAGTACATGTATCACCAGGCAATACCACCAGTTACCAGTCATGGAGACTACCACCGCACTTGTTTCTCCAGTACAGGAGCTAGCTAGAGTGGAACAAGTTTCGTACATACAGTAGACTAGTAGCCAGCTTCAAAGAACGTAAGATTTACGGTTGCCTGAGTAAAAAGCAGTGTGCCGGCACCGGAATTGCGGACACTGTATTGGCACTGGTTGGAATGCCGAGTTCGGATAGACAGCTGTTCAGACTATGCATACCGGAGTATGTGGTTTCTAAACTTTAATTAACATCACGACTCTTGAGCAGAATTTGGTTCGCAGTTCGTCAGTTCAGACTATGAGCTTTCTCAGGTTGAACCCAAGCTTTCTGCTTCCTCCACTCCTCGCCAGTTCTACCTCTAGACTACTCTTGACGTACTTGTACTGAGTAATACAGACCCTTCCAAGCACTTTACTAGTACACGATACAGTACTTACTCCTTACCTTTCGATGTTGCGTTCTTCCACTATGAACTGTGAATCAGAGCTTACATAGATGCTCAATCATGGGACCAGGTTCGTTTGGAGTGATACCGGTGCTGAAAGTCTGGTCAAGACCCAAAACATAACACGTCGGCTTGGATACCACATATTATGCATACCGGTACGCTTACTAGGCTCACTCTTGACTCGAATCAAAGTGTTGGCCTATGATGATCCTGTGACCAGTTTTGGCTGGTAGAGCTCCGTTCAGTACAGGGTCTGCTGTAGGTTCACCGTAAATTTACGCCGAAAACGTTCCCTGGTCTCGAGATTGATTTTAAAAAAGACTTAAAGTTTTTTAGCTGTTTTTTGGCAAGAATGGTGGAGGAGTGTGGGAGGAGTTTTGAGAGGCGTCCGATCTTGATTCTTGGTTGTTGGTTTAGATGTGCTGGGACCTTGAGGCCGATCATCACCCATCGCATGCGTTCCGATTTGAGATCAGGTTCCTTCCTTGTTATGTTCACAATTCGAAAGATCCAACAAACCAAAACACAGCAACACAAAACACAATCAACATGCAAGCACCAACAAGCATGACTCTACCAACCGCCCCAGGCATCAACTTCCACAGACATGAAATCCCTGCTTGGTTGCAAACACGGTACATCGAGACAGGATACCGAGCCAACCTAAACTTTTTGCAATGCTTCACGAGTATCTTCTCGGTGCACAACGAAGTTGTGGCGATCTGGACACACCTATTGCCGGCTCTAGTCTTTGGCGGCTTGACAGCCTCCTTTTTCTTTTCCAATCACCGACACAGTGCATTGTTCGCTCAAACGAGCTTTTCCTTTACGCTCGTGTTTACGGCGTCTGCCTTTATGCACACATTCAACCCCATCAATGAAGAGTGGCACTTGTGGACTCTTGGACTCGACTGGGCAGCCATTGCCTTTGTCATCTACGGAGTGGGCCATTCACTCTCCTCACTGGTGTACTATCATGACCCCAGGCGTCAGGATATGTGGAAGCTTGCATTTGCCGTTCCTTGCTCTGCCTTTGCAAGCATTGCTTCCTGGGGTGGCTTCCACTATCTGCCGCAGGTGACCAAGATCTCACTGGTCTTGCTCCCGAGTTTGGCCATTCTTGCCTTCGGCTTTGATCTGTGTCATCGACTGCCATCCCATGAACTCCAAATTGTCAAGGATGTCATGCGAGTGCCACTTCTCTTGACCATTTCGGGCATCCTTGTCTATGGCGCACAGTTCCCAGAGCGACAATTCCAAGATATCAACTTCGACATGACGCGGGGTCATCACTTGTACCACCACGTTTGGAGCTCTGCCTTTGCATTCATCTATTTGAGAAACACTTGGAAGTGGGCTCAGAAGATTGGCATCAAGCACTACTAAGTGGGCATTTCAAGCAAGCAAGCAAGCAAGCAACCACTGCCTTTGCATTTTCTTTTTGCGCAATACATGGCGCATTGATGTGGGCTCTGAAGATTGTGGAGTGACTAGCAACCTTAGCAACATCGCGAGAAGCTAAGGGCAGCAACAACAAAAAAGAAGCACTCCTGATCCAAGAGGCACATTGATGCATATATTTTATAGAACTACAACAGTAATAGAAAGACAACCTTATTTTTGAATGACTTCCACATATGGCACAGTATCTACATGAATAGAAGGATGCCTTGGGCTGTAGTCAATGGCTGATTAATGAAAGTGGAGCACGAAACCTACCAGAAACACACATGACTACAGTCAACCCTGGCAGCTAGGGAAGCCAACAACCGCAGGATCACTCACCCCAAGCACAATGATATTGCATTTAGGACTATTTGGCAGCAGCCCTCTTTGCCTTCAACAAGTAGAGCAAATGTAGCTACAGCTCCCCTGCTTGTGAAGCCCTAAAAATGAACCGAACCGTCAGGTCTAGGACCTTTACCAGCAACAACTGATACTGTGGCCAAATGGAGCAATTGCGGCCAAGGTACAGCCTAGCTAGGTGCAGCCTCCCTCCTTCAGTCTCAGCTTTCAGAGATGAAGAATGAACTCTTGGTGCGCCGTGATGCATCCGTCTGTTGGAAACCACACACGAGATGTCCACATGAACCATTCCAGGAACAGAGAGAGGGTGAAGGGTTGATGCCATCAGATTTTTGGGGTTGGGGTGAGCCCGTTGCCGATAACCCCAACCCGAGTTCTTGCGGTCGCCAACACAGAGGTACTGTACCGGCCAGGCGGTAGTTCGCATAACAGAACATAAAAGGCTTGGTACAGAAAGTACAGGGGGACCGCCGTGCCGACATCAGCCCAATCGGTACACTATGGTACACTGCCGCTGTAGAGCCGCTGTAGAGCCACTGCAGAGGATCAGCCACGATAGCCCACTAACCTCAGTCGTGCATTTCGCATCTATTTATTTATTTATTTATTTATTTATTTATCTCTGTGTCAGCTCGATCAGTCTCTCGTCGTGTTGTTTCGTGTTGTTTTCCTGTTGTTTTCGAAAGACCGACAGAGCATGCATCCAGAGGATTTCGAATTTTGAATTTGAGCGAGATAGTGAAGCAAGACAATAAAACCGAGGTCATCCCGTCCGTATTCAGGGCAGAGGTACTTCGCAGAGGTACTCACCGCAGCAGAGGATATATCCGCTTTCACCGAAGACGATGAGTGCGAGTACGAAAGAGGCGCTGGCTGGTATCGACCACGGGACCTGTACTCCAGTGGACGGTTCCCCAAGGTGGACGACAATGGCATGGTGTTCTTGGCGGCTGTTGGCAAGACAGGACGTGCCTCTGTGAAAGATAGGACTCCTCTAGTGGCGGGGAAATTGGATCGGCATCTGCAGAACCATTTCCCACAGGGAGCAGTCCACGGAGTCACATCCCCTGTTATGAGAGCCCTTGCAAGGAAGGACGAAGCTGCAGGCCAGAGCCAGTCCCAAATTACGAATTTCTTTGGGAACGGCATTGACAAACAATGGAAGGCAGAGCAACAAGCAGCCATGGAATTTGAGCTCCCAGCTCACACTCAAATTCTCTTCTTTATGCCTGAGATATTTGACCGCAGCATCCTGGAAAAGCATTCGAGGTACAAGTTCATGGACCCAGCAACAGGCAAAGAAGGACTCGAGACTCCATGCCCCCATTGTGGCACCAACAAGCATGTGTCTTTGGTTATCAGAAGTGGCCTCAAGCTAGGCCAACACAGAGCAATTGCTTCCTTCAAAGTGGGCCAGGGTCCTGGGAAAGTCCATCCCAAAGACAAAGTCGAAGATGCAGGAGGCTCTGCTGCAGTGCTTTGAGGGCAAGCCAGAAGACCATGTGTTCCACTCCCACTAGCTAGCTAGCTTGGTGGTTGGGCCCCAAGGGGCCCAATCTTTATGGTTCAGAGCCCCCTGCGGGGGCTCAACCTTTATAGTACTAGCTTAAAAATTTTTCCTAGCTGGCTAGCTAGCCAGCTAGTATTTTAAAATAGGTGGTAGGAAACTTCTCACACCTTCGTTTCCTTTCTGGGTGAAAAGTCGACGTAGCTCTTACGTGGCACACATCTTCTAACAGTCGCCTGCGACAAACGGCGGAACTCTAGTGCTCTGACACGGACAATCTGGTTTTGGGTTGCCACGTGTGGATTCTGATTGGTTATCCGATACTTCTGGAAGCACCTTTGAAAACTTCCCTCACAATTTGCTAATTTTCCTTGTTTTCTTCGACTGTTGCCATGGCCTCTCTCCAACGGAAAGAAAAAGTCTCGTCGTTGCTATCTTGGTGTGAGATAAAGATACAAACTTCCACAAAACGCCAAGAGCCATCAAGGGCTATCGAAAGCTCCTGGTTCCGATAGCAATACACAAAAATAGCAATCTCCCCTAGCCAGAAGGGTTATCGGCATCATCACTATTCACTATCACAGCAAAGTAATAATGTCGGTAACACTGCGATATCACCATGTTTCCTTCTGTCTTTTGTTGCTTTGTGCTGCAGCCCTTGGAAGTGTGGGTGCCTTTCAAACTCCCTTTCGCAGGCGCTTCCTGAGTCCTGGTCTGGAAAAGACCAAGAGCAAGAGTTTGGTCCAAGAAGCAGCCGTCCATGCCACCACCAAAGCTGTGCGCATGAACTCGACGGCGGTCGGTGTTCCCACGGTCCCCTCGATTCAACAGCAAACCATCTACGTGCCCCCAAAGGCTTTGCCTCTGGTCCCATCCAAGACCGTATTGACTCTTGCTGGATCGGTTCTCGCTTTGAACTCTGGATTCCTCAATGGAATCGCACTCGGGGGTCTCTTGTTCCCTGCCGGTGGTCCGACGCAGGCCGTGGCTGCCTGTACGGGAGCTTACACTAACGTGGCCGTCTCCGCCGCCACATCGTCGCAAGCCGTATTCGCCAATGCCTTTCACCTGGGAGCCATTCTGAGCTACTTTGCCGGGTCTTGTCTCAACGGGATGCTCTGTCCACGAGGGGTCAATTGGCGGTCACGAGTTCCCACCAAGAGTTTGCTCTTTAGTGCTGCCCTAGTCAGCTTGGTCTTTGGGATTGCTCCCGTCGTGGCAAGTCCTCGTTTGTGCTGGTACTTGCTAACCATTGCCTGCGGAGTGCAAACGTCCTTCACGTCCATGTTGATCAGTGGCAATCTCTTGCGCAGTGCTCACTTTTCCGGCATGACATCGGATATGGGAACTGTACTGGGGCAGTACTTGCGGGGTAACACGGAAAGTGCTTGGAAGCTCCCCGCGTGGATGGCGCTGGTATCCAGTTTTACTCTGGGAGGATATGTTTCGGTCAAGGCAGTTTCCGCAGTGGGACGAACGGCATTGATGCTACCGGTGTCACTGTATCTTTTGGTGAGTGCTTCTGCAAGTCTGCGGCAAAGACTCACAGCGAAGGATTAGGAATTCTCGTTATGTACAGAGATTCCTACAAAGCTGGACGTCTCCAACATCTCGTTTCAATAGATTATACACGAAGATAGCTGGAGCTGAGAGAACGAGGATAGATTGGGACTCTCAAAATTTTTACGTTTGGTCGGTCGACAAGCCATGAACAACAGTCCGGTTCCGTATGGACCAGTCCGTTCCAAACATACTTATCAATTCATAGCTATTGTAAGGCATAAAAAGCAGTGAACGTCTTTAGAGTGAGTGAGTTGCGAGCCAGTTTCTTCACGCGTATCGTCGTTTGAAGCAGCCATTCATAGTGTCTCCTGATCTGACAATGGATCCCTATCCGTGCAATTCCGTAGGATCGCTAGCTAGGAATAGTTGGCTCCGAACATGTCACCGAAAATGGATCCTCCTTCCTTCGCAGGCAGCACTTCAACAAAACGGTACGCAAATGTTGTGGCTAGCTGGCTACCAGTACAGATACGGAGCTCGTCCACCATTTTTTATAGTACAGAGACAATGAAGTTTGGCCCCTGGTCTGAGATCAAAGTAGCCCTCCTGGGCCATGTGAGTGTTGGCAAAACTACAGTGCTGAATGCCATCTTGGGTGACAAGTTTGGAGAAGTCTCCATGCGGCGAACCACTGCAGGGATCAACTTCTTCCGCATTGTCCCATCCAATGAGGCAACAAAAGAGTCTGATCAGTGGTCTGTGGCTGGGCACAATGAGGACGTTAAGGCTGCTGAAAAAGTACATCAGGAGATTTCAAAATCTAATATGAAGCTTCGTGAAGCTCAGATAATTGAAGAGAAGTGGTTCAATGTTGGCTGTGATCCATTGTGTGAGATGCGCAAGAAAACATCGCTTGTTGTTGTAGACATCCCAGGGATCAATGAGGCTGATACCAACAGCATCTACAGGAACTATGTTGAGGAGAACTGGAAGACCTTTGATTGTGTGGTGGTTGTGATGGATGCTAGGCAAGGTGTCAATACGGAGGAGCAGGTGGGCTTGCTTCGGCTTGTCAAGGAGAATCTTACTAAACAGAAAAGCCTACCAGTGGTTTTTCTATTAAACAAGGTGGACGAGCCGGATGATACAGAGCAGGCACTCCTTGTCAAAGAATCCCAAGAAAAGATAGCATCCATGTTTGCTGTTGGCTGTCGAGCGAAAGCACTGAAGCAGCTCCCAACACTGTCTGGCAAGAAGGGGGCAAAGCATTCAGTACCTACATCTGATTTATATCCTGTGGTCATCCCGGTATCAGCTATCAGGGCATATTTCTACAGGGCTGCATCCAGCCTTCCGTTTGAAGAGTTCAGAAAGAAGTTTGACCAGGATATCATTGAGAAGATTGGCCGTGAAGAAATGAATAGGAACAAGTGGAGGAGGATGTCTGTTGACAAGAAATACAAGGCCCTGTATGATCTTGTTGTAGAAGGTTCAGAGGAGGACGATGAAGGGATACAAGGCACGGGGTTTGACACATTCCTCTGTGCCCTATCTGTTTCTGTGGGTGGCCATGAGACTCAAACCAAGTTGCTGCACAGCCAAGTTGACATTGCTCTCCAGTCCTTTCAAGAAGAGAAACAATCCTTCTCTCAACTCATGGCACTCCATGAGACAAGCAAGGTCCTTGATAAAGACATGGGAGCTATCAAGCAGGCTTTTTGGACCAACTATACATCCTGCAAAGAGGAGTCCCTTGATGCTTTCAGGAAGGAATGCGGACAATGACTTGGTGTGCAACTACTGTACCGGTAGGCAAAAGAGTGGAATGGAACAAATCCAGGACGAGCAAGACAAGAAAGACTTGACCTGGGGCAACTTTTCAGTGTATGACTGGGTCACTGTCCTTGAGTCCATTTTACGAAATCTGCCCAGTGGCTCATTTTCTCGAGAGTTCATAGTCCTTGGGATTCTCAGGGACAAATATGCAGCCAGCTTGGGCCCATCAAAGCTTGTGAACTGTGATTGCAATACCTGCTACACTGAGATGCGCTATCTCTCTGGTTCGGGTACAAGGCCAAGTAGGTACTGTCAAACTTGCAGGAATCGTCGCAATGAACGGCCAAGCAAATGTCAAAAGACCCATCATGGCAATGAAGGATGGAATGTCTGCTATGAAGATGGTAAGCTGAAGGTTGTTGGGAGCTTGGCCAATGTCCAGGTCCCATCTTCTTCTTTAGGAGAAGAGCATAAAGTTAGTCATCGACAGTGATACTCTGTAGGGCCAGTACTAGATGTACATGGAGAGGAAGACGAGAGGAAATGCACTTACCGGTGACTCTTCCACCATCCCACTTCCCATAAGTAACCCCAAGTTCCAGCGAGCCTGAAGGGCTCTCACTGGTAAGCACATCGACTTACTGCGCATCCACCACTTGTGGATGCAAGTTTGGGTGGATGTGGAATTTCTTGACACCTGGGGGGGCAATGTTGGGGTAGGCACTGTTGTTGCTGTCTTTGATGAGTCGGTTGAGGATCTTGCTGACAAGCGAGGTGTTGTAGCAAGCTTGGAGCTTTGCATTGGCTTCGTGGTTGGTATAGCCACACCGGATAACTAGAAACTCTTGCACCCTCCAAGCCTTGCGTCGCCTGTAGTACTTCTGCTTAATGCCACCCACTTTGTTGTTGCGTTCTGCGACAGAGAAGTCCTTGGCTGGCTTGTTGTTGCCGACGCCATGCAGATACTCTTCCCACAACTCGTGCATAGAGCGAGGGCGCTCAATAAGCCTTGCACTTGGATCATTGCCTACCAAGAGCCTCTCGGTATGGACGATGATTTCCCCCTGTCGAGTTGTTGTTGTTTGTTGTTGTGGCTGTTGTTGTTGTTGATTCTGCTCAGCTTGGGCATTGGCGTGGGCCCTTCTGGCAGCGTTCTGCACTGGATCTTGTCGTGTAAATGCCTGTGGCAGCGTAGCACCGAATCGCCTCTGATTGGCTATGAGTTTATCAAACATCTGCTGCAGCCAAACACGCTGGGCCTCATCGCGAGCTTGTTGGGCAAGGAAATTATTCAGCATGACTTGTTCCACGCTCTTCATGTAGGTGATGACTTGGGAGTTCGATGGTCCATTTCCAATCCCTCCACCTCCACCGGCAGGAGCGGCGGTGGCTCCTGTTCCTCCTCCAGCCGTTGGTGGTCCATCTCTTGCCTTGATTTCGAGTTCGCCATTAACATTGTAAATTTCCAGAGGCACTTTCTTAACTGGATTTCCATTAACTTGCCCATAAGTCGCAGCATACATAGTCCGAATGTATTCGTAGTCATCCTCTTGAAGCAGCTGACAGGCATCAGGGTCAAACGCAGCCCAAAGCTTGGCAAGGCCGAGGATGCGACAGAGTCTGACATCCCCAAGTCGCTTGTAGACATGACTAACAACATGAGTAAAGAGCCACTCATCTGCAATATTCTCGCAAGCTTGGTACATAATTGGACCACCATCACAGAGTAGGCCTGCCACAAAGGCATCCGCGTAGTGGTCTTTCTTGTCAATGTATCGGATGCAGACCACTCGACCACTCTTCTCTCCCATCCACCTTCCACGATACTCGACTTTTCTTGTATCTGCTCCCTTCTTCGAGGCTTTTGTTGCTGCATATTTTCTCATGCTATGAGTGCCGACACCCTTCTTGTCCGTGTCAGACGCAGCTTGATCTTCGAGTGCTTTGAATTCAGCGTGGTCCCAGACAACCTTCTTGATTCGATTTCCATACTGCTGATTCAAGTTCTCTGGCCCTTTCTTGAGGTTGTCGTTGGTGGTAAACATATGCACTGCATCAGGATTTCGCTCTAGCCACATGTCCAAGTAGATGGCGAGGCTCAGCTGGGGGCATACCTTCCACTCATCAGCAGCAAGAAGGATTTGATCTGGACAGTCCTTCAAACTGCGCACATTCTTTGACCACTTGGTCTTCGCAAAGATGGCGAATGGCAGCTCCGCCGATCCATGAGGGGAGTCCACTTTGAAATGGCAGGTGTCATCAAGCCGGTGGATGAGATGATAAGCCCACAGCGACATCATGGGGTATTTGAATTTGTTGTTAAAATCTGATTTGGCACGGAATAGCTCCAAGATCTTGTAGAATTCGGCATTGTTGTAGGGGCGCTTGTCATTGGCATCCTTGCCTTCATCGCGAGCCTCATGGCGTTCAATCTTCTTGATCAGCTCATTGAGCGACACATGTTGGCTTGGATTTCCACCAACTCCGTCAATCCAGGGGACATGTTTGTTGACCATGTACCAACTCACACTCTGCTTCAGCTTGCCAACAGATCCGGAGCGCATAAGAGTAGGGAAGTCGCCCTCTTGTGGGTTGTCCATGCCATAAGCCCGATAGTTCAACCAAGCTTTCACGTTGGATGGTTTGATGGCAAGGATTTCGTCTTTTGTAAATTCCTTATTCTTGGGATAGACGCAGTTATGCAAATGGGACATGAAGCTCACCATGGAAGTCTGATGCTCCTTCTTGTACGGATAGACCCATCCATCGTCCTCGGTAGCGGCAGCGGCCGCGGCAGTAGTCGTCATTGTCAAGTAGTAAACAACAACAAGCGAGTTAACAGAATCGAATGGATTTTGTGAGGTTTGAGAGCTGACTTGTTCCACGATGCTGAAAAAGCTACAGATATAGAGGGACCAGTTTCGAGTAACATTGCTCTTCGGTAATTAGAGGACTATCAAGACTAACTGTACGATCGAGTAACAATGCTGCGGGAAGAATGAGTCTCTGGGTGTTATTGGCTTGTGTGGTTCTTCCTACCGAATTCATGACTTCTTATGTAAATTGTGACGTATATTGTACTCTTCTCTGGTCGGAAGTAGTATCTGGTATTGACTGGACTTAGGGTGACTGGGTACCGGGACTGGGTATATAAGGGCAATGAGAGTAACGTTACGAGAGTAACATTTAATAGGGTTTTCAGACGAACAGCACTGGGGCCATGTTGCTTGGTGTTGCCAGAACCTGATGGAATCGGCCTGTCAGCAGAAGAAGGATTCCTCAACCAGTCAGTCTCCAAAGTGATGAGCTTGGGCATCCCCCTTGGAAAGTTTCTGGCATTCCAAACAGTACCAAGCATTGAGTGTAGATAGATGTGATGTGGAACTCAAGGTCCTGTGTTTGTGGGCACGGTTATTTGTTTTTGTCATAGCTAATCAGAACATAGCACGCGTTAAGTTAGCGAATAAGTGAACATGATGTGCCGGTACCGGGAGCCAACCAATAATCGATACCCCCCCACCCATCGAAGCAAAAGCAGTTGCATGCCGTCTCCCTCCAGTGGCATCCATCCATGCCTTTCTCTATTTTCCCTCCCTCTACGTGCTTTCCGACTCCCTTTCCTGCACTAGTCTACGAACAAACACCTGGTCCGAACATGATGAAAACAGTAGACGGCTGTAAAGATGCCTTTAACACGATATTGCCAGATCTACATGAGAAAAGCACGGGGTCCCATACACTCTGAGCCCGCACCGAGCTAGCCAGTTGCAAACCGTACGTCAAAGACGACTACAACGGCCGTCGCACCATCTAACTATGTGTGTATATTGTTGTTGTTGTCATGTAAGTTCCTACTCTTTCTTGGCTTCTTCTTCGACCTTGACATATTCGACTTTTTCTTCCTTGACATGTTCTTCTCCCTCCTTTTCAGCGGCTTCTCGTACCGACGCTGCCTTTTTCTTTTCGGCCTCGGTGAGTTCGTAAATGCCTTCTCCACTACAGAGTGCCTTTAATTTGCATAGACTTCGGGCATGAGGGTACCATCGGGCAACGTGGCTTTTCCATCAAACAAAATTTCCTTGGGTGTGACTTCTTGTCCATAGAATTTTTCATTGACTTTGGGACGGGGATTCAACAATGCGCTTCGATACTCAATCCACCAAAGATTCCACGAGAATAACTCAAACAAATATCGACACCGACGCCCTTGTTGGTAATCATAGTGGTGGCTTCGGCCGTGCGTCCCCAATTGGCAATGGTAGCTTCGACCTGTGTTCCGACTTTGACACCGACATCTCCGGAAAAGGATTTGAGCGTTTGGGAATCGTAAATGAGATAGACGATATTCTTGACACTGGCGCCCATGATGAATCCCCAGCCAATGCCAGAGACTCCCAACGCGGATGGGGGACTCCAACTTCCGTCCTTCGTATTGCGGGCCATGACAATGCCCGTGCCGACATTTCCACTAAAGACAAATCCGGCTTCGACAATGGTGATAAAGGCAATGCCCAGCAACGAAGGACCGAATAGTTCGGGATGGAGTCCTCCCGTGTTGGGGTCCATGGCCCATCCCAACACTTCGTTGGCCTAATGAACAGTGCAGTAATAACAGAGAAATTGACAAGGAGTGAGTGAGGGTCACAAACAAACAAAAAAGAACCACCCAACGATTAGGATTCGATTCAGGTTTCTTCATTCAGACCAACAAGCATCCTCTCTTACATCATAGATCATGCCAGGCATGGTGATTCTCTTGGGGCGTTTCTCGGGCATCTTGGTTGGATTTGTTGTTGCTTTGCTTGGTCTAATGAAATAGTTCTTTGAAGCTTTTGGTTATGGTTTTGTGATGCTCCAACAAAGTCGATGGATTGGATGACCCTGTTCTCAGGGGTCTTCTCTGTTTTGCAGGCGGGTTCGCATTCCTCGGCGAAGACGATCTTTTGCGCCAAACTGGAAAAGATACGTTGCAAACCGGCAAGGCTGTGAATGCTGACGTTCAGAGGGTCACAAGTCACAAAAGTGAACTTGAAGCTGCCATTGCCATGATGTCTCCTTCGCTCACAAGAGAAACAGGGGGGTTCGCTCACAAGAGTGTTTCTCATTCAGAAGAGACATATGCTAGCTACATGGAATAAGAAAATAGGATGCCAAAGAGGGACAGGCAAGGGAAATCTGCATCTGTTGCAGATGGAGCCCGGGGCAACAAGCATAACAGCAAGGGGGGCACGTCGGGTGTTTTGTTTCTCTTTGCCGTGGCCATCTCCTTCGTGCATTGGGACACATGACTCGGTCGTCGCTCAGTCTCGCGGATTTGAGCTCGCCCTGTCACTTTCTCAATAGTGACGCCTGGAAACTCAAAAGACGTCTTCTTCTTCGAATGCCATTCTATATGACAATGGTCACATCAATGATCAATCCATGAGAATGTCGCCCTTTGTGGATCACGTGTGGCTAGACGAAGCTACCAGTACTGCTACTATTACCAAAAAAAACACGGCTCAAAATTGTCTTGACGGATTATGGCTGGAATCATCCCAATCGAACCATTGGAATGTCCTTTCCTCGATCGCTGCGGTCGCGAGAGCTGATTCAGGGAGTCCTCAATCATCCCCTCTTTGATCCAACCTTTCAGTGGAGTCAACAGCAGCATCTCCAACTAGAAGAATTCAACGGCAATCTACAATTTGTGGTCTTTTTGGATGTGGAAACTTGCTTTGAATCCAACTATCCTCTCTACAGCAAGGGATCACTCAAGAATCTAGATACCGATCATCATCGACAACTCTATACCCACCCGGGTGAAAACAAACGAAGTTGCTACAAGTTTGATATTACTGGTGTCAGTAAGGAACATCCCCGAAAGGGACACTGTCCGTATATTGACGACATTCTTCGCTCGCCCTTTTTTCAATCGCATCCCAACACGGCTCGATTGGTCATTTTCGATTGTCAAGGCAATGGAGTCGATACAATTATCGCACCACACGCAACCATCTCGCAATTGTCCCTCGTCTCGCTGTCATCCACGGCTCCACAATTAAAACCAGAATACGATCTGGGTCTACCGCCACCCGCCGTCAATCCCATTCGCTTGTCCAAATCCCAACGCGACAAGATTCTCTCGTGTCAAGGAGAAGACGACGATCAAATACTGGGAGTACCCGAAGGACATCGATTTGGCTACTACTTGACGTGTATTGCATCCGTTCAAAAGAGGACTCCCACCCGACGGACTCTCTACGATTGATTTCACAATCCGGCCAATGGCACGATACTCATGCAACCCATTCCCTTTCGGATGCAATTCCGGCAATTGCAATTCGATCGCGTCATGGCGAATCCATCTTTTCGGCCGCCCCCGGGGCGACAATTTATTTTCCTATCGTTCACCGAAGTGCTAGTGCCGGTGCCATTCCCGTGGTGTTGGCGATGGATGGGTCTTGCCTTTCATCCCTCTCTGGATTGGAAGAATGCATCGTGATCATTCCCGACCAAGTGGGAGACACCATGGCCATTCTAAAGGGTATTTCACCCGCTCGACGCTGTCAAATGCGACGCAACTGTCACGAAATCTACCACAAGTAATGGCCCATCCGAAGGGACCATTGCTGGGATTGTCAAGTGATGCAGCGAATCATGGACAAGAAACAGCCCATGGGGGATACCTATGCAGCCTAATAATCAATTGAATAGCTAGCTACTACTCTCGTGCATTCTTGTAATCTTGGTCTATTGCTTTTATTTCATAATAACATGTATTCTGTATTCTATGTCATGGTGAGTGGGCCTTGTGGTGTTTTTAGAGCCAAGGCTGCTCCAGCAATGGCTCCAAAGGCAGCAAGGGAAGCCATGGCAGTGTCCGCAGAGGATCCAGCACCATGATTCTTCTCAACTGCAAATGGCTGGGGCTGAACATCCACTGTTTCAGTCACCTCGCTCTGAAGCTTGCGGTGGCCATCCACAATCTGGACATTCTGCTTGCGCAAAGAACGACGACCAGGAGGAGCGGCAGCAGTTCCTCCAAGTTCCAAGAGAATGCTTCCAACTCCAGTCAATGTCAAGGCTTCATAATCATAAAAGTCAGCAAACAACAAGAAGGAAACCAAACAGACATTGTTATCATTTCCTTCATCAACACACTTCTTGGTGGAGAAGATGGTGGAGGCAGGAGCAGAGTCAGTGATGATGAGCTGAGAGGGCTCTGCAGCTTCTGCATTCTTGACAGTGAACTCCATGATATCCTTGACTTGGAACTGTCCTGTTTCAACTCGGAAGCAGACATTGAGGGTACTTCCTTGAGTGGTGACAGCATCAGAACCATCATTTGTGAGAATGGTGTAGCTGTCAGGGTCACAGAAGTATGCCAAGAGAGTTCCGTCAAAGCTGAGATTGGTGTCCTCAGCATCGGTAAAGTCCTCGGCTTGAGTGACAGTGTAACCAGTCAACTCAGGAACTTGGGTGACCAGATTGACATTGTAGGTAAGAAGGACCTCGGCATAGTCAATGAGAGTATCAGCATCGTAAAGTCCAACCTCAACACAGAACTCCACAATGGCATTGACAGCATCACCGGCATCCCTGTAGATCAGATTGTTTCCAGCAATTCCTTCAATGAATCGAAAGTCAACAGCATTGTCTGCACCGGGGTTGTTGATAATACCACCATGATCCACTTCAATTCCAGTGACATTGGTTGTGGGAAACCAGTGGCCCACAGGCTGGCGGTTTGCTGTATCCTTGCGGCACAAGTCAGTGACCTTGATCTTGATATTGGCACTAGCAGCACCATTACCTGTTCCAGTCTCAAAGGTGAATCCCTGGTCTTGCAGGGTTTTGATGGTGACATGCCAGTCAGTGATCTGGAGGTCGCGTTGTTCAGAGCCTTCAGCGGCCATGGCCAGGGCTGGGACGAGGAGCAGCAAGAGGGGTGTAATGAACTTCATGATCTGGCAATGTATGTTTCGTTTGTTTTTGGACTGTCTTTTGCTTTTTTGTGATTTGAGATTGTGAGGGGAATGGATACCCAAACCGATGAGGATCTGTTCTGCTCGACGCAACAAATGACCAACCAAAGGTACCATCCTTCACCGGGCATCGTGTGCGAACGCTGGAGATGCATCTCCATTAACCAGGTAGACGAGGTATTACATGGTTTCAACCAAAGAAAATTTGTCCACATGCCCCGATTGATCTGCAGCAACCGAACTCTGGGAGCCATCATCAACAGGGAAAGGTCACTCACTGTGCATGCATTGCAAGGATGCAAAGGTGGGTCTTTTGCTACCCATTTATTTGCTGGGGGGAGTGGAGATCAGCTGGTGCTCGTTTCTCTACCAGTAAAGTCTTTTGTGTTGGCTCGATACTACCGGTACCATACCTGTGGTCAGGTTGGAGCGGCTGATCGTGAACATCACGCAGCAAAACCCCTCGGCGAGATTGTGGTCAATTGGTGCACGTTGCTCACATGTCAAGACGAGTCGATACCACGCTTCTTGCAAGTCATTCCATTGTCTATGACCGGTTGTGTTACCAGCAATCACAAGCAGCCACATGTCAATCTCTGGCTGAAACCCCACCAAAGGAAACCGCAGCGATGCCGGTGATCCCAGTGAGCCAGCCTTCTGTATCTCTTAACCTTTGGCTTTGCCAGTTCGAAGTCCACATAAGGTTGCTTCACATCCGCAGAAAAGTTAGGTACAAGAGTACGCAGGCGAAATGGACTAGCCGTATACCGCCACGGCTCAAAGATGCAAAGCCCCGTACGGCCCTTGGAATATTTTGGTTGTCTAGCTAGAATACGATTGCACCAGTCACGATTTACTACTCGGATATATGATAAACTTTGCCGTTCTACTGGAACTTTGCATTTGGCTGTGGACACTGGGACATTGCTAAAGAAGACGGTCCATAGCCTTGTAGAACTCCCTCATGTCGTCGCGAAATGAGTCGTTCAGATTTTGGGAAATCTCCGTCTCGTTGAATTCAATGGGGCATGCAATGGAAGCGTCGAGTGGAAGAGGTTCGAGATCCAAGCATCCAACAGGTGCTGCCGACTCGTCTTGACTCAAAAGCGTTGAGTTCATTCCACGGAATAGTGTATCCAGCAAGGATTCTTCCTCTTGTTGCTTTGTTGTAATTGTCATGTTGATCATGGAGGGCCTGGTTTCATACTCATCAGAGCCGCTCGAGACGATGGAAACACAGCTCCTGACGTCGTCTGCTGGCTCGATATCTTGTGATGGTAAGGACTGGTTTTGATTAGTAGCTGGGGAGCTTGATCTGATGCTCGCCTGATATTCCTCGACGCGACGCTGGATACGGGCACGAGCTTTGGCCTTGGTCGAAGAATTGTACAATGAGTCCAACCCATCGCGAAAAGTTTGACCGATCTTTTCCTTGCAGGTACGATCTCCGACTTCGTACCAGACACCCTTGATGAGTTTGACGAAACCTCCTTCTGGTGAGGCATTCCGGACTATGTTACCAACATGGGTGACGATCTGGGACTTTTTGTATTTGGTACTCGCTGCGGCGTAGGCATCTTGGTGACGCCTTACGAGGGAGCGGAAGCGTACATTTCCTTCATGCGTGAAGGCTTCCTTTCCTCTGGCACAGATGACATCGTATGGACCCGGTTGAAACGAGGGAGAAAGCTTTCTCTTGTCGCGAGGGTTGCAATACAAGCCGTATGTGGAGTTGACAGTTGTTGCGGACATTGTTGAAACTGTTGTCTGTTTGTTCGGGTGGTGGTAGTTCTATTGTTGTTGGAGTTGAAATAAATTGTGAGATCTTTGAGATCTTTTGAAAGCTGATTTTCAAACTCGGGTCTTGCAGTCGTGTGAAGAAAGAAGTGCTCCAGCAGCGTTGCACATACATGGTGGCACATGGCACACACGTTGACATTGTTCTTTCAATAATTCGAAGTTCAACATGCTTATTTAAACAACGGCAAGCTGTGATTGTTCTGATTCAAGTAAAAATTTAAGCAACTGAAACTAGCATGACTCAGTTGATGCTCCTTCAAGGAAAGTTAAAATCAAGAATCTTTCAATGCACCTTCGACCACTACCAAGACTCCTTTCATCTCGGCAATGAAGCCAGCGTCGTAACTGGACTAATAACCATTCTTCGACCTGCTGTGCGATTGAATGATTCAATCATTCGTGGCAAAGCCGAGCGTATCTGTGAACCTCGGAGGATAAACCAAGCTTGACTGCAGCACCCTCGAGAGGGGTGCGTTTTTGGAACGAAGGACACAACCTCGGGAAGACGGAGGGAAATCCATAGCCAATCTTCAACCTCGAAGTTGTACGTTCGCAAATCAACTGATTGCAGTACACGGAGGTTTCAGTGAGGATTGAAGATTCTCGAGTAATTTTTCGAGAAGCAAGCATGATACAGGGAGTTTGAAGTTGAGGTGCGGGGTATCGTCGTCTTCAAGCTTATGTACGTGAGCCCTTTGCGGCCAGCAGATGTTGCTGCAAGAAACGACATCTCTGGGGAAAACACCGTTGGTAATTGTGTGCGTGGTGGCCCTCGGGACTTCAGTAACGAGTCGACACTTCAGTAACAAGGCGCGAGACGCTCGGAACTGCAGCTTGAAAAACACACAGAAAAGGGTCCATTTGCACTATTTTATTAAATAATTTTGTTTACATGTATGCAGTCTTTGAAAACTAGCTACTGGAAAGCATAATCTTGCAGTTTGCACGAAGGATCCAACAGTTCAGATCCACCCCGGAACGTTTGGCAGGCAAGCAGCCACTGGGTTGATCCACTGGTTGAGATCGAGAGATCGAATTGCATCCAGCAGGAACGCAGAAAGAGGGCTCCATGCAGTCTGTCTACTCCACATCCCAGCAATTGTTGTAACGGTCAATATTATCATTTTGATCCAGATGTCGGGCATCCATCGATCACCACGACCACAACGCCGTACTCGAACAAGCGGAAGCGAATTGTGCATATTTGGGATTGGTAGCAACGGCAGAAATGGGTCCAGAGTGTCCGGTAAGAGTTTTGACGATGGCCCCCGTATCCACATGGAAACAGGAAATACTTCCATCCGGATTCCCCATCAAGACTGTCTTGTCATCCGATGTAAAACAACACACAGCACCTGCAGACGACTTGAACGTGGGAGCAACGACTCGTTGCACGGTAGCCTCAAATCCATCCAACACAATGGCCAATCCTTCACTGGTTCCGGCCAATAGTTGGTTTCCCGAGGCGTTGAATTGCAGCGAGGTCCAAGCTGCCGTCGGGCTATACTCGACTCCAGCTGCACCAATATGGCTCGTAATGGCTTGTTGCATTCCTTCTGGACTGACCGTTAGTTCGGCAAATCCACCCGCTCCATATTGGCGGGCATCGTAGAGATGGACATACTAATATTGTGAATTGCATTGAAGACGAGGTGATCATATATATCGATAAGGTGAGCAAGGGATGCCTTTGCAGTATTGTAATAGAAGACGAATGTTTGTCGACTCGACGTACCTGCCCCTTTCCTCCCGCGATACCAGCCGAAACGGCAAAGACGAGTCCGGTCGAATCAAAGACAGCTCGAGGAGTTCCCGTGGCGGACGCTGGCAATTGCAATTGTGCCATACTGCCCGCTTCTTCGACATTCCATAGCCGTATGGTACGATCTTTGGAGGACGTCAAGAATTTGTCATCGGCTGGACTGACACTAATACTTGACACCGTATCGGTGTGTCCTCGAAATTTCCGCAATATTTTGTTATCATGAATGGACCAATAGTTGATGGCATTGCGTTGTCCCAGTGGTTGTGTCGGAGATCCCTTGCCCGCAAACAAGACACAATTGGGGTGGTGGCTGGAATTTGGATGGAAGCGAGACGAATACAATGGGAAAAATGAAAGTAAGGAAGGATGAGAGCTCAGAAATTTTAAAAACAAGAAAATAGCCAAAAATTGACCATCTATCTAAATCCGACATGATAAGACTAATATTGCAACAAACTTACGTGGTAGTAACAAAATGAAGTCTCTCTCTGTCACATCGCAATGGCACTGCCACTGCCTCACTGGGTTTTCCAGTCAAGCAGTCAATGACACGCAGTGTGTTGTCCGATTCACTGGCGACAAATAGTCTAGAGCCATCCTCTTGATAGCTCATGCTAACGATGGGTGCACTACCCGAAACCACGGCGGCAACCGCTGGGCGATCTGGAGTCGAAGTAAAGTCCATGTTGTATTGTGGATACTACTGTATATAACTAGCTAGCTATTGTTGGAGACGTAAAAGAAGAAGCAGTGCTGCTAACTACAGTGGGGGCATTGAATTGGCAGATGGCTGTTGCCATGAACTTGACAGATTGTTGCCGCTTGTGATTTGGCTGTTGCTGTGATTGGCGAACGTTTGGTGGTTGAACTTGCTTTAAACAATGCTTTCGCAGCTTCACTGGCTCGAATGACGACATTTCAAGCTGGCCAATCAAAGAACACCACCTCATTCGTCGTGGTGACTTGTGATTGGTCACAGGGACGCAATTGCCCTCAATCTCTACACAGCATCGGTACACCCACGCACACCGCAGCAGCAGCAACAGCAGCTTGCAATCGACGTCGACGCCAGATGCATGCCATCACACAACGATGTCTTTTTGGCCTTGGCATTTGGCAGACAGCTTGTTGGGTACGCACCCAGTTGATGGTTGAGTTCATTTGAATTGAATCGAGACAAACAAACAAACCGAAAAGCATTCTGTCAACTGTCAATCTCTTCCGAGTTACGGTACGCCAGCTAGTTGCGCTTTACCAGAAGAGCAGAGCAGAACAATTCGTGACCATGGCAGATTCCCCAGCAGCTCCTACCAGGGTTGCGTCCCCCTTGTCGTCGAAACCAAGCAACAAGCATCGTACGTGGGATGAGAACTACGCCGAGCTGTTGGTGTACAAGCAAATGTACGGCAATTGCGACGTGCCGTACGGGTACAAGAGAGACCCTGTGTTGGGAAAGTGGATTTCTCATTTGCGAGAAAATCAAGATCAGCCGCTCATGTCCCCGGAACGAAAAGCTGGTGAGTCGACGCAACGCTGTAATGGAGACACGTGGAATACGTTTGCCATGCCGTCTGTCTCACTCCTTTGACTTGTTCTGCTCTGTTTTGACTTGTGACAGCGCTGAATGCCATTGGCTTTACGTGGAATCCTTTGGAAAAACGCTGGAATGACATGTACGCCAAACTCAAAGCGTACCACGAGCAGTTTGGCACTACCAAAGTCCCCACGCATTACAAAGAAGACCGGACGCTTGGCAAGTGGGTCAAGCGACAACGCGAGAATTACAATAGTGGCATACTGCAGGAACATCGCAAACAAAAACTGGATGCCCTCCAGTTTGTGTGGAAATTGAGCGAACGGGAAAAACCTCCTCGCAAGTCCAAAGCCAATTTGGATCAATGGAAGAAACAGTACGATGCGCTCTGTCTATTCAAAGCCGAGTTTGGACATACTAATGTTCCCAAAACGTACGAGAAGGATCCAAGCTTGGGCAAGTGGGTGTCCAAACAACGCCTCCAAAACAATCGCAATTTGCTCGATAAGGATCGAAAAAAATTATTGGACGATGTCGGCTTTGTGTTCAGTTTTCAGGCACAAAAGAAACAGCAGGAATGGAATCGCATGTATGAACTATTAAAGGCTTGTCAGGCATCTGCTGGCACCAGTAATGGTTCTTCTCCCACAGAGTTTCAAGTGCCCAAAACAGGACCGGACGCCAGTTCCGTCGCACGATGGGTCCAGCGACAACGCGAAAAGTACCGACAAGACAAGATGGATCCTGGACGGGAAGTACTACTCAGGAAACTCAACTTTCCCTTTCCGGAACAAGAAAACACGGACGAAAACTCGGACTCGACTCCCAGCAGTGTCAGCGAAGCGTCTCAGCAACATGTTCACCAGGCGCCCTTGCAACATATGCATCATCACCACCATCCTCATCAAGATGTCGTGTCGGTCGTGGTGGATGCCATGCATCGCGAAGATGATCAGGCGGCCGAAGCGGCGGGAAAAGAAATTGCTCACTGCATCGATGTCCTGGCCAAATACATGTCCACGACTCCCACAGACTTGGCGGCGCGGTTGCCAGTCTCCAACAAACCACGTCCTCGTGGTCCAGCATTTGGACGCATCATGCCGTTGATTGTGGCATTGCGAGATGCCGCGGCCAAATGGGGCGGAACCGCCAATCTCAAGGATGCCTCGTTCTTTTTGGATCAAGTCTTGCGACAAGAAAAGGGACTCGTGGCGCTGGATGGCTCACAGCAACAACCACAAACCCAGAGGGAAGGGTCTTATCATGAACTCCTTTCCTTGGCGGTGGACTTGGGATCGGTCTTGGATCAGCTTCCGGCCAAGCAGGCCAATTCAGTGTTGCAATCTTGCGAAGTTTATTTGCAGCATTTGGTGCGCAAGATTACGGGAGAAAAGGCGTCCGTTCATGAAGTCTCATCTCCCTCGGCTACTACCGATGATGATTCTACTATTGCAGACCGGCAGCCCAGAGCGAAGCGTGCCAAGTTGAGTTGAGAGGAAGAATTGAAACAGCTGCATTAATTGTGTGAAAGATGGCCAAAAAAAACATTGTCAGATGTGGATTTGTGTGTTGGTTGGCTGTGTGCAAGCGATGATTGTGCATTGAATTGAGATCTTGAGTGCACAAAGAGAGAGGATAAATTTGTTCCACATCTGTCAAGTGAGACTCTCAGTGAAGAGAACAGGCCAACTATTCTAGGGTGTTGCCTTTTAGAATCCCATGAATGCTTCAGTTTAGTCCTTGTTTGTCTCTTTACACATTGTTTACATGGTCCTCTTATTATTGTTATTTTGCATTACATAACGATTGAACAATAGACAAAACAAATAAATGTGAAAGGCTTGTGAGAGTGTGGTCACAGGAGGTGGAGGGTGGTGGGTGAAAAAGTCCCCTCTTTGCGTTTTGAAGCGTTGACGCCCAATCAAATCTCAGTCAGTCGTGCTCTTCCGGGTGATTTTCACTCGCATCGACCCACGCAGACGACGACAGGCGTCACAACACACGCCCTTGGCACCATCGACAAGCAAGGCGTACGTCCTCATTCGAGCAGGGTCGACTGTGGTTGGGTTGGACAAGGTGGGATGTCTCGATGCTCGTGTGTTGTGTTTGCCGTGGGCTTGTTTCGTGGGTTGGCTTCCTTGTTGGAAAGTGGATTTTTCCGTTTGAAATCTGTGTTGCTCAATGGGATTCTCCTGTGAAGAGATGATACATACCGTATCGCACTGGTCTTGGGTCGACTCCCCCGTGCTTGTTGTGGCGACAACGCTGGGATCTATCCGTTCCCTTGATTTGCCAATTACCAGGTACATGTACTTCTTTTTCTCACCAGCAACCCGCCATTTTTGCTTCCGAATGAGAAGCAGCCATGGTGGAAACGTGTGGCACATCTCCTCCGAATTTCCATGATTGTTCGTCTCCTTCAGGCGGTCAAAGTCGTGGTCAACTCGTCGCTGCGGAGAACCAAGTCAGCAAGAATTCGAAAACGACTCACAGCAAATCATTCGGCAATGACGAAACTCACAACAATCTGCGAGGCATGGTGGTACATGTAGCCGTCGAAGCAGCGCAAAAGAATGAACCAAAGCCAATCAAAGGAGAAGCGACAACGACGACTCAAGTGAAAGCTCAGACAGTCAAGCAGGAAGAGACTGGCATGGCGGTACATGTATCCGTCGAAGCAGAGCCAACGAACGAACCAAAGCCAATCAAGGGAGAAGCGACAACGACGACTAACCTGAATGCTGAGTCGGTCAAGCAGGAAGAGACTCCAGCACCAGCGCTGCCGAAGAAAGAGAAGTCTCCAGTGGCCCGGGAACTTGAGGCGTTTGAAGAGAACATCAAGAAACAAGGTGGTTTGATTCCGCTTGAAACACAAAGCACCACCATCACTGCTCCCGGAGACTCGACCAACGAAGTAAAATGGACTCGAGTGGGCCTGCCCAAAATGGAATTGTTCAAATCGGATTGTCATCCTCAGCATCCAGGAGCCCCACCGCGAAACAACCACTACCGGTACCAACCAACCTATGAAAAAGAAATCGTTGGACTTCCTTCTCTGCCACTATCGTCTACGAGCACTCTGCCTTCTTTCAACCCGATGTACACGCCCAATGTGTCATTTGGTGAATCCACGCTGGGAGGCCCTCCTCTCCCTGGTGAAGGAAGACGATCTCATTCACCTCCAGGACGAGGCACGGACTACTATCATCATCAGGCGCCGTACTTTGCACCGCCCCATGAATATTACCCACCACCGTATTATGAATATGGCGGAAGTCATCGGGAACAGCAAGATTTATCTTCCAAGAGCGTCCAGAGTGGAAACGAGGAGGAGGACAGCGGCAAACAGTCCAAAAGCAAGAAGAAGACAGGCGCTTACATTCCGATTCCGTACTATCCCTACCGGTATCCACCCCACCATCATCAGTACCACTACGGTCCTCCGCCGTATCCTATGCACGGCAACTCCTTGTATCCTGGACCTTCCGCTCGTCCCAATGGCACAACGACAACAAACTCCTTAGACGACGACAAGGAGGCTGCAGGTGCCAAGGTCGCTAGTACTCTCCCCGTAAAGGAAACCCAGACTGCGGGAGACAACGAAGGAAGTACGAAAGGGCCACATGCGGCTGATTCGCCGAAGATCGAAGCAACTACCGGTAACGGCGAAGTCGCTGCCAAGGGAAGGGTCTCCAAGAGCACTAGTAGCAAAGAGGGGAGCCCCATGCCTCATCTCAAGGGTACGTGCTATGGTTGTGCATTTCGTCTCGCTTGAATGGCTGCAGCGTTGTCATTGACCATCTGTCTTGTCCCGCAGTTTCTGTGGAAAACTCGACAACGGGGACGACGTCTCCAGTTCCACCTGACCATCGTAGTCCTCCACAAAGTCCCTCTCGAGGGAACGACGAAGCCGCTTTGTCGCCACCTTTGCCTTCGATATGCTATCTACCTCATAGCCCCCGCTCGTTTCCACCTTATCATCCTCCCCCGCCATACGGCTACTACGATTATGGCCCACCTCCGAATGGAAGCAGGGGCTACGATCACCAAATTCCGCCACCGTATCCTTTTGAGCATTCACACAGCTATGCTCTCCCGCCGCCACCGCCTCCAAAACGCACCGCGGATGATGTGCCTCGCCGAGAGATAAAGAACTCGCAAAGCCGTCAACGTACTGCAGTATTGCGGGAACGAATCGCCTTCATTGAGACGAAGCCAGAGTGGGAACGCACACAAGAGGAACATGAAATTCTCAAGAAAGACGAGGAACGCCGCGTGCACAAGAATACTCAATCCAAGGTTCGGTCGAAGAAGACAAAGGACAGAATTGAGGCTGTTTCAAAGAAGCCTGTGCATGAGCGTACTCCAGAGGAAGCTGCTTGGCTGGATGATCAGATGCGCAAACGCAAGCACAAAGCTGAGGGAGACCGCATGCGTCGCAAGCGCATCAAGGACTTGGGGCTTCCCCTCAAGAGCACCGCTGGGCAGAAACCAGGCGTCCCTGCCCGCGGGCCCTTACCAGCTCATTATGAAGCCATCATGGCGGAAAAGGCTGCAGCTGCACCGAACCACCTCGAGTAGAGTTCGTTCATTGGTTGGGACCGCAATCATTGATTGCGAGCTTTGTGTTCAGTTTCAGAGACTGAGCTGAGTTCAAGAGTGTTTGGGAATCACTTCCACCCGTTTGGGTGCTATGTGCAGAGCTGCTGGCTATTCCGTCAAAGGCAAGGACAAGTAAGTCCATTGGGACGTATTGATGTGATGAGGGTTGAGTGTTTGAAATCTTATGTCCATAAGAGAAGTTGTGATTGTTGGTTGAAGGCTAAAGGCTCGATGTGGAGTTCCTCCATGCTAGCGAGAGAGAAGCACGAGAAGGGGAAAGGTAGCTATATTTTCCTATTTTATTGGGCATTTTAAACACAAGGAAACCATGTAGCGACGCTGATTGTTCTGGTTGGTCCAGGTGAATTTTTCTGGCATCTAGTCGATATTCCACATGATGGCTGCGGCTGCTGCTTGGCACTTGAGACGAATTCTCCACCTGAATGCATGTTTTGCACTTTACCTACTTACTGAACACATGGCGAAGACATGCATGCATAACTATTCTTATTGCTCCTCAGATCATCTAACTTATGATGCTACCGGTACCGTACGGTATGGTTCAGCTAATTGTTGAGAAGTGAACTACCCTCGGATCTTCCTCCCTGCACTCTCGGAGCCACCAGCAGTTGGTTGTGGAGTTGCTTCCTTTGTACTTCCCGCTGTAGGTGCCGGAGTTGCTGGAGTGCCGCCTGCTGATGGTTCTGGTGCTGGAGCCGAAGTGGTGCCCTCTGGTGATGGTTCGGGTGATGATTCAGAAGCCACTGGAGAAGGTGTGGTTGACCTGGTTGGGCTTACTGGAACATCCGCAGCATAATTGGGATCCTTCAAGATTGTACAACGTTCAAATTCCATGCATCCCAAAGGATCGTCACCAAAACAGCCAGCCGCACCATCCAACCAGCAGCAAGCCCCCGGATTACAAGCTGTCTGGCACCTATCAGAACCATACTCAGCAATTCCCTTGGGCGAGCAGACATCTTCCAAAGTGGCAGGAGCTGGAGTCACTCGAGAATAAATGGGCGCCACAATGATTTTGGTATCGGAATGGCCCGTGCAAGCAGAGTATGAGAGGCAGGCCACAAAGTTGTCTCGGAAACACTTTGAATTAGGATCGGAGCAACAGAGAGCATCCTTGCAGTCTCTTTTGCAGGTGGGTGATGACTTTTCACATCTTTCATCCAAATCCATAGGTGCCACATCGATAGAGTTTTCCTTGAGGTTTTGACAAGGCGCATAGTCCAAGCATGACTCAAAGTGTTTGGCCACACACGATTCCTGTTGCAAGTAGCAACAAGACAGAGAGGAGCATGCTAGTTTGCATTCTTCTGGGTTGATTTCCAGGCTGGCTTTGCTACAGACCCGATCCAAATCATTATGAGCGGCATCAAAGAATCCATTCAAGGAGTGGCACTTGGAATAGGCAAAACATCCAGTTTGTTCGGCTTCGAAGCAAGTACTATTGCCACCATCAGAGTAGGGGTTGCAGCAATCTTTGGCAGGAGCACAGGCAGATTCACAGGCTGCAACATCGTCTTCTCCAAGACGTGCTTCGGAACAGACATCTTCAATGAATGCCATATTTTTAGGGAGGGCAGCTGCTGCACCCGACAAGGCGCCTGGAGTTCCCACGATATCATCATCGGTAGCATTCACCGCATCATCTGTCCAGTCCTCGTCTTTCGTTACGGGTCATTTATATGGGATTTGTTGTGAGGATTAATGGAATCGAATCAACTGAAAAAAGACATCGTCATAGGAGAGAATGCCCACTACTAACATACCTTCGTCGGGATCAAAGAGCTTTTGCATGAGAAGGGAGATGAGAATCATGATGGCGATACAAACGAGACAAGTCAAAATGGTACAGCAAATCTTCTTCCAAGGATTCTCAGGCTTCATGTCTGCTGTGGAGTACTTGTGCTGGCGTTGTGGGGGGCCACCATCGTACGCTGCAGTGTTGCTGGGCTCATCGTCAAACTTGTCCGACTTTTCGGATTCGTCCACCATGGTAGAATGCTTCTTCTAAAATAAGCTAGCAGCAGACGGTCAGATCAGGTAAGGTATCCTCAGCGAACGGCTACTGTCAAGACAACTCTCGTCTCCTTGACCGAAGCTGCCCAACGACTGCTATTGCTATCTATCTTATCAGCACAAGAGGATCACTTCTTCCTCTCTACTCACTGTTGGCTGTTGGGAGTTTGCAAGGTTGCTACCAACCGGCAAGGTGGATCTTTTGCAATGCCAAAGATAAATGACCTCAACACTCCGAAGAGTTAGAGCGTCCCCTTCTACACTGTATGGCCGCTTCCTTTCTTGCTCGCTGGTCATGAAGTCGTAAAGACCCAAAACGCTTTGGCTGTTAATGCTTCAGCCTTCCGACTTCTTCTAAAACCCTAACTTTACTAGTAGGGTTCTCTTGCAAGCTTTTGGATCTTTGTGACGTTGGTGGCGAAAAGATCGATCGCGACCATGGCACAAAACGCCGTCGAACCCTTTATGCATACCGGTACATTCTGCGACAGCGCAAATCCACAATACTGTACCTCGTGACTATAGAGGCAGTAGCTTTCTTGATACAGTAGCATGCCCCAACGAGGATCCTTCAGTGCCAACTTTCTGACGCTGCTGCTTCTGGCAAGTTCTTGGATCCAGACTGCCTTTGGTTTTCTACCAATAATTAATCAAGCCAACTTTGCACAACAACAAAATCCCTATTACCGATACTCCTCCAGAAGAATCGAAAGAACCACCATATCTTCAGCAGTCAGTACTGACGACGCAATAGCCACCATGGCAACCACCACATGTTCCAACGGCACCAAGGCTCGTTTTGAGGGAAAGAATGTTCTCCTCACGGGTGCTTCCAGTGGACTGGGCCGATCCTTGGCACTGCAACTGGCATCCTGTGGTGTCCAAACACTCCTCTTGTCCGCCCGGAAACAGGCCGAATTGGAAAAGGTCAAGGCACAATGCGAAACATTGGCATCCGAATCATTGGACGTCCAAATAGTGCTCGCGGACCTATCCGATAAGGAATCTGTCGCCAAATTGGCAGAATCAGCACGGACCGCCAACATTGATGTACTTGTCAACAATGGAGGTGTTTCCAGTCGCTCCGATTTCGTTGATACATCGATCGAAGTGGACGAAACAGTCATGCAAATCAATTTTTTATCGGGAGCGGCATTGGCCAAGGCTGTCGTTCCAGGAATGATTCAAAAAGGCCAAGGTGCCATTATTTGGATCAGCAGTGTACAAGGGTTGTTGGCCATTCCCAGTAGAACGTCGTATTGTGCTTCCAAACATGCCGTTCAAGGTAAGAAACAAGAAACATCAAAAAAGAAGTTGTGTATCGGTATGCAAATAGCTAACATTACTGTGCCAACCCAAAGGCTACTGTGAATCCATGAGAGCAGAACTGGCATCGACTGGTGTAACGGTGCATGTCGCGTCTCCGGGATACATTCGAACCAATCTCAGCCTGTCAGCCGTGACGGGGGATGGAAAGGCGTACGGAAAAGTAGACCCAACAACGGCTGCGGGGGCAGATCCAGATGAAGTCGCTGTGACAATACTGGACGCTGTCACAAAGGGCAGTGCGGATTTTACAGTCGCTTCGGGATTCTCCGCCACAGTAGCAATCTATCTTCGAACACTGTGCCCTGCCGTGTTGCGATCCCTGTTGAATAAACGATACGAAAAGTCAAAGAAAAAGGATGACTAGACTAGTTGGAATTTTAAAAACTCCTCGTAGCCACGTTTGTTTTTAATGAGGACCCAATTGAGAGTCGTCTCAGCTGCAGTGTGATCAATTTTTGAGCGCCAGTCCGCCGATGCTTCACTCCAATGCATCGACGACCTCACAGTCTGATTAGGTTCATCACGAAAGAAAGGGCCCGCGGCTTTTGCTTGCTGAAACGTCATTGTAAGCTTTTAAGACCCCAACACATCGACGACCTCAAGCATTGCTTAGTTTCATCACGAAAGGGCCCGTTGCTTTTGCTTGCTGGCTGAAATGCCTTTGTAAGCTTTTGTCAACCCCGTGACGACAACACAAATAGCAGCGTGCCCATGCAGAAACAAGAAGGGAACAATGCTTTTGTCGAGACCCTGTTCAGTGCCCGATGTTCCACAACACTAATTGTCGTTGTTACTCCAGTGACGAGATCGCTAATCAAGTGTATTGTCAACCGAATGTTGTCTTGCTCAGACAGCCCAATTCAGTGTAGGAGGAAAAAGAAATCAAACGTTGGTGGTGGTTTCCTGATGATCCAACTCCAAGTCCTCCTGCAACTGGGACAATTCAGGAGGCCGTAAAACATTGATGGAGCTTCGTGCCTGCCGAACGTAGAGTTCCTGAAGCGAACGCCCTTTCAGGTGATCTTCGATCGCGTCTAGCCGTTCAATGTATTCTTTGCAACTGTGGTTCTTCAAAAAATCTCCCTCCCCGCTTCCACAATCCCCTGCCCGAAATAATTTGCGCAACTTCTTACATACGGTTCCTTTTATGGACCATTCTTGTTTGACCCGTTCTCTGTAGCTCAAGACCCTTCTTCGATAGCGCACAGCGCAGCTTTGGTCCTTGTAAAGAAGAATTTTTGCTCCGACATGCCAGTATCTTTGCTCCTGTATTAAACATGACAGATTGAAACAGCAACAGCAGCAGCAGAGATCCAAACACCAGCAGACCCTCGTTGGCAAACCAGGAATCAAGTCCAGGTAGTTCACTAAGCGTATGCATCGCAACTTCCCCATCTTCTCCAGGGCCTTTCATCATTACGAGTTGATTGAACAGATTTTGCCGAGCTCCAGTGAGCATCATGATATCGCCCGAATCGACAAAGTCACAAAACGGGTTCATATTTCCTTCCTTACCTGAAAAGCATTGAGGAAACCGACATTTCCAACCATTGGTGATGCCACACTGACGCATGATACCGGACCTGTTATCCCATCTTCCACTGCCAGCAAAAATGCCATCAGTGTGGCTCTGCCCCAGAGAACAAGAGCAAGGTCGGGAAAGTGCAAACTGAGAAACGAAAAAAGATGATGTGGAATTCTCCCAAGCCGCCAAACAACGATTGATACCTTACTTACAAGGCTCCGCCCAAAGAGTGCCCAGTCGTATACACTCTGTAGTGAGGATACTCTTTCTGGAGATTTATGACGTAGTCTCTTATGCGTTTGGCTTTTCCCTCTCCCAGCTTCGATATGGTTTGGCTCATGTAGACTTTTTTGGTAGTTGTTGAAAGAAGGCTTGGTTTAGGATCAATCCAATGTTCCTGTTTGATAAAGAAAGCCCATGTGTTTTGTTGACTTACAAACAAACCCAGAATGCACACCAATCAACTTGTCCTGAGGATGACCACGAATATTGTTTGGTACAGGATTAGGGTACCTTCAGGAGCCATAGAAGAAATAGATCAGCCAGAGCAGGAAAGGTGGTAAACATGGCCATCGGCAGCTACAAGTCGGCACATACCATTCCATGAATGGATCAGCGTCAACCATAAAGTCTCTTATTGTGACGCTCCCTCTGAAGCAAATCTCAATCCATTCCTTTGGACTTTGGTCAATTGTCCAAACAAAAACAGCGTTGAGCTTCCCCTGTTTCTCACGTCATCCAGTACGGTACTTCGTCCCTGCACTTACTGATTGAGCGAGATGGAGTACACCATTTCTCTCTGGCTTCTTTCATCATCAATTTCCAGAAGCACGAATCCGTCCTTCCAGGGATCCTTTATGGTCGTGGGATCTTCCATCTGACGTTTGGCGAGTACCAAATCCAGATAGGCATAATTGTCTGGATCTCCATCATCTTTGGAAGAGGCAGCCTGTCCGAGCATTTGATTGAAGACCTCCTTGTGTTCTTCTACCACTGGGAGCAGTGCTTGGGCTGTTGTTGGAGTTGAGATGAAGGGTTCGGCAATGTCGGGATCCGTAATCTTTCCAAGTCGTATTTGATGTCGAAGATCTGTCACTGCATACATGAGCACCGACGAAGCCAACATGGTTTGGCATTCGTCATAGAGAGACGGCCACTTGCCCCGGTCTTTGCGACGAGATTTGACGACCCCACCGTTTGATTGATCTTGGCCATTGACTATTTCAATTTCGACTTCTTCGCCCTCCTGATCCAGGGATCCTTGCAGAAGAGTCTTCCATGTGAGCGTCACCATGTCGCCTCGACGATGTCCTGCTGCTGCCGCTGTCAGGACAGCATGGGAATGGAAGTCGTCAAAGTACCGGTACCGGAGTGGTGGAGCTTCTCATGAATTGTGGTGACCATGGCGGCGAAGGTCTTCGAGGTTTGAAGAGATGCGGTGGGTTGCTCATTTTTTTGGTACAACCGGTACTCAACGCAATAATGAGAGTCAAACAGGATTGACGGAGGACTGAGTCACTCACAATTTCTTCTTCAACGTCTGTCCCTCTACCGCAATTACGTTTTTCCAACGTTTTTTCTCACTCCCCTCCAATGTCTTCACTTACAAGCTACCGGTATCGTACCATCTTGCTTGCAATAGTAGTCTCCCATGTTAGTGTATACAACGGTGTCGATGATGCTCTGTAGTGCGCTGTTTGCTGGTAGTAGCAGCAGAGCGTTGGCCTTTCAGGCTGCAAAATTCGGTTTCAAACGGCCCATGGAGATCTTACCTCCACAGACTACTAGACTGTTTTCCAAGTCGTTGGAAAATGAAGTGGATCCGGGTCAGGTGGAAGGAACCGATTTACGAATTGTCAAATACCCACACCCTTCGTTGAGAGCGGAAAATGAAGAAATCCAACCGTCGGAACTCAAAGACGGCAGCATCGCCCAGCTGGCCAAGGAAATGTTCCTCTACATGTACGAAGCCGAAGGCGTGGGATTGGCAGCACCTCAAGTAGGCGTCAATAAACGGTTCATGGTCTACAATCAAAGTGGAGACAAAACTAGATGGCTGGATGAAATTGTCATGGTCAATCCACGCATTGTCGAGTACAGTGAAGCCAAGGAAACGGATGAAGAAGGCTGCTTGAGCTTTCCAGACATGTCAGGCGATGTCGAAAGGAGTAAATGGATCAAGGTAGAAGCACTCAATCTACGAGGGAAAAAACTCAAACGAAAATTTACTGGATGGGAAGCGGTAAGTTCAAGCAACAAAACCTTGTTTGGTGTGGTAATGGGCACTTCCCAGTGCATTCAGGTCCCTTTTTCGGGTCACCTCACAAGCCCTCTTCCATTGCTCGTTCCAACTTGCGTACCACAACAATCTGCAGCGTATTTTCCAACACGAATATGACCACTTGGATGGAGTAGTCTACATTGATAGACTCTCGGAAAAGGGTAAAAAAGAGGTACAACCGGTGCTGGACAAACTCGTGGACGACTTTGGAGAGGGAGGTGTGCTATGATGAGAGCACCAATAAATAATTATAGATGAATGAGAGTAGATAAAACAGGTTGCTGAACTCCTCGATTGCTTCGGAGAAGCCTTGATAGTTACAACTTTTAGAACGTTTCTTCAACTGTTTTGTGCTGCCGTCCGACGTGAAACCACCCACAGCAAAGCACGTGTAGCTGCTGGCAGCATGGTGACTAACGCACCAGCTCATGGGGGTGGACATTTCCCATGGTGAACCTTACCCACGACAGAGCTTTATCGGGTGTGCACCTAATAGCCAACGCCAGTTCCGCCGGAGAAGGAGAACATAACCCAACCATACCGTACTAGTAGAGCCGAATGATTCGATCCTCGAACTTTTCTCTCCTTTAATGCATGATCACAGTCTGAACCCTGCTCGAGCTCACGTCGAAGTTGGCTGGCTGCAGCGGATCCGCGTCGTGTTCCCCTGACCCTCGTGTCGTATTGCCGGACGACCGTGTGTTTTGCGATTCTTTTGTTGGATGTGTCAAACCACTCACTACGACCCCCTTGCTGCTTCCACGAGATATGGACTTTTGGACACCCATTTGCTCTTTTCTCAGCGCATACATCTTGGGAACCATGATGAGGCCCAATGTCGACATTGGGAACGTCCAAGTAATGAGCGTCACTCCAATATATCTGCCATTGGTGGACACACTCTGAAGGATCACAACCACAGGAATTCCAACGACAATAACCTAGACGAAACAAGAAGCACCTGTTGAGCGCATGGAACCAGCGACATTGACAAAACCAACAAAAAGCACATACCTGAATCTGAACAAGCACCAAGGAGAATATCCACTTGGATTCTGAGTACATGTCATCAACATCACACGTCTTCCAGGCCATGATGCATGTCAATAGAGTGGGAATTGTGCAGATGATGCCTACTGGAATCAGGAAAGCCCCAGTGTATGTCCCTATGCACCTGCCAATGGTTTCCCCTGATACTTCATCAATCTCTTGACGGTACCAGCCAAAGTCATCTACTGCTGTCCACACCGATAACAGCACAATGGCAGCTAGGACCAAGAACAAACCTGGCCAAACAACCTGGCGGACCTTGACGCGTGCTCTCTTAAACTGAAGAACCTTGTTCACACGCCACAGCTGAATCAGGGTAGGCATAGGTAAGTTTGTTTCCTGAAGGAATGGACATGCAAATTGCCAACATCTCCTTACCTTGGTAAACAAAGCTGAATAGACAATCATGTCACCCAGAATATACAGCCATGGTGTTGCTACACAAGCCTTGTCCAGCATGGAATCGGTCCATCCGTGGCTCTCATCAAAGGAATTGACAAGGATGACCATTGAAAACAAAGTGGAACCAACACAAAGCACATAAAGGAAGGGGGGCTGGGACGAGAGCAGGCCACCATTGAGATACATTCAGAAGTGGCATGAACCTTACAAAACAAAATTCCCACCTGTGCAGCAATCACCACTCTGTGATTACGGTGCCGCCAAACCCAGATTGCAGATGCAGCAATGAAAAGGAGAGAAATGGACATGAGAGTCAACCCTATGCCTCGGACGACTGGGTCTAAGTAGTTCTGAATAGGAGGAGAGAGCAGATGCACCAGTGAGATACTTCGCTCAGCACGTGACGAATCGAAGAAAAGAACGAGCACCCACCTGCTCAGGAGTTGTCCTCAACAGGGTCGGTGGGCTGTTGCTCCCATCAGAATACACAAAAGGAAAGACATCGACCCAATCATTGATGTCAGGATCCACGTAGGATGTAGCCTGGAGAATTTCTCTATGGGGACCAAGAAAGAGAATCGAATCAGTGAGACTGAAATCAAAAGCACAAATTTATCTTCACACGAATTAAAATATGTTGTCTTACTCGCTCGCTCCTCCCCTTGGCAACAAATTGAGTATGCCGTAGTATGGGGAACTGGCATCCCGGCTTCCTGGTGTGCCTGGCCTGTTGCGGAACCTGACCTGTCCAGAGGCGCCTTTAAAATTAACAGATTGAATGCCATCCAAGTGCTCCTTTCCGGTCAAGGCGGTACTGTTGGTTTTGCCAGCAATTGCCATGCAAGCTCCAATGCCAATGGACATTGTTGCATCATAAGCAAATCCCACTCGCTCTCCAAAGAAGGGCAATTCTTGAAAGAAGTTGTCTGGGAGAGTGCATTGTGGATTGACTGCTGGGTCTATTTTTTCTGACAAATCATTCAGCTTGCAGAAGAACTTCCCAGTGTAGTTGGCGATAGGATTGAGGTTCCGTAGGTATTCCACAAAGCTGGCATTTTGGGATGACAAAGTGTGTTCGAATGGGTCATCATCGTTCACATTGTGCCCCTCAAACATGGAGGAATAGGCTGCTCCCCGCAGAAAACCTCCCTCTTGCTTGTGTTGAAATTGAACCAGAATATTGTCTCTGTTGGTTCCAGATGGGTCCAACCCTCCTGGGATAATCCAAAAATGGCCCCCTTGGTCCAGATCATATTCATGCGCTGCTGCACCTATCCCAGGAGTGTCCAAATCGGGGGTTGCAGTTAGCAAAACAATGGTTCGAAATCCTGTCTGCGAAACTCTCATGACAGCATCCCGAAGCCCTCTGTCCTCCCCTGCTTGTGCCTTGCTAACGGAGAGGTAGCTGTAGGCCTTGACTTGATCGCAGTCAACTTTTTCCTTTAGCACTGTCTGTAAGGTTTCCATTCTCTGAAGAACACTATCCTCGTTGGAATATAGGATGGCAACGTAGTTGGTCCGATTCGTGTGCTTCAGATACTCTGCAATGAATTCCATTTCGCCATACAAATCAGGGTTGATCTGAGAATAGTACGGATGCTTGTCTGGTAGAACCAAATTGTGATCGAGGCCACGAAATGCCACAATCGGCGATTCCATCCCTGTGGCCAAAACGCTGAGTTCCATCGCTGGCTGTTCATTGTACGGCCCCGCAATAGCATCCACAATACCAACGTCCTGGATTCTCTGCAGAAGTGATTTCATGGCCAAGTGACTGTTGGTCCCTGTGTCAATCACCGATATATTGGAGAACCGAAACGGGCAATCCGCATACTCTTCCAGTTGGCTCACTACCGTTGGGTCCTTCTCGTTGAAATGCTTCGCGGCTAGTACCGCTGAGGCCATGTGCGCCCAACCAGGCTCCAGAAATGGCACACCACTAAGGACAAAAGTCAAAACAAAAATGTGAGATGCACCCGTAATGGATGGGTTCGCAGTTTGGTCAACAGCGGGAGAGGCATCATCACCTACTTGTTGGTAAGGGCCACTGCAATCACCAACGAGAGCTCGCCATTTTCACCCCGAATGCGACCAGGATCCCCCTCTCCTACACATGACGGAACAGTCAACAATAAACAAGCGCTGATAACAGCAAGGAGGCAACTAACGCAGCAGCGCATCATCTTCGACAACTATCTTGATGTGTTTTGGATGTTGTTGTGAAGGCGGTGGAAGCCCTCAGTTGCTGCTTCGCTTGAGCGCAGTTGAGCGAGCTTGAAAAGGTGGCAGCACCACATGGATCTCTTTGAATCTTGGAGAAGTGGAGGAAAGTATCGTTAATACATTGTTTTGCGTGGGGCAGGTCTATTTATAATCATTCATGGAACTTTCACGTCTTGCGACATGTTAAATCGTTTCAATTCATGAGGAATTTTGATTTGGTCTTTTCCTTTTCGGGGGACCAAACGAGTTGAACACGAATTGACTCGGCTCACTGAGTACCGCTATTAATAGTCACTTTTGAACTGTCAGCAAGTCGTGGAGGTCCCCTCCACATTTACTTATTAACACTCCGACACCCATGCAACACCTTCTCATGCCTTGTTGACTGCCGCTAAAACAGGAGACCTCCAGAGCAGTATCATACTCCAGTTGCAGCTAGCTAGCTAGGTTTTGTGGAATACAAACATCAATCGGCCACCACATCCGTCCAAACGAGGTAATATGGCGGCAAAAGAAGCAAGAAACATGATGGAGAGAAACACAGATTCTCGCCTCTTTTCTCGTTGCGCTGGAACCAGCCAAGGTCTCTGGCTACTCGCCTTGTTCTGGGCTTTGGTTTTGACTCCTGTAGGTTCAGAGAGATTAAGGGGAGAGAATGGGGAGATTTCCTTGGCCATCACCGTTCCACTTACCAACAAGTACGTACTAATCGGTGGGACATTCCTGCTTATCCGATATTTCTGACGATGGTTGCATTTTTCGTTGACAAGAGGCGAGCACCAACCAAATCCCGGTTGGGTGTACATGGCTGCTGCCTTACTGGCGGTGGATCATTTCAACGACAAGGATCCTGCTGTCATCAAAGAATTAGGGCAGCCGGAACTTGCTGACTGTCCTTTCAAGTTTGTCAATGTGTCCGTTGTGGATACTGGGACAGAAAGCCACATGGCCACGAAATCACTCCTGCAAAGAATCCAGGATGTCGGTCCTGTGGATGCTATTGCAGGACCATACAATAATCAGCCCGCACTGGAACTCAGCGTGTTGGCCACGGGAATGGAATCCCCAATTGTGGCATTTCGTGGCCTGGACCAGAGCCTTGTACGTGCTGCAGTACATGTTACTTTTTCTGATCCTTCGTGGAGTTGCTCACCACGAATCTTCTGTTCTTGATATTTGAACTTTCTTTGTGTAAGTGCAACAGCTGTTGGATTGCCCGTTTGCCTTGGAATGACCACCAAACTAACTTTGCATGTTTGGTGCACTCTCCCTGTCTGCCGGCCCAATTCTGCTCGATAGTTTTTCTTCAGGTCCTTCCAGACAAACACCCTTTCTTCTCCCAGGTCTACCCTGATCTAAATGGGGATATGGAATTCGTCGGGAAGTTTTTGGCTTATACCAATAGAACTGACTACATTGCTATACTTTATAGCAACGAGGACACTGTCCTTCAAAGAGTGGAAGTGCTGCGACAGATTTTGAGGCAAATGGGAATTTATAATGTCCTGACGTTCAGCTACCTGGGTGTCGAAAAGTCGGAAGAAGGGGAGGACCGTGGTGTTGATGACGCCGTTCGTCGAATCTCGCAAACTGGTTACAGAACAATCATAGTCATGATGACCAATCCGGTGGTTGATTTTGAACTTCTCGCGCCAGCTGCTCACAAATACGAGCTGGACATTGGGGGGCATTTTTTCATCATGGTCGGAGGCCTGGATCCTAGTTCTTCTGGAAAGGATGACGTTTTAGTTCACTACAGATACAGACCTGAAGGAAGACTTTTGCAGGGGATGGCTTTTCTCTACATTTGGGACAATGAATACGTGGACTCTGACGGCGACTTCCAAAGAACCATTCGACAACAAAACAACAGTTTTTTTCAAAGGATGGTGGATCTCAATCCAGTCCCGAACTATTCCAGGTCTTTGTATGAGATTTTGTGCGAAGTCGACAGTGACCAATGCGATCCAGCGAACTTTTCGATAGGCAGCTTGCTTCAAGTCCCGGACCTACCTGATCAGGTTGGATTTGCTTACGACGCGACCATGGCTATTGGCATTGGAGCTTGCAGGGCCATTGCCAACACTACCGATTCCAAATCCACTGCCATGACGGGGGAGCAACATTTGGAGGGTATACAGTCTGTCGATTTTAGTGGTATCACAGGGAAGGTTGAATTTCAAAATCGTCCCGCAACTCCAGGCAGCCGCAAAGGCAGCTCAATTTATTATGGCGTTTTGAACTTGAACCGTCGTGATGCCAACGATTCGTAAGTTGGATAAGGCGCCGAACGTCCTCGTTCAATTGAAGAAACTCATTTCCGCTGTATGTGTTGCTTCACAGAGACTTGGCAGAAGGAACATCATACTTGGACCCCTTCACACAAGAATGGGTAGAATATCTTCCATTTGAATATGCCGGCGGATCCAGCACACCACCAAAGCTACTGAGGAGCCACCCCGAGCAGAATTTTTTGGATCCGGCCGTCAGGGCTATTGGACTGGCACTGATGTCCCTATCACTTGCTGCGGTTTTTGCTTCTGTTGTCTGGGTAATGGCGAATCGCAGTCACATCGTTGTCACGGCTGCACAACCGCCTTTCCTCTATGTGCTTTGCCTTGGGGCTGCACTAACGTCAATGATTGTTTTGACCCAATCTTTTGATGAGAGCTATGGATGGGAGGAATCCATGCTCAGCCGGGCTTGCTTAGCAATGCCATGGCTCGCTTGTCTTGGGGTTATGGTTACATACTCAGCTTTGTTCACGAAGGTACGGTATGTATTCCGCTTGTTTTGTTAACATCGCTTTGTCATTACTGATGTTTCCCCTTTACTTCAGCTATGGAGGGTAAATAAAGTCCTTCAATTCAAGCGCCGGCAGATAAAAGCAAGTCAGGTGATGTGGCCAGCACTATCCCTATTTGTAATAGCAGTGGTTCTCTTGAGTGCATGGACAGCCACCACTGATTTTGGCTGGGTGAGAGAAGAGATTGATGAACTATCAGGTGAATCAATTGGGAGGTGCACAGGGACCAATACAGCAAAGCTCTTGATACCTGTGGATCTCCTTGTGCTGATTCCAGTGGTGCTGGCTGGTGTGATGGCATGGAAAACAAGTGATGTGGATGACATGTACTCTGAGTCGAAGTGGATTTTCTCGTTGATTCTTGTGCAGCTGCAGGTGAGTAGAATTTGAAAATATCACACGGGTGCGTTGGCATTCTCTTCGTCGTTCTGATTGCATATCGAATCGGCCCTTGTGTCACAAGGTCTTCATCGTGGGAGCTCCCCTCATTGTCATTCTCAATGATGTCTCGACCACAGGCCGGTACATTGGCCTTGCGTTGGTGGTGTGCACATTTCCATTGAGTACCATGGGCCTTATCTTTGTACCAAAGGCGCTTGCAGTGAGGAAAGCAAGCAGAGGAGGTAATCGCGAGGAAACCATGCGGGGGAGTTCTCCAGGCGTCCGGGTAACCGGGGTGAACTTGCCTTCAGGAGAGGTTGCGAGCACCAAAGGCGTTGATTCTGGCGATCAATCAACACGCACTTCGCGGGATACATCAAATCCAACAAGCACAGACCATCGTGCCAGTTCGACGCGGATCCAAACTGTAACGATGGAATAGCAACTTAGTTGTCCGTCGTCGTTCTCGATGTTTCGGGCGTTTTGCTTGGTGGGTTGCTGTCGAAGCGATCAGTACCGGAGAGCATTTCCGAGTGGTCATCGCTCATCCTGTGTGGGGCAACGGTCAGTTTGCTGTGCTCAATGACTACTAGTACGTCGAGCAGACACTGCTGATGACAGTGTAGCCAATGAAGGCCAAGACACCACGCAGACGAACCCAACGCGGCAACTTAACTCGCAGCGACGAAGCAGCCAATCAAAGCGGATCCTCAGTTGAGTAAAGCAGGTTGGCTTCAGTCTACTGTGCTACGGTTCGCTCTGGTAGAGCAGAGCAGATGATACATTGACTCCAGCGATCGAATGAAGCGAGGCCAATGTTTCGCGGATGATTTTGAGACCCGAGCCAAGTGCGGTGGATCAAATCTAACTTGAGTTGACAACCACCACAGCAGTTACGGTGACTTGAACATGTATGTATAGGGTTAACCACAGTTACATCAACACAGGCGCGAGAACAAGCAAACTGCACTTGTATGTTTCAGAGGTCCCCAGGAATGTTTCCAGAGAGCGAAGGCAAATACTGTCAATGCCAATAGATTTCCAAGCTCTGTTTGGGAACATCCTCTGGTCAACTCGAGGCTGCAAAAACTGCGCTCTATTAATCGGGAGGTCAAGAGTCCAAGCTCGCTCCGATGCTCCTTTCAACTCTCAATACCGGTACTAGTATGCTTGTGCGACATCTAGCTGGCTGTTACTGTACAGTAAAAGCTTCAATCACGTAGTACTAAACTGCCCATAGTAAATTTAGTTGCATTCCTCAAGCTACGGCAGGTTTACTTAAGGTAACCGCACCAGCCAATCGGCGGACAGTTTCAAATCAGTCACAGTTGACGGCCGGCGGACCGAGATTGATACTGTACTACATGTAGCTAGATATTCTTTGTTGGGTTCGCGCCAATTTTTCTCCCCTTGAATGGAGTCGAGTCCTGAGTCCTCGGTCGAGAAAGAAGCACACAATTCGGAGATGCATCCTTTTACCAAGCACGGCTGTATCGTATCTCTCTCACAGCTCTTCGTGTCTCTCTTCACTCGGCCCTTCAAACGAATCGATCGGAAACGCAGCAGTACGTTTAGGTACTCGCTAGCCAGCTCTCTTACTAGAAAGCCAAGAACTTGTAAAGCCCGTCATCATGTCGTCATTGTCCTCCACCGGCCAAGACTTGTTGGTGCCAGCCCTGCTGGTGGTGCTCCAACATGACCGAAACCTGCTCTCTCTGAAAGACCTTGGAAATCTATCGATCGGCAACAAAACACTAGCAAAGGTACGTGCGGCGAGGCAGCCAAATATCAACATCATCGTGACAAAGTTTGGATGGATTCCGGTTCCATCGGCGTCTCTGCGGCTAACGCGACTGACACTCGTTTCTTTTGTCTATTTCTTCTCGACAGTTGGTAGAAGATTGTGCTGTTTGGAAAACTTTGTTTGAAGAGATTTCTGCCGCTCCCATGCTGGAAGGCACGTCATCCGGAATCGCATGGCATGGTGAGGAAGGCCTACTTCCTTGCTTCACTAACCCAGATCCTCGCATTCTCCAGCGAGTGGGCTACAAGCATGCGCTTGGACTTCTCGTCTCCAAGACCTGTCAGAATTGTGGGATCCTTGCTGGCTCTGCTGGTCCTATTTCGCTCAAACGCCTCTGCAAGATCTGCAGCAAACAGGATTCCTCGTCTTGGATTTGCGTCAAGACCAAGGCAAAAGACATGTTCCTGCTCAATGACAAGGACTTGGCTGCTTTGCCAAGTGCAACTGTGACTCCCGGCATGGGCCCAGATGGCAAGATGTCAACTTTGTTTTCCTACGAGGACGTGAAGCAAAAGTCCTTCCAAAAGTGGGGTGGGGAATCTGGCCTCGAAGCAGAAATGAACCGTCGCATTGCCGCGGCAAACCGACGCTACAAGCAAAGGCAGAACACTACAAAGCCCATGAAGAAAAAGCCCAAAGTCATTCACCAGTCAACACGACCAGCTGACAATCCTGACCTTGTGGTCTCCCACTCCGTCTCCTCCCTTCCCATTGGTTGCATGATTCGAAAGAGCAAGGTCAAGCGTACCAATGACGATGATGGCTGGCAACCGTTGCGGTTTCATGCATGTCGCAAATGCAACGCCTGCGGCAGACACAATGAGATTTGGGACCACTCCTTGATTGAGCATGACCTCGTGGATGCGACAGCCATCGGGGAGGCAAACGTCGTCACTACTGATGAAAGTGCTTTTCTGGACCTGCGCGGATTGAGCCTTGCTACTGAACTCGTTACCTGTCTTGCCAATTGCACCTTCTCTCATCATCGAATCCAAGATCGTGACGGTTATCGGATCCGAGAGCACAACGTCTACAGCTTTGTCTTTGAAGCCAGCGGCGACGACGACCGGGTGAAAATCGTCTTTGACGACTTTGGTGTTCGTAACACTCCCTACCCACTTGCCATGGTGACCGCGTTGAGCAAAATTGGAACCGGTCCCAGGGCACACGAACGGCTCTTTGAAACTGCTGGGGGTCCTACGATTCGTGATGATGGTTTTGTGACGCTATGCAACGAAGGCGCCATTGCGAAGGTCATGAAGGCGCTTGGGATGACCGAGGAGACGTCACCCGTTCAGTTCTTGGCGGGTTTGTTTGCCCGCATTTACACGTCGGAAACCTTGAAGTCGATGACATTGCATAGAGTCTACAATGCCAGTCACCGTGGGTACACGGAGTTTCTTCTCCTTGAGCAGGCAATCTCGTATCTGAATGCGACAATGGTTGAGGAAGACGATTACGATGACGATGAAGAGGATTGGCGCGATTACGGCTGTGACTGTTGCTATGGCATGGGCTGTGACTGTTGCTTTTGCTGATTGAGTTCGAGTCGAGCATCCACTCTCTGTTCGTTCGAGCGGGAGTTCGAACCATACTTACCAAAGAGAGTGTTCCTGATGGTTTGACTTGTAATACAATGAGGCGGCTGTGCATCGTACTTGGAGTCGGAGTGACAGTCAGCAATTGGGTTGGGTGTGTTGATGTGTTTTCAAAGGGTCCAAGCTTCTACAATACTAGTAGATTTTCTAAAAGATTAGATATCTGTGTGTTTTCAACGAAACAGTTGATGCGTTTACAGTCGTAACCATATCGTACCGGTACCAGTACCTGGTAGCAATATTGAAAGAGCACTCCAGAGAGCCTGCGAGCTGAAAAAAGTTGCAGATGCCCATGTCGGCTTCAGTTCGTGCGTTGTTTGGTTAGATTGATTGATTGATTCATTCATTCAAAAGAAACCCATTCGCCGTTCCCCACTGCGTCGTGGCGCTACGGAATCGTCGTCTTCCAAAATTGTGGAGCTCTCCGCGACGAGCGAATGAATGGCTCGAATCATTAGATCGGTGCTAGATCCCACGGGTGAGGTGGTAACTACTGGCACGGAAATCTCCAGGTCGTCCATGGCCTCTTGAATGATTTGAGGAATATCTTGCGTGGCATGACGTCCTGGACTCAGAAAGTAAGGATGACAAACAATTTCATCGACTTGCTCCTCTTTGACCATTGCTTCCAGCACTTGAGGAATGGACGGAGTTGCAATTTCCATATGCGCCGCCTTGACAATGACAGCAGTAGTAGTAGATTGTTGAGACGAGTCGAAGGATTGCTGATACAAGCGTGCCAAATCATGTAGTCTCTCGTTGGATGCTTCGTTGCGCGATCCATGATCCATCAACAGAATGCCAACTTTTGTCGTTTTCTTCTTTCTTTTGGTGGAAGGAATTCCATTGGGATACGCATGTGGTGACAGGGTTGGATCAAACACATCCAGCAGGTCCACTTCTTCCTCTTCCTCGTCGTCATCATCATCATCACCCTGATCCACCAATCTATCTCGGTTAGAAGCAAACTTGGGTCTATTAGCAGAAGGATCGGGGCTTGAAGTAGACTCCTCTGGGTCCATGATATCCAATGGCGGGGCTCCCATTAAAGCACTGGGAAATTCGCTGGCAAAAAGATCCAACCCAGCTGGAAGGTTTGGTGCTCCTTCTAAAGAATCTTCCTTCGGCCGATCAATAGGTTTGTGGTCGGGAGCAATGCCATCAGGGTAGTCATGAGGACTTCGGAGAGGATCAAAGTAGTCCAAAAGATCAGGTTCGTCTTCGTCGTCGTTGGAAGAAGTCGAGCCGTAGACGGGAGGCGAATTTCTGATGGATTTTGTCACTGAAAGATCTCGTGTTCTTACTGCCACGAAGCTTTGACACGGAACTACCAGCAGTGCTACTGCCAATGCTACCAAATAAGACCTATGATTCAGATTCTGCAACATGATGCTATTTCTATGGTGGTTGAATTATTTGTACATTGGCAATGAATGGATATGGTCGCTTCTGTGGTTGTGAGTTTGTGGAAAAGATCCGAGCTGAGTTGGATCCAGAAACCATGTCACTATTGCTTTGAGTGCCGTACTGACCCAAACTTACTTGATGAAGACACGCGAGATCGTGGTCGTTGGAAACGCTTGTGGGTGAGGATGAGTGGGTGTGGGGCCAATACCGGTAGGTCATGGTGTTGGATCTCGCGTAGGCGACGGTATGATCTGGGAGATGGACCAGGGGAGGTCCTGGAGTTGGTCTACTAGGGGGGGACCAGAAAGTTGACCCTAGAGATGGAGACTGGAACGCCTTGGGGTAGCATGATCGTGCCCCCTCCCGGTGCGGTACAGCCTTCCACGACAACGCCCTGGGTTGGTGATTGCCTATTTTAATTAAGGCTGATGAATATTTGCCTAAGCTGTTGATACCCTCCTATCTAGCTAGATACTTGAAATTGCCTTTAGAATATTCAGTATCAGCCTACTAGTAGCTAGTTCTGCACCGGTAGCAGTTGCTTGTTGACTAAAGCTGATGACTTTTGAGATCCGTACTCTAGAGTAGTAACTCCCACATCCTTCAGAAGATATCATGGCACTCTGCTTTCTGGGTGGGGATTGTCCTCGTCATCCAGGTGACGCTTCTGGTCCACACCGACCACCGGATAGGAATAACCAGTTGGCTGTTGTTGTATGTACTCTGAAGGTGGCTCGAAAGCAACTCGAGCAAGCAACGCATCCTGGGCGAGCCTTCTGCTGCTACACGTAGATGCGGCTTTCTTAGGTGTCAATCTTTTCGTCTGAAGCCAACAGGCCGACACGATATTTGGAAACCAATGCCAACTTGTCTTTCTTGTGGAAAACCTTGAAAGTATCTGTGGCATCCTTCCCAGCGTACTTCTGAATCAGGTAGGCGCCGCCCTTGTGGGTCTTGCTGAAGTCGGTCATGTCGTAAACTTGTCCGTGAAAGACTACCCAGCAATCCTCTGGAGACGAGTGTTGCTTCAGTTCTGCCAGTGTGATGAATCGGTCCGTAGTGGCAGAAGCGGCTGGTTCCGTAGGATCCATCCGACCGACAACGACGTCACCTGGAAGCAGTTGTGGGCTGTGTACAGTGGCAAAAGCTTCCGAAGCATCCCCGCCTGCAAGGCTTTCCAGAATGGAAGAACCGCCAGGATGAACCTTCGCAAACCGTGTCAGATTGTAGACGAGGCCATTCACAGCCATCCACAGGTCTTCACGGGAAGAATGTGTTTCCAGTTCGTGCCAGCTAATGGTGGAAAGAGTCTCCTCGTTGACATTTTTATTGTCGTTTCTTGGCTTGTGGTTATCAGAAGCAGTAGATTCGTTCTGAACAAACACGGACCGGCCAATCTTGCGTCCATACACAGTGCATTCCAAAAGAGAGTTGCCTCCCAAGCGGTTTTGGCCATGGACACCACCGGTAACTTCACCAGCAGCGTAAAGCCCGGTTATTGGAACTCCATCTTCCTTCAACACTTGCCCGTTCGTGTTGATAGACAGGCCTCCCATACAATAGTGCAACACTGGTGTGACCGTGCCGACATAAAACGCAGTGTCATCCCAGTTGGATGGAAGACCTTTGAAGACAGTCTTGCCAAAGACATCTTTTCCCGTGACTTTTGCTTTCTCGTAGTCTTGAAACGTCTCGACAAGTCTAACCACAGGAACATCCATCCATTTGGCCAGAGCATCTAGACCCTCAACTTTCTTCAGTAATCGCTTCAGGCTGTAGAGAGCAACGTGTTTGTCGGCTTGCAGAGCAGCTTCCTCGGTCAAGAGCAATGTAAACGTGGGTTGTTGGCTAGTAGCGCCAGCGTTGGCAGTTGCAAGCATTTGTTTCGTCACATAGTCTCGGGTTCCCAACTCATTACAAAAGCGCCGCCCCTGATGCAACAACAGACCTCCCATACCTCTCAACAGCTCTGCAGCCAGCACCTTGGTGGGATCCTCCGGATGAAGCGGGTCCACAAATCCAGTTGGATGCAATTGGATTTGGTCCAAATCGATTGTCTTGGCGCCAATCGACGTGCCCAAGGCAATTCCATCTCCAGTGCTGTAGCTTCCTCCCGTGGTCCCAAAGTCTACCAAGTCAGGCCTGACTTGGCTCAACAGTGAATTCGCTCGTCGATCGGACGCAAATCCACCAGTGGCGAGCACAACTTGCGTACTATGCAAGGTTTGTGTTTTGTTGGTTTGCAGATTGACCACTTCTACTCCCGCCATGCCTTTTCCATCCAGCGCTGGGACAAGGTTTTTTACGGAATGTGTCGTCAGGATGGTCAATTGTTGTTTTTCTTCCACATAGGATCGCACCAGCTTTTCAAGCTGAGCAATGAGTTCGGCGCCGATCATACCCAAGGCAGGCCGATGAGTCCTGGGAAACGAATGTCCACCCAGTTGAGCAACTTGACTGAGATCCACTCCCACCCTCTCGTGCAGCCATTGCAACGCCGAAGCACTGGATGTTACCAGTTCCTCAATCAATGGTGGACGTGCCAACCTGCCAGCTGACTTTGTAGTGTCCTTTTGAAAGGCTTCCAGGCTATCGCCATTGTGGTTTTCTTGGCAACAGCCATTGATGCCGGAACTGGCTTTTCTGGAATTGCCACCCAACGTTGCCTCTTTTTCCACCAACGCCACACGACCTCCCCGATCCAAAATCTCCAAAGTGGTGGTCAGGCCAGCGAGGCCACTGCCGACCACAATGACGTCAAAGTGAGGTTGGTTGGCAGAATTTGTTGTCCTGAGATGGTGATGACGGGTGGCTGGGGTAGCCAGAGGAGAATGGACCCCATAGTCTTTGTGGTGATTGGTGGTAGCATGTCTCTTGTTCTGTCCTGCTATAGAGGACGAGCGACTGCTGTTGCAAAAGAGCATCACCCCCCCCGTGGCCAGCACCACCGAAATCACCACCCACGGGATGACTCTTTGTGTACCAAACTGCGGCCATTGCCGATGAAGGTGACGACGTCGTCGAATCGAAGGAGATCCTTGCCGCGATCGAACAGGAGATATTTCCACCATTCCTTGGCTTGGTTTCATTGCTTGTGATATTGGAGAATTATTATGCGGCATGGCAATGGTTGGTCATCTCCTTGCGACTCTTGCTGGTTGCCTCCGTGATGGTTCTCATACTGCGAAACCAATGCGAACTTCGTCGCCTCGAAGCGAATTTCGAACCCTACCGTATGAATTGACAGCTTAGCCAACTTTATACCAGTCACGACAAGTATTGGGGTGGCTGCTTGGGTGGGGATTATCCCGCAACGTAGAGCTCTACGTAATCTTGCGTGGCCCTGTCGCAATCGAAAATGACCGAGTGACCGAGACGAGTGACGTCAACCGACACAGTCACTCAACTTAATTATTTTTATTAAATAGAACAATCACGTTCATGCATGCGGGGTCAGGTTCTCCCGTTGCAATCACCACAGGGATCAACCGCGCCGATGTAGTGGAACGAATGAACAGCGGGAGCTACGCGTAGCTAGACTAGTAGACTTTGATGAAGAGATGCGGATGTAGTAGTAAGCAAAAGATTCAAATTAGCGCTGTGTTGCTACTCTCCAACCAAACTAGCTTTGACAAACCAAGCCAAAACTCAACTCTTGCTTCTTGCTTGACATCCTCCGTGACAACCAAGAAACTAGCTTCTAGTGCACTCGGGTCAACAACGTTTGTAATGCTTGAAAGTAAAATAAAAATGCATTGAATTGATTTGCTTCCTGCTCTGTTTGAATGGCAAGGAAGAAGGTTGCTCGGTTTTAGGCAGCACGTGCAGGTGGGGTGCGCCATTCAGGGAAGACAAAGAGGAAAGACACTACGGAAGAGAAGTTTTCGACTTCTTCATCATGATCCAATCCAGTGGACTCGAGTAGATGTACCATAGAATGGTGGCAACGAGCAGCTTCTTTGTTTTCTGCTGCCATGAGCTCGTGAATGTGACCAAATGTTGTTCAACAGCGCCATCTTCAAGGCAGCACTGTGTTCGTCCTTCGAGGATTCTTCCGTCAGAAACATGGTTGCCGCCACTTCGTAAACTGACAGCGCCCGCTTCCAGAGCCTCCGGCCTGGGGACCCAGTCTCCATCGCCTTCAAATGATAAACCAAAGCAACGTTATACATAGGAACGCCGTGACATCGGGAAAACGGTGATCCTTGATAGTAGGGGCTGCCCTGACACCGTCGGTTGGCGCCGCAGCACCAACGTCGTCCAGTGTGTCATTTGGGATCAGGAATGCACGGTTGCAGACAGAAAACATGCCCTCATTGATGGACTGAACATCAATCCATGGGACAGGGCTACTCCTGAGGCAATCCTTCATCTCATTCTGCATGGCTTCAGCGCCTAGCTCGTCATCATCCCGTTCAGCGGTGACATCTCGGACCAAAACCAAGAACGACTTGAAGGAGTGAATGAGACCCCTTCAGATCCCCAAGCTGTAAAAGACGAACAGCCTCGTCGTTGTAAGCAGTAATGGCAAAAGGCTGTCGACCTGCTGTGTTGGTCATGGTAGCACAAGTGATGTTGCTAATTTGTGTTGATGCCACAGGATCTTTGGCGTTGTGAGATTGTCAGTTTTATGGGTCGCAACGTCGCAAACCGCCAACCAAGAAACAAACAACAAGCAACCGAAAGGACTGCGGATCTGCGGACCAATGGAGCCTTTAATCACAGGCTACAGTAGCCGTTACCCCAGAACACCATCCGCACGTAGAAAGCTCTCTTCCCACCCGCGTTTTTGCGACAATCTGTCCCAAAAGAGGATGCTACAACGCTTTTTTGTTGGCATCACAGACCATGATACTTTGTCCAGGTGCATGCTTTCAGAGTACTGGTATCAAATATTCACAAACTAATTCACTCACGATACTAAGCTCGTGATTCATTGCCTGAAGGGCAGAATACATGTAGAATCGGTCGATTCACTCGGCATTCCCCATGAGAGACGTACACCTACCGGTACACGTGACGGTCCACTTTGTAATCCTGAACCACAAACGACATTGTTTGAAATCAGGTAGATGTGGTACTAGTAAAACAAGTGAAATACATGTTCCAGTTACATGTACCAAAATTAGAATCTATTTAAAAATACCGGAACTACATGGAGATATGCCATCTACAGCAGGGGTGTCTGCGAAAACTGAAATCGTGACAGCCAATGAAATGGAAGGGATTGGGAACACTCGTACCGGTACATTGAACATCAAGAGTTCGCAATAATTCCCGGAGTGGATGGCAGCAACCCAAATTGTTTGACCCGCTCTCGCCGTACGCCCCCGCCCACCACAGCCACCCACCACCGCAGCCACTGCTCTGCCTAGCTTAGCTCTATTTAGTATTTGTTTGTTTCTACCAATGAAGCCATCATACTCAAGAGTGGTGGTAGCAATCAAACAACAGTCTTATGCAAGAATCCGGTTTTGGCTAAGTTAAAACAAGGAGTAGCTACATGCTACATGCTAGCTAGATGTAGTAGTTAGCAGTTAGCTAGCTAGCCAGTACTGTAACACAGGAAATGACTGTTGATGACAGTCTTATCCAGCAAGAATTGCATGGAATCCTAATGATTGAATCGAATCGAAGCACAGAAGTGGGCAACCCCCCCACATCGTCATCATACACAAGATCATCATCATCTTCAGCTACCGCAGGCGTTAGTGGTGGTGCCCAAGTGCCGATGCCCAGCCAACAGCACGTTGCTCAGCAGCCCCAATCACGCGGAGAAGTTTTGGTTGCAAATCTACCGATGATGGAGTCACTTCCTCAGCTCTTCCTCGCTCTGCAATGGAAACGTAACTTTTTCAGGTACATGGGGATGTCAGAAAGCAGCAGCAGCTCTCCGCTGTCAAGCAAGCACGGAAGAGGACTTTTGTAGTGTTCAGATCTCGTATCGCCATCTTCTTGACAGCCATTGCTACCGGTACGTGTAGACTGGGAACTGGGATGTAGGATGGTACGCATATCAACAAACTCCTAGCTAGAGACATCAGTGATACAAAACCGGAGTGGAGGACATGAAAGTGAGAAACGTTTATTTGCATTATATGCTATAGAGTTTTGTAAAGATCCTCTAGTCAGAATTAATTACTTTCATGAAGAGTCGAATGTGCAGTATTGTCGAAGTTATCGTGTTCAAGACACCCGGTACCGGTACGTCCGTCTAAGCTGCAGCGGCCATACCTTTTTGGTAAGACGGGTACAAAAAGAGAGTCAAGTAGAAGAAGAGAGACTCGTCATCTCGGAGGGCGTGGCTGGAATCAATTCCTTCAAAGATCTGTCGGAGCAAGCTCAAACAAGTGGACGCTTCCTTGTGACAGGAAAAGGATGCCTCGTGGATGTGGCCCATGTTGTTCAGCAACGCCAACGCCACAATGCTGTCATCGTCGACAGCACCGGTATTCACATTCACCAACAAGGCCATGGCACGTTGGTAGATGTGCAGGGCCATGCGAAGATTCTTACTACTTCCAGTTTCCAGTGCTCTTAAATGCAGAGAAAGTGCCAAGTTATAGAGAAGCACGGTTGCTAGTCTCTCGAGCAAATGAGGGCATCCAGCAATGGCGGCAGCTGGGTTGCCACCCGGGCGGATCACGAGAGCTCGATTGAACACATCAAACGCTTCAGAGCTGGTCCCGGTAGCGTTATTGAAAGGAATTATGAAGCTTTCAAAGTAGAGTGATTCGCCTGCCATGAAGGCTTGTGGACGTTCATTTGTTACCTCGGGGGAGGCAACGCTCATAAGATTTCGCAAGGCTACGTGCAGCAAGGCCTGTGACTCCTCATATCTCCCCTGCATCAACAAAGACACTGCTCTGCATGTGAGCTCCATCATGGTGCTTGGATCAAATGTCTCTGGTAAGCTCATGTTGGTTGTGGGTAGACTACTAGTACTCTTTCAATGCTGATCAGATTCTTCGACCCACAATTGAAGTTTTTGTGAGAATACCGTAGTTCGCTGCTTATGCACAGATAGAGCCCACTACACTGTGTGGTAGCTATGATGGCAGAGTGCTTGAATAAATGCGAGAACTTTTCTACGGAAATCTTGCTGGGGTGATGAGGAGATGAGGATGGTCTTCTCCAGTCAATCAAGAAGCCCCTAAGTCCAAGCCAGGTGGCCAACCAAAACGCTTTGCGATTGGAAGAATTTCTGGTTCTCTTCGTCGTCGGATAAACTTCTGCACTACAATCTTTACCGGTGTCATCTGCTCCGAGTAAGCTACCGGTACAGTACATGTACCGTGCTGGAAACGGAGAAAGAAACCAGAAGGGTAAACTTGGAAAGTTACGGTGGTACATTGTTCGAAAGAGTAGACTACCGACTACCGCACGAGTAGCACGAGCAAAGGCGAATCTACCACCAGCATCAGGCTCCGCTCCGGCTGCCCTCCTATGCCACAATCGGCACCAAAACCGGTACCAGTACCGAGTGACCGGTACCGGTAGGACTGTGGGCGGCAAAAACCGGCGCATCACCAATGCAAAATCAATCTATTGGTATCTGCCTTTCGAGCACTCGCACGGCAGACGTTCATCAGAGCTTTCTTCCCAATGCCTTCACGCATGGATTGATGACTGATAGTAGGAGCTTCTCGCCGGAAATTGGCCTACTGTGCTGGCTAGTGGAACACTGATGTCCGTGGCTGTTGAGGTTGTGCATTGTGTTCGGCTGATGACTACTGCTTTAGCTAAACACTCCTACTGTTTTGATTATCCGGTTGACGACTCGACTCTTGCTTTCGCTGGACACCCTCAAAGCGCCCAAGCAAGATACGGCACCGGTGCATACACAAGCAGCTGCAAAATAGATAGTGACAGCTGCAGCTTTGATGGCCCTTTTTTCTCCTTGGTCCAGATTTCTCGCCAAGTCACCCAGTACGGGCCGAAGGAAGCGCCAATCTAAACCACCAAGTCACTGGTTGGGTCGGGTTGCGCGGTATCTCCAGATCTCGTTTCCACACCGTTTCTCTCCGAGCCAACCATTGCCAGAGGGCAGTCGGTAGGAGGAAGATACTCAACTGGTTGATGCGCGTGCGTGGGTGTCTCTTCCGAACTTCTCGTCACCTGTGAGTCCGTTTGCTCGAGGTGTGAATTGTCAACGTCACGATAGTGGACCAACTCTGGAAGCTCATCGTCGTCGTTGCTTTCCGCCGCACTGGAGTAAGCGCGGGTGTGGCCTGTCTCGGCATCAAGCTCGGTATTCTCGTCCAATACTGCCAGTCCATACCCACGACCAGCGGGACCC